AGAACGACGTGTCGGTACGATGCTCGAAGGAGAGATTGTCTGTTGATTTAGCTGGAACGGGAATTGAGTCTAGTCCCACGGGAATAGTTTCGAACTTAGTCGACCACGACAGTATTATTGTGGAAGATGAATCCAACGAGACGCTCGAAAACGCAACGTCGTCGGCCAAACGTGAACACGATGACGCGGTGATCAGTAACAGTGCGAGAAACGGGCCAACGCCCCCTAAGAGGAAAAAACGAGATAAAAAGAGCTGGAAGTTTTGGTAGTCGTGCCAACACTTCAACCGTTGGAGCTGTGATTATTATTGAAATGAATGTTCACTCGGTATAGTGAGCATTGTATTCGTATTATTGCCAGACTGAGAACGCATTACGCTGCCAAAGTGGAACAAATTTTAATCAAAGTAACGATTTGCAATTAGAATTCGAATAACCATTAACCCTTTCAGGACATCGCCTAGATGCGATAATAAATCCGTTGTAATAATAATTATCAATCATCACTTTGATTAACGTATGACCACCTGCTATTTACCATTCTACAGTATTTTAACCCGACGACGAAACGCGACGCGCTAATTTTCCTTGAGATTTTAATACAATCGTATGTTCTTAACGTTAACGTGTGCGCTATTTCTATTCTTTTGTTCTTACTTTCCTTATTTCTTGCTATTGTTCTGTTTTTTTTTTTTTTTTTCTTTTTACACGAACGTTCGTCTGACACGACCGACCGATAAAGACTGATTACATTTAAACACAAATTTTAAGCGTTAACTTTTTACAAATAGAAGTGAAAGGCTGTGTTACACCACTTACCTCTTATATAGATTATGTCGACGATCTAATTCATCATTTTAAACTGCCGAGGAGTTTGTTCGATGGCGAACGTCGTATGCGTACGCACATAAACTTGTATCGAACACTTGTAAATCGTATTCGTTGTAAGTAACGTAATTTTAGAGATCAATAAAGAAATTTTTGTGCACTGTTGATCAACGCGTGAAATACTTTTCGCTGTAACAGCCGACTGGAATCAACGTAGAGTATCCTGATCGATCGATGTGCACGGTGTTTGTCGATTAAAATTTCTGACAAGGAATGATCCAAACTGTTCTCGTAGAGATAGAAACCAGGTCATTTAGCTTTCAGAGGGCCCTAGTATATTAAAATAAAACGCTCACTAGTGTAACAAAAATACTTGAACTAATTGGAACTACTTATCTAGCAGATCCTGTCTCAGACGAAGTGATATTGATCGTATGAATAGCCTCCAATTACTTGGCAATTAATTAATATATAATTAGTTCGAATAGATGACTCAAACGATTAATAGAAACACGTCTAAGGCAAGATCTGTTAGATAAGTCTTACTAACGAGTGCACCCAGTATTAATATTTCTCTATTATGTCAAAACTATTAGATAACAGTTGAAATTATAGCTTGTCCGTATAAATAAATTTAGCATTATCATAGTCTAAACAAATCGTATCAAAGCGTTCTTTGTTGTGATTTCAATATGATCGTGTCTACGATAACGATTCAATCAAAGTAATAGGAATTAAAACATCAACGTTGAATAACAAAGCGTCAGATTGCAGAAAGTGGTGAAGGACTTTTTTATTATTTCTCTTTACACAAGAAATTGATAAAATTAGCTGTAATCTAATCTTTCTATTAGCGGTATAGGGGGTAACCCCCGTCTCTTAATTATTCTTATCTAAAAATAAACATAACCGAATTCTACGTCGTAGAAGTTCAAAGAAAAAAAAACAGGTCTCCTCGTCCTGTTGAGAACGTTAATATTCTTATTTATTATAATTTAATTATTATCGTACACATAATCATATTGAATAATAGCGTTCGTTTGGACTGTAATAATGTTATGCTATATAAACTATCGGAACTACTAATTAAGGAACCGAGTGTGAGAGCTAAAAAATTCCGTTTCTGGCGTCTAAATTTCCTGTTAAATTAGAATTTTTAAAAATGGGTCTGACTGGCCCACCTTGTAATAGGGCGCGAGTAAGAATGTAAACGGACGTAAACGTTTCTCTTTACTTTTGCAGCAGAGAGAAGAGCTCAACTAAATAGAAGTCGATCGCGAACAGGATTAGTCGGGACTGGTTTACTGGGAAGAGAACTTTCGACGTAAGTATTTCGACGTGAGCAACGTCAATAAAATTTCCGTTCTATCGTGAACTCGCACGCTTCTCGCGACGATGCTTTATTCGCATGTACTGTACATACCACACGCTACCGCCACGATACTCGATACCGATCGATTAATATATGATAAGGCCAATGGGATGCAAATTGGGGCATGGGGCTATTTTTCCGAATAATACCTGTGTGATAATCATTGTTGCAGAGAACTTTTAAGCTCGGCATAATCCATGGGATAACCCGTTTCCGTCCTAAACTCGATACTGTGATGGATCGAATCGTTCGATACACGTACACCCGAACGATGTATACATATAGTATATATAAGCAGAATACAATTTTAAAGTCGTGCGTCGATCATTTCGCAGAACTTTGCTTTCACAGAGTTACACATTTCCTCGTGTTTGTGATTCAAACGGACAATGTCTTCCTACTGCTGGCTGAAACTATTCGAAACGAATCGTTATAAGTATATAAATATATATAAATACGGTACGAATGAGGAATACTTTTACGGATGACCAATGCGACGAGGTTTTTGGAATTGTGACGGATGGAGAGACCAACGCGTTCTTCGGTAGCGTCTTGTACATTTTGTACCAAACGATTTTGTATTTTTAAAATGTCTTAAGGAATCGATATTCGCAGAAACGCGATACGGACCATTATTTCTGCGAACGTGAATCAATGTACATACTTTACACGCACACATATACATATAGATATACGTACGAGTAAGTCGCGTTTTTCACGGGACACTGACTGCGAATACGACACGTACGGCTTCGTTTCGTCGACGTTTGTCCGCAAAATTGATCTCGAGCACTAAGTAACGGGAACGAAGTTCGAGAAACGTGCCAAATCGAGGAAAAAAAAAAAAAGAGCAACACTTCTGACGAATCTAATCGCGAGACGGCGTTGAGCATTCCTGAGCGAAAATGAAAATAAACGATAACAATTGTGCCGTAGGAATTGCAAGAATAAAATGATAAAACACTACCAAAATCCGTTCACGAATGGGCCGCAGCTAATTATTAGGAGTAAATTTATTTTTCGAATCTCAAGGTCGATGATTGTTTATATTGTATGTACTTATGTCGAATTTTAACGAAAAGAAATTGTATCTATATTGTGAATATGTGAATTTAGATAGATCAATACATTGCGATCAGTACAATCGATCGTGTCGTGTTTTTATTTCACAACGCAACAGAAATACCTATGGGGAAAGTGTTTGCCTTGGCGAATTCGAAGTTCGATAGATCGCGAAAGTCAGCGTTCCGATCGTCGTCGCGCGACGATCATGGTTTGCCAATAGTATGGCGCGCGTGTACGCACGCGTGTATCCGCCAACTGGCTTCCAGGGAATCCAGACTGGGTTGGTTACCCATTGGCGTAACCGCAGCTAGAGTTGGAACTATTCAACCACTATAAAACTTAGGTAAATTAAGAAAATGAACTCGGACTTCTACTGGAAACTTATATTTGAAATAGAGTAAAATTCGACGAGTAGTCCCAACCCTAACTGGTTCTATACGCTCCCAAACAACGTTGCGTCAAACTTTTTAGTTACAAGACCACATTATCAACGTGAAGTCATTACAAAATTATACTTTGTTCAGTGACAACATGATCCGTGTAAACAAAACCACGTGACTTGAGATAACACCATAATGTGGGTCACTGTGCCCTAGATAGATAAAGATTCGACAAACTTGTACAAATTACTGTGCGCATAAGTATTAGGTTGTCCCGAAAGTTTCTTTCGCGAGTTGCACTCAATTATTTTATGTGGTCGTGTTTATGTAAATAGACAATCTATTGGGCTGTCTGGAAAGTCCATGGCAATTTTTAGTAGCCGATACAGGTCTGAATATATCGGAATGGCTGAAAACAAATAAAATGTGTACATTCCTTAAAAGGTGGAAAGGTTGTGGAACAAAATGGTACATGTATAATTCGATAAATATACATCAAAATTCAAATATGCCTTTGAATTTTTTTTAAAAATAGCCATGAACTTTCCGGACAACTCAATAATTTCATAGATATTCATGTTGTAACAGTAATGGAGCAAAATGAATCGTGCACAATTCGGTAATGTAACATAAAACATAAATTATTGTGCATGTATTACTTATTAATAAAGCGAAAGAGACTTTTGGGACAACCTAATGCAATGAGTTTTACCTATTTCTTATTCAACAGTTTTATTCAGCATATTTGTGGAATCTACGGTACGCTTCTTACCAGATAGCCACGTGGTTTTGTTTATACAGATCCCACGTCAGAGTAAAGAAAAAATGTTTAACCAACACGGTTCTTTGTTCCCCAGTTATAAATCATTCTCATTAGTCTTCCGGCAATTGAATGACTGCATATCTAATTATACGATGTGTATCGATCTTTCCATCAACATGTAACATAGGTTTGTTCAAATTACCGTTAATGGTGATACCGATGATAGAGTCATTAGGTGTAGAAATTAATTCTGTGTCTTTACATTTACATAATTATTTATAACTCTAGCTTAAATATTACACATGTGCAATAGTGCACACACACACACACACACGCACATGTAAACTAAACACTCAATAAAGAAATGAATTTTAACGTGCGACTAAAGAAATGTTCTTTATAAATAAATGCTAAGTTTACCTTAGAAATGCACAGAATTAATGTCTACACCTAACAATATGACTCACTGCATATTCTATTTGTCACTCTTTCCGGACGTGCATTTACGCGAAGCCCCGCAACGGCTGCACCGGTGTGTCGCGAGCGCGCACCGCGCGTACGCACGCGCGAGCACACCTGCGAGAGAGAACGGTTGATCCATCTGCAGGCGGGGTCGCGTATTCGTGCGAGTGCCCTGCACCTTTCTCGATAGTCTAGACGCGTGAGTTAAATGTGAACGAGTGCGCGGAACGAAAAAGACAGAGTCTCCGACACACTCGTGAACTTTGTGCTACCGCTGGTGTCCCGCGCCCTTTTATAATTTAACATTCCGCGCGTATTGTGGTTGGCGCGATTGGGCGCGATCGACGCCGATCGAGGTTCGCTCGGTGGCCGTCACCGAAGCGACACAACAGCTGACGGTTACAGAATACTACAGAACGGAACGTTTACGGTTAGTGTCGTCCTGTCGTCCTCCAGTGTTGTTCGAAACCTCTGGTACGCGAGCGCGAACGACTAGCGCCCGCAACGTCCACGAGATTTCGAACGTTGAAATATCTTGAACCGATGGCTCGCGGCGCGACCTTGCTCGGACACGTTACCGGGAAGAAAAAGGTGTACGCGGTGTTATTCGTGCGACATCGAATCCTCGACCGTGCAACGTCGAATCTCGATCGACGCAGGAATCTGGTTACTCGACCATCGTCGACACCGATCCGTTGTGTCCCTGTCCGATCGTGCGTTCGCTCCTAGACGTTTAGCGAACGATTGCTCGGCGAAAGCAGCCGTTGAATTTCGGGCTGTCGTGCTGTTCGATCATCCGACACTGGTCGTCGAATCGTGTCGCGTTTCAACGGCGAAACGTTTCGACCGCAATCACCGATAGAATGACAAGGATACAATGAACGTCCCCATCGTGTCGGGAGACATCACCGAAGAGGATAACCCCAAACCGCGTTTCGTTCGGGTAAGTCAAGCCATGCTGATCTAGGAATCACCGTCAAACTATTTTCCTATCATATTCTCTTCTAGCTGACTCCCTCTCCTTTCGTCGTTGGAAACCCTTCCATTTCTCATACCTTTCGCTTTATGGGCTGGCCGTTATCGCGTTGTTAGGAGGGCTTGGACTAGTCGAATATTTCGTGGCTACTCGAACGCTAGGAATGTCTTTCGTATAAACCGTGTTCTAATCTCGTCGAACTAATGGAATAAATTTGGTCTGGCGACACGGAAAAGACATTTACTATATCGTTAGCTTGATAAAGGTAGAATACGATGTCCTCGACGAAAAGACGTAGTTTTGAATTCTTTCCTGATAAGGAATTCGACTGGACGAGTGATATCGAAAAACAGTTGTTCTTTGAGATTATTTTAACGTAACTTAGCCCATCTTGTACAAAACTTCGAAAAACGTTATCCGGAAAAATCCGGAAGAATACCGCGAGTTGCCAGTCCTAGTTGGTATCAAACTTCCGCGTCAACGAACCGATACGGAAGAGAGGCGACCTGTGAAGGAAAATTGAAATAGGAAATCAAGAACGAGAATTCCTGAACGGGCTTCTCGCGTTTGAATTTCCTCTGCGCGCGTCACGCTAGTTTATCTTCGGATAACAAGTTTCCAGGGGGGGGGGGGGGAGTGTGCACTCGTGCACATACATATGAAAACCAGCAATGGCGTTTTTGTATCGTTCAGTTTTATAAACGAGCTTTATTAAGAAATTAAGGAAAAAATTGTCTCCTATGCTCGTGCGTACTGGATAAATTAGAACATCGACTAATAAGGATCGCCTTTAGGAATGACTCCTCGTGACGGCGAATACGCGGGAAATTTCTTTATCGATATTGATATACGCGACGTATCCCGATTTCACGCCATCTTGCCGCTTATCGTCGTAAGCTTTGCCATTAGCTTGATTGACACGTACAGAAAGTTATCGCAACCGATACGTTTAACACGTTGACTGCCAAACGAATATTCTTGAAAATTTCTGCTAAGATTAAATATTATTTAGACTATCGGAGTCTAGGTAATGAAACATTTATCGTGGTATTTAGTTTTGTAATGACATCAAAATTCAAGAACTTCATTTAGATTCATCTCCCGTGACGTCTAAGTTTCAGAATTAATCTTTCTAGTTCTTGAGTGAAAATCACTGTCACCCATATATGGGTAACACGGCGATCAACGTGTTAAAACAAAGAACGTGGATTGCTTGTGTATTGTATATGAGTTTCTTCGATGCATTTGACCTTTGGCGAAAGACCACGAACGTCATTCGCCGTTTCTCGACGTCGCAAACCAGGAATGTCTAGGCTAAGCTCAACAAGATTTGAGATGGAACGAATTTACCATAGTACCTATCGGAATGCTGGAGGTATTCTCTATTGTTCTCATTACTCGTTAGTCTATCGAGTATGGTCGATTCGTCGAATCTGGAGAATCATAACCTCGACGCTTCCGTCGGTAAACAGTTGTCGACTGTCGAATGGTGAAACGCGGAAGATCGAATTTCGACTTTCTCTGCTCATCGACGTAGAATATCGATCCAGCCACGCACAGTCCAGCAGAAGAACGTCAAAACTTGTGAAACACGTAATGGATCATCTCTCTATTCCTAATGTTCGATCGAAACTCCCTAACGTAAGGATTCTCTATCTATTCGATTAAATTATTGAACCGAATTCGACTCGATCTTACCTCGTCGGGTGTACAGAGTTCGTACAGAGCAATGCTCTTTCGCAAATTCCCATAAAATTCTTTCGCATTCCGAATTACGTATAGTTTGTTATGCATTCGGCGCGCAACAAATGTGTATACAGTATCCGAGACGAGCCATGCGAATACAGAACGTAGAAATCGATTCTCTTGTGCAATGAATTACATAAAAGTTGATTGCTCGCGACGCTTTTCTCTTAGCATAGAGTTTTAATCAAGTTTGAGGTCTAACTAGCGGAAGGAGAACTAGGGGACGACGTGTATCGACGGAAAGTTTGTTTACGGTTTCTTCGTTTAGTCCTCCTCGATGAAAATATTGCGTAATGTTTGTGTACGTATTCGGTCAAACGAAAGTTTTGAGTACCGGCAAAGCTGACGCTCAGGGGCAGATATAGACTAATTGAAGCTAATCGAAGCTAATTACCAGGGCCGGCGTGACCTTTTGCGGGGCCAGGTTCAAAAATTTTGCGGGGCCTGGATTCACATTCAAATACTACACTTAAATTTTACAACGAAGAATTATTTATTTACAAATGCTGTTACATATTATATATTTTTTATAATATAAATATCAAACAATAATACTTTGATGATTTTTGTCACTCCTTTCAATTTAATCAGCGTTACTAAAAAAATATCTTGTATTTGTTAATGTTATCATCAGTCTGTAAAAAGTTAATCGAAATCGGTGCCTTTTAATTGAGTAATTTTCGTAGACTGCGAGGCCTTTTAAAACGCGGGACCGGGTTCCGGCGAACGCGCTGAACGTGCCTTGCGCCGGCCCTGCTAATTACATTGAGGGATTACGCGGGCATTTAAATGAAATAGGGACAGAATAAAGAAGGTTCTTTACATAGATTACGAAGTGATACAAACAAATACGAGATGTGTATGCTACATATTACCAAAATGTATGCGAACCTACGTAAAGGATTAGTGCTTTTTCATATTAATGTACGCCATAAATGCATAGAATCCGTAGTTACGACATACGTCATCCCCGAGTCATAGGTTACCGACTGTTGGTATAAATTATATGTATCCCAGGTACCTCGTGGAGGTTCTGCAGTAACCACATCGATAAATCGATTATTTTATTCAAACAAATCCAATCTTAATTGACTCGAGTCATCAAAGTCGAAGGAACGAAATGAAAATTACGAGATGCTCGTGGAGGTTATCTCGACTGGACCCGAACTCTGACGAAACTAGCCGAGTGGGAATCGACGCGTGACGAGTGGAGGGGAATAAGTGCGTGGTGGGGGAAGGGCATAAGGCCCCGGATCGTTCTCCAGGCAGAAAGAACATCGTTGGAAGGTGAGCAACCGGTGGGCCGTGTTGCGCGTTTGCGCCGTGCGCGGCGATCGACGCGAGTCAACGGTGATCCGTAAATCTTCTTGGACGATCTTTTCCTCTCAGGCACCTCCCCCCACCTCCGGCACACTCTCCCCCTCCCGTTTTCGCGAACGCAACACCGTTCCCCCGGCCCTGGGAATTCCGCTTTCCCGTAGAAAAGAAACGTTCCGCGGAAACATCTGAACGCCGCCGCGTACCTCGCTCCTCTCGTCCGTAAACGACGCGTTTCCGCGGCCGAACGTGTTTCTACGTGCGTCTATTTAGTTCGCGGCCGCGAGTGGAACGCCTGCGTCCGTGCATTAACCCTCTCGTTTCAGTCCTGTCGATCGAACGTACGTCGTGGTACGCGCGCTCCTAGCTATGTAACCGGTGAAATGGATCTATCGTTGCGGGACGGCCACGATCGCGAGACCCACGGGCTGGTGCGTTCAACCTAATGCCGTTCTTCGTGATAACGCCGTCAGCGCGACCAAGGAGCATCGGTGTTTGCCTCGAGCACGTCCCACGAACAGGAAGCGAGAGAACGCAACGAGGATCCCAGTGGAAACGACCACGAACGCTCGAAGAGAAAAACGTTTTACCGAGTTTAGGACGATAGAGACCGGAACCATGTTGATCCTACCGGATTTAAAGTTACAGGTAAATCGGTGTTGCTCGTTGCCAAACCGCGACGTTTCCTCCCTCGACTGTTCGCCAGACGTCGTTCCGTATTTATCTGTCGATGGTCGATGGAACAGATGTAGCGATCGGGTGGTCCTCGACTGTGGGAAAGGAGGAAGAATTTAGGACTGATTTAGAGAGATTTTTTTAGCTCTCGGAATTTGACCTTTCCAAGATGGGGATTTTGAATAAGAAACTAAAGTATCGTAGTATCCGCGCCTCCCAGACTTGAGAATAAGGAATCGAACGTGAACACGAATCGTAGGGTGCGATGATGGTCGCGTAGGAAATGCAGTCTACCGAGGATCGTGGGTTCGAATCTGCCTTATTTTTCGTTTAGACTCGTACGGTATGCACGGATATCGGATTTTAATTAGAATTGAAACTATTTGTGGTAGGAATTATTTAAGTTCAGCTTCGAGCGAACCGTTAGACGCGAAAATATAGAAATAAACCCAGGTACGGTAAACGTGGCCCCGTCGACATTAAACCGCTATACCCCGCGGGTAGAAATTCATTTAGAGGATTGTACAACGGTTCGAATTAATTCATGCCTTTCTAGGAGAAAGTCACCAGCCCCGGCACCAATCAAGACGCTTGCTCAAAGGTGACGGCAGTCTCGATTGGTCCCGGAGTTGGTGACTTTCTCCTTGAAAGGCTGGAATCAATTCCATGCCTCGGGACCAGACATTACCCAGTCGAAATTTGTGCAATTCTGGATGATGCAATTCTCCGCTTTATTAAATTTCTTCGATTTCGACTGTTCACCTCTTGGGTACAGAATTACACTAACGTTCGCTTGAGGGGGTATCCTGAATTAGGAGGTCTAAAAAAAAAAACAGTTTTTCGTGAATTTTTTTTAGGATGTAAAAAAATAATTAATTCTACCGAACTTTTTATCCTATTTTCATAGATACTTGAGTAGTCTGTACAAATTTTTTCAACCGCTTTTTTTAGTCCTCCTAATTCAGGATACCCCCTTAAGCCTCTATCGGATACTTGCCCGAAGAACCCCGATATAAACAATGCCCGCAAAGCTCACCCAATAAAGTTTCACATGATTCCCGTACGATATTCGCCTATACTAATTGCTCCGCAGACTCGCTTATTGTTCGCCTCGAAGAGTAATTAATTCGTGAATGCATAAACCGAGAAATAATTTCTTCTTCATCGAAGTATGAAATAGAATTCACGCGATAAAGCGTTAACGGGCTCGAGTGAATCGGTAGATCTGTTCCATCGACTGTACAGCGACCTGTTGATTCCTCGACCATCCTTTCGATCGTTCGAGAAAGAACCCGAATCGGCATCTTCGAAGGCTTTATTCGAAATTTTTAGGCGTCTGCCACGAGAAACGTGGTAGAAAAACGAACTCCGATGGGAAGAAGCGAGGAAAACGGATGCTTCGCCGCCGACCAGACGGCTGGAATCGCAGGAGGCGGCGCAAACGGGCGAATCCTGCGTTTCCTGTTGCAACGCGAGCGTAAACAGCGTGCCTCGAATCCGGTAGAGCGTGCCTGGTCCGCTGAACTCGCGATCCAACGCGCAATGGCTTATCTAGAGATCGCGGATTACGCGTTCTAGCGCTTTGGTATCATCGCCAGATGATACGAGGGCTTCCCCAACGGGTCAGCTGATATTCAAACTGAGCTTCCGCGCAGCGATACCGAATATATCCATCCACCGTTTCGAATGCTTCTGCTTGATAGCGTGAATGATATTGGAAGGTAGAAGTAGATCATCCTTCTGGTAGGTAGAGCAAAACATAGACTTGTGTATGATCTACTTCAAGTAGATCAGACAGATGATCAACTTTAATTTTCAAGTAATATGGGATCGGTCCTTTTCGAAAATGTTCGAGGTTGAAGTTTCGCGAGATATCCACATGCCGCATGCCGGGCACTCTTTGCATGAGTGACAGTGTGACGCAGCGGTTAGCGTTCGGTTCTCAACGCACGTCTTTCGCACGCAGGTTCGAATCCCGTCGGATCAGTTTTTACAGGTCACTTTCTTTTTTTAATTAAACCCAAAAGTCTGCGGGCCTACTTACGCGAGACTGAAGAATAACCTCGAGGTTACCACAGCGATTGATAGCTTAAAGGATGTATAATAATTCTGGGCATTTCAAGTACTATCATTGTGCAATCGGTTATTTAAATATCAGTGGTAATTCTAGATGGTGTTTCTAGGATTTCTAGACTACTTAGAGATTCTTCTTACACCGACACCAAGTATTGAAATCTCGTAGCTCTGTCTGCCAGCTGTTGAAATCTCAGGCTTCTTCCAATCTACGCAGCGCTGTCTGCCAAGCGTTGAAGTCTCTCAATTATTCAACGTTCAGACTTACATATGGAAACGTAAGCTTCAATTAAAGGTTGAAGCATAGAGTAGGTTTACAAATACGCAACTGCGGTCGAAACCCTTTCCTTCCTTGTTTTTTCATAATTATCCTACTTCTCATAGAAAAAAGATTAACATGGCACGAAATAAGCGATTCTTCGGGTAAATCAGGAATAGTTGTGCTCCGAAACGATACCCAGCGACGTTCGAATCGTGGTTCGAGAATGGGTCCCGTTAGTGGCCCGCATCTTTGCGTTCAGCATCGAACTCGTCCTCTTCGATCTTCGCGTCCAGATGGAACGCGCTCGCGCCAAGGTCTTCGACCGCGTTTCCCGCCGCTACCTCGACGTACCTCGGTTCCGCTTCCGTCCTGGTTTCTCGTCCTAGCGCTGGACGCGGAACACCTTCTTTCTCTCTTTGCGAGACCCATTCTGCATAACCAGCGATGGGGCCGAGACGTGTTCAGATGCTATCGATACATCGACGTCACATATTGATTCACCTGTATCGAGTTACTCAATGGGACTAATCAGGAACGACTCGAGACTTATCGAGGCGACGTCGTATCAATACGTATCGATTACGTGGTCACCTGTTCGATATTCACTGGTACAGTACTCGAAGGAATCCGCGTTATTAGACGCGAGGGCGGGGGGTGGGGGTGGGGGGTAGACTTATCAGAAAATGAATCGATCGAAGAATTTTCGTGAAAAAGTATTATTTTATACTGTATTGAATATTTAGAGTTAGATACGTTCTTTCAATATATTCTCTAAGAGAAATCCTCTGAACTACTGTTGGAAATCGTAAGTGGCGATTCAACATACCAATATGAGATGGAAATCAGGAATGTGGAGATTACGTTAGAAGCGTCGGAGTTATTAATCGCCGAAGATGCGCGGGAAAGGTGTCGAACGTGGGAGGTTCGTACCGCTGCTGAGGTCAACTGCACGCGACGTGCAGCGTAAGTCCCTCTCTTCGGCATTAGTAATTAATAACCTACATACTGATTTCCATGTATGCAGAATACAATTTGATCAAGATCTCGAAAAAATTGTTGAAGATAGGAAATTTAGAGGAGTTGTATTTTAACTCCTCGCAATCACGAGGCCAGCTGTAGCGTCCAGACAGAGATGGGCAGAACCCTAGGCTTCGAATGAACCTGAATTTTGCCGATGTGTTTGTCTCGTTTCTTTCTTTGGAAAATGTTCGAAAGAGGAAACGAGACAAACGTGTCGGCAAACTTCAGATTTATTCCAAACCTAGGGTTTTGTTCGTCGCTGCAAAATAGTTCGTAATTAGTAGATTGCGGATTTTCCTTCAGATTTTCATCTACAGGAGACTTTAATGTGCAAGGAACTACAGAATCCATACAGCATGCAATAATATAAAAATACATCGAAAGTAAAGTTCGTATCGTAATATTTATTCGAAGCCTAGGGTTTTGTCCATCACTGCGTTCAGGCACTCGAAGGCGTTGAACTCCTAGACTGGAATTCCAATACACCGAAAAGTTTCCAAAAATTGAGACACACGAATTCCGGATACAGCATGCGATGGCCTTTCCGATTGGTCCCATCGCTACGTGCCGGCACTCGAGACGCCTCGCGTCGCCGTGGCGCCGGTAGCGGTGAATTCCTTATTGATAACCGACGAAGAAGCGTGGCGACCTTAAAATTACCGCGATACGCAGATGCCGCGCCCGAGGAGATAGAGCGGCCGTTATCCTTCTCCCACCGTGGTTCACGGAGTTTCTCTCCTTTCACCGAGAGACGGTCGAATCCGTGGAATCGGTCCATGCCTCTTCGTGGAGTCCTCGGCGTGGAACGGCGAGAGGCGTCTCGTCGTCTATGTCTCGGACCAGGGGGGAGGGACCTTTCGACATTGGAAGGCCACATGCCACTTCAGGGATTCGTCGTGGAGCCACCCACGCACGGTCGATGTTGTTGTGTAACGTGGAATACGGTAGAGCTCCATTTATCTGGACAAAGTTTGCATAACTGGAGTCACTGGAGATAATAACAGGATAAATTGGAATTAGTGGCAAGAGTATTTCTCGGTAATGATATTATGGATTGTGGTTCTATATATTAACCCTTTCGATCCAGCTGTTTTTTTTTTTTCTTCTAAAAATAAATTGTGTTAAACTAGGGTAACCTTCAAATCAAAGGTCATAGACAGATAAGAAAGGACAATCTACTTCAGCATAAATGATGTTCCGTCTTAATTGTAATTTGGTCGGTGGCACCCAGAAATATTCCTTGAGACATATATTACTTCGACTGATCGTGCGTGGACGTCGTAATGCCATCACGTACGACCTCGTTAAGATTCGAAATTAAAAGAAAAAAGGGAACGACCTTCGCGCCATGAAAGACTCGTCGGCAGTAAGGACGCTGACCGAATCGTATCGTGACACATTTATCCCCGGAATCAAAGATCGGCGGTTAGGATTCGCCGGACCGTAACGCGGTTATGGTGACACGGAGTCGAACGCGGTAATAGTATCGCGCAACGCCAACCAGAAGGACGTTGTCCGCGCCGCGTCTCGTTCTCGCCGACAGAGATGGGCAAAATCGTCGTTCGCATAAAAAATCACGACTAAGAGATAAACGTTTCACTCGTCACGGACTGGGTAGAAATTAGAATTGGAATTGTTTCATTAAAACCGCAGGTATAATTGCTCTTTTTAAACATCGAAGTAATTACAATCGGTACGATAAAAACGATTAATTATCGCACAGGAAAACATTATGTACGATGTCGTAGCATTACAATTAAAAGGGGACCGTCAACGTAAATGGTCGAAACGTGATATTAACCGAGCGCTTCGAGTTTACCACGACATAGTTCTACGACAAAATTCATCTCCGACGCAGAAATAAAGTAACGCAACAGTTTCGGTTACGAATCATCTGCTTACTCGTCCGTTATTCGAATCAAACTTTGCTCGACTCTATCCGCGTATCCCCTTCGTGCTCGATCATCGAAGAAAAGCGACTTTTCGATTCGCAGTTTCCCGCGGAGCGACGTTCCTTCGAGCCGGAGATGGTAATCGGAGACGAACGATGAGGCTGCGAGAGAGCGAATACTATGTTGAAGTGGGCTTACTATGCGCCTCTGACGAAGAATCGGTCATCTCCGACGACCCCGTTGGACGAACGGGAGAAGAGGACGATCTGCGAAAATTCACCGTCGCCGCCTAACCAGCCGCCATCGCGGTTTTCGCGCATAGGAAAACCTCCTTCCCCTTCTCGGTCGGAGGACGTAGAAATTTTGCGAGAACCCAAGTCGACGAAAAAGTGTCTCGGGGTGAGGAAACATACGAATAAGTCTCATTGGCTGTTTAAGAAAGAACTAAACGCCGGAAAACGTAGTCCAGTGATTACCGCTCGCTAAATAACCAATCGGATCGTAATTGCAGATGATCGCAAAGGTAATCTGCCCAACTCTGGTTCCGTGTTTCGTTGGTTAAACACGAGGCCCCCGCGGACCCCCTCGCAGTCCTCCTCCGCGACTCCTTTGCCCGAGCACGTGTGCGATCGCACCTCACGTGTTTCCGTTTGATGTTGCGCAGGGTTCCGATCCAAGAGTGGCGACCTGTCGGGGAAAGTTGCAGAACAAACGGAGCAAGCTCAATCAGGAAATAAACAAGGAGCTACGGCTGCGTGCTGGCGCGGAAAATCTGTTCAAGTAAGAAACGCGATGAGATGATTAAAGGACGCAGAAAGTCCCTTCCAGCTTTTTTTACATCCTTTTTTACTCTGTGATTTCACGTTTCAGAGCTACCACGAACAGGAAGCTGCGGGAAACGGTCGCCTTGGAGCTGAGCTTCGTCAACTCTAACCTGCAGCTGCTGAAGGAACAGCTCGCTGAGCTGAACAGCTCGGTGGAACTCTACCAGAATGTCGACAGGTTGATAAATGAATCTTTTGAGGTAGATTAGGAAGCTCGAAGACAGTTTCTACAGTGTACTTGTATTTTCAGCGTGGAACCGGCGATGCCCATGATCCCTCTGGGTCTGAAGGAAACCAAAGATATCGACTTTCGAGATCCGTTTAAGGTGAGCCATCGAACGGTTCAGGTTCCTGGAACGCTGGTTTTTGTATACCGAGTGTGATATGGGGCTTGTAAGCGTAGCAAGAGTCCTAGAATATCGATCTCTGTACCTTGGATGTCGTACAGAGCTTATGAGCGTAGGAAACGTAAGATGCCATCTCTGAATCACATGCCTCGCCCTTATAGCAATTGACGTGCATCACCATACCATGTCTAGTATACAGAGATCAGTGTCCAGAAAGTATAACTTCATTATTCCAACGGCGGCACATCCATGTCGTCTGCAAAATCCTCCTGTTTCGATGTACTCTCAGTATCTCTCCTACCAAAAGATGGTTCGACCTCTCGATCAGGCTTTCTTCTACCGACGATCCTCGAGAAATCTAGATCCGTGGCAGGGCCAATTTCTAAGTATTGGCGCATCGTCGTTCCCAATTTTTGTTCCATTTCACGACTGCGCTTCATTTTGGAAAGGTTCTCGTTCGAGTTGGTGACTCTGGCCTTTATGACTGGTAACGGCTTTAAGCGTGGCATCGTTATAACCAGCTTGCCGTTCGTTGTGTTTCTTCTGGCCGTGCTATTATCCACAGACACCTCGCAGGGAAGGGTCAACTGCAAGATTTTCCCCTTTATCGTTACCCTAACGTACTCTGGTTGCACGTCCACGTCAACGTATTGTGTGTCCAGGTATCTGGAAATCGATCCCAATGGTTAGGTTCTTCCCAAATGTAGTGGTCTAGACTAAATGGTATCTGTTTGTTCCGTTAAATGTACCACCTAGACCAAACTCTCGTGAAGTGAATGATATCTAGCCTCACGCACTTGTACACGGTGATCTCCAGAACAACGGAGTGGTTCTCGTCGATCAGCTTGAATGGTACCTTTGCCTGATTCATATTGTAAGGTTTGCCCTCTGCGCTGAACAGCTTTGGCTCGTAGGTTGGCGCTACGTTTTTTTGATTATTTTCCCGATTTCTTCTTTCCTCCCTACGTTGCCACCTCTCGGCGATGGCGACGCGCTCCTCAGGCGTGTGGTGACTGGTGCGCTGCCAAAATTGCTCGTTCTCCTCTTCCTCGTCTTCACTCTCGACCTGCAAATGATATTGCGTCTCTTCTACTAATTTTTAACTGCCCCGACTCACTTACCTCAGTGATTTCCGTTTGTGATCTTCCGTGAGCAAGTATTTCCGCTTTCCTGGTTTCCTTGTACCTCCCGTAGCTCCTTATGATCTCTCCTTCGATCCGAGCACAGGCTTGCAACGCTTTGATGCGTTCAGATCGCTCGATAACAGTCCCATCCAATTCTTTCAGTTGCATCAGCGTCGCTATCACGTATTCCCTGTAGCCGTCGTAATCCGCGCACGGATTCCCCATGAGGAAGAGTTGCTCCAAATTTTCGTTGCACCTGTCTCCGATAAACAATGGAAAAATGGCGGAACCGTTAAAAAATACGCACGTTTACCTTAGCTTGTCAATGCCTCGTAGATCGCCGATGAAGTTGACCGTCAGGTCCAACTTTTTCAAACTTTCGAGACCTTCTAAATTCTCGATGGCCTCTATGTTGTTCAAGGCTAGGTTCAAGTACTCTAGTCTCTTCAGTCTGCTCAGATTCTCGATCTTCGCGATGAGGTTATGCTGCAATAATAAAATCCTCAAGTCCTTGCACGTACGGTCGATCAATTCGATCTTCTCTATGTTTTCCTGATGCAAGGCAATTTCCTCTAGCGTTGATATCTCGCCCTCGTTGTGCTCCGAACGCTTTCGTATAAGATCCAACGTGATCCTCGCCATTTTTCTCTCGACTATCCAACAACTATCCAAGCGAAGTTGGACGTGGTCGCTAAGCAACCATTAGCAACTATCGATTTAACGTACATTTTGCTTTGGTAACTTAGTTTTGCCTTGTACATGTTGCGTAGGACTTTATCCTTGAACACTACAGCGAGGATGGAGGAAACTACGAGGAAGCCATCGCGGACCTTATGGAAACCAGACAGGTGAGCGATCTTTCTCTTCTCGAAATTCCATCTAGAACTAACAAATTTGGAAAAACTGAGTTTACTTATTAATGTACACTATTTTGCAGGCGACTCGAACGCCAACGAGAGATGCAGCTGGCATAGCGTTACTCCTGCGCTACTACAACCAACTGTACTTCGTCGAACGACGATTCTTCCCGCCTGATCGTAGCCTGGGCATCTACTTCGAATGGTTCGACTCGTTGACGGGTGTTCCAAGCTGTCAACGAACAGTCGCCTTCGAGAAGGCCTCCGTCCTGTTCAATGCTGGAGGCTTGTACACCCAATTAGCAGCGAAACAGGACCGTAGGACCGCTCGAGGATTGGACCAGGCTATCGACGCCTTCCTCAGAGCCGCTGGTACCTTTCGGTACATACACGAAAACTTTACTAATGCGCCCAGCATGGACCTCGGACCAGACATGCTCGAGATGCTCGTCCAACTGATGCTGGTAATCACTTGTCTTGTTCCTCAACGCTCTACATCAATAGTTCAACAGAAAATTTCATACAGATTCTCTTGCTTCCAGGCACAGGCGAGGGAATGTTTGTTCGAGAAGCTGGAGCTTCAATCGGCGCAAGGAAGGAACATGGACGTTTCTCTGGATCTCGCGCAGGAAGCGGCACAGGTAAAGAGCGTGAGCTTTTTATATACATAGACTACATATAGTCTGAAACGAACCTTTTAAGGATTTCGAACCTATCTCTGATTGCTCAAGGTGGCAGCGGTCTACAGCGACGTCCACGGACTCATATCGCGCGAACCGGTTCGGGACTACGTTCCCGAGACATGGATCTCCCTGATCTTGGTCAAACGTGAACATCACCTGGCTCTAGCTCACAAGCATCTCGCGCTTGGACTGTTCGATCGTCCAGTCTCGGAATGGCGCTCGGAAACGAGGCTAGCGCTCGAGCACGCGCAGAAGAGCGACGGAAAGACGCAGCTGGACATAATTCTGCCACGGGACGAAAACGAAAGAAAACTATTAGGTACGTGTGGCGATGACGTCTCTATAGGTTGACACGCGTTTGGTATCCGATTCAACAATCGAATCGTTTGCTGTAGGGAAAGCGCATCTAAGGGAGGCTCTGGTTCTTCACGAGGAAAGCCAGAGGCTGCAGAGGATGTGCAGAGACCTCAAAGCGAAACAGGCACTCGCCAAGGTTCTGAAGAAAGTCCAGGAGTCGACCGTGGAGAGCTACAATGGTATCGGAGATGAGGATGACTTTCGAGGGTTGCTGGATCCTCCTGACATTATCGGTAAGGATAGCCAGAAGCTATACCTCTAGAGTTTTGACCGCTTAAGGCCATCTTCATTTTTGTTTTTGAAACTAGCGTCCACCAAGTTTCAACTAAACATCACGCATCCAGATTTCGGCCAGCACGGAGTGGATGATCTTTTTAGAACCTTAGGGCCAGTGGCTATATTCTCAGCGAAAAGACATTGGACTGCTCCGCGGCTGATACAGCTTCAAAGAGGACCCGACGGCGAAGGCTTCGGTTTCAGCGTTCGCGGCGACGCTCCCGTGATAATAGCTGCGGTCGATCACAATTCGCTAGCCGACGTAAGCACGCACCAGCTGCAGTTAACCCTCTATTGCATCGACTTTATTTTATCTTTAAAAAAAAAACGCCTTGGTTATCGCTTAACATAAAAGTCGGATAGCGTTAGAAAGTATTTTAATGTTGGTTCTTATGAAACAACAAGTGGCTGAACTCGCAGAGCTGCAACGTCGGTTTAGTGTCGGTAGGATGCACCCACATTATCGATTTTGAATTAATAATAAAATACGCTTAGTGTCTGAAGTGCTTCCGTTTGATCTATTATAAATCTAAACCGTGATTGTTTCCGTTGGATTCCCGATCGGGCACCTTATGCAATAGAGGGTTAAAAATACACGACAATGCTGGCTTTCTTCCATTATTTTCTCGCCTGCTTCCTGTCTCTTCATCTACCTTAACGCTCAGTTTATATCTTTGTTTATTTTACTTTTATTTTTAGCGCTGTTTTTATTTACACTTTGTCCTATATATTCTTATACGTATAGTTTCACGTTTATTTATATCGTACTTGATTATGTCTGTCAATTTTTCGACTTTGTCTAGATAGAACCACGCGTTATGGGTGTTCTTAGAGGATTTCATTCCAGAGTGTACAGTGTAACGTCAAAGGTGGCTGAATAATAAATGATCTTTCTGTCTCGCTTTCCCTTTAGTTAGGTGGAATGAAAGAAGGCGATTTCATAGTAGGCATCGGCGATAAGGACGTAAAATGGGCGTCTCACGAACAAGTGGTGCGGCTGATTAAACAATCAGGGGATTTTATCAACTTGAAGCTGGTCACGCCTATGGATAGAAATTATTTAAAGGTATAGGTCCGCTAACAGTCGTCATTCGATACTTGTTTGTAGAAATCTCAATGAACAAATACTGTCCAGGTGTCCTCGAGCTTCCCTCGTTTTTTCTTCAACCTCGGTGGGATATTCCTCTTTACTCGAATAAATAAATAAATATTTGATTTCAGAGGCCAGGTAAGACCAACCAGCAAGACAGGGGAAGCGTTTCAGCGAGTAGCTCTTCCGGCGTCTCTTCCGGTCAACCAAGTCCCGCCGGATCCGTCACCACTGCTCATGTGGCCAAAAAGCTACCCTGGAATCCGTTCAAAAAATCGACTGTACAGCGCGACAGCAGGGACCTGACGTTCGACAACGTTATCTTGAGATGATTCGTTGGGCACTGGGCGTGTTTGAGCTTTCGTGGCAACGGAACGTAGCTAGGCCTGGGATTTGTCGAATTTTTCTCTATTTAAATATTTCATGCGCGGACAAAGTAACTAGATATTCCTAGCATTTGGAACTTTTTGAACTTTATTTTTATTCCAGGTGTTATTCAACATAGACTGATACAGTTTTTCAAACTCGGAAAGAATCTAAGAATTTGTTGAAGTCAATTGCGGAGTTTTTTAATACTATACAATAAAGATGAAACTTGTTATCGTATAGTTTTAAATAAATTCCAAGATCCACTTAAGTCCGCTGTTTTCTTCATATTTAACTTTGTACATTGTTGTAGTAAACAATGTAGAAAAAGTTTAACTCAAAGGATATGAACCTATTTCAATTCGTCAAGTTTAACACATCATCGATATCCATAACCTGGATCGCAAGGGGATAAAATATTCTACTGTTAAATTATCGAAATAAGTCCCAGCCCTAAATTGCGAGCCTGGGAAACGCTTCGAGACGCGCGCCAGACTCCTCGCGTTGCCCGTATTTCAACGATTCTGTATAATACGCATCTATAGAAGTACTGTATGTATATTCATACGCTCGAAATCTTATCGCGTCCCGTATCTCGAGGCTAGTTAGTTCCGATCGATGGATCTCGAGCTACGATGGTATACGCGAAATTACCACCGTGTGACCAGAGATGAGCAAAATTCTTATCTAAATGAAAATCTCGAATAACAAACAAAACACGAACAGTCATGAATCCGTTACTCGTTAACGCCTTGAACAAATGGTAATATTATCCGATAAAGTGTTATATTGTACGTTGATTCTATTCGTCATTTATTATTCGAATAAAATTTTGCCCATCCTTGCGTGTGACTCGACGTCTCTCGACGGATACGCGGTATTGTACAAACGATTGGTGAAACGTATCGAGCGAAAACGTGCCGTCTCGTCGAATATATGTTTGATGTTGCTCTCCACGAATGTACGCATACGTAACGCGCCAATTACATATTATTCGAAAAGAAAGCGTAATTTACTTTTTTTTTTCTCCCCCTCCTTCGCGCAACCAAACTATTTTCATTAGACGTGCGTAGTTACGAAACAGAGGTGAACGTTACGTGAAGGACAACCTTCCTATTCGATCGGCGATACGCGCACGTTCTTTTGGTTATTACAAACCGTGGCTTTGCGGATCGAAACAAAGCCTAACGTGCAGAGACTTTAAATTAGCGTCATTTTCGACGAGACATTTGTTTACGTTTATCGAAAATACTTGTTAGTGGAAAGAAGGTCATCGAGTGAGATGATCGCGACACTGTCGATCGATTATTGGTAAATAAATTACGATTCCGATTGAGTTACGTTGTATTCGAATTTTTGAAGAGACCTTGCTTCCAATCTTGTAAACTCATAGCAATCAATCATATCCCACGTGTTCCAATGTACCAGTGAAAAATGTTCTTTAAACATTCTCTCCCATTATCAAACGCAACAAAGACAAAGAGGACCCTAAAAGGGTTATGTTGTCGTTTAAGACTTCACCACCTTCGAAAAACAAAATCCTAAAGCCCTCTTTGGAAAGCCACTTATTTTACTTTCCATACGCGACTTCATCTGTACACAAACACTTCCTCTATTTACGTAATGTACGCGTTAGGATAATTGATTTATATTTAACTATCTCTTAGATTATCACTGCGGTTAGGTCTTTCTTTATGTAATATTACCTTTCTCGATACCGCGACTTATGCGAACACTTTCGTTATTCGTGTAATAAAGTCGTTATAATAATAATTAATCGTTGGATCGCTTCCGGCGGTTTTGATTCGGTTGCTCGAGAAAGCGCGGACACGTCGCAAGGTAGGAAAGAGTAGAAAGGTACGCGGAGCACAATAAAAGCGCAACTTTCACCTGGAGCCAAGGAACGTCGTGATACACGATCGATTACTATTACGCAATTGGGCGAACGCGAAAACGATGCCTGTCACGCGTTGACCGGTGTCGAACTATAATAGAAACAAAACAGAGGCGACCGTCTCAGACCTGATGCTCTTTAAAAAAAATAAAGCCACCACGAAATGGAAGAATACAGAGAGAATAGAATTTCAAAAAGCCCGTGTGTGCGGTATTTGTTTGCTCAAGGCCAGGAACGATTTAACGCTTCCTTGGACTTTGGCTGGTTCATCGAACGCGAACGTTTTCGCACCACGGTTCTGGATAATGCGAGGGAAATCCGTCATTTCGACCATAAAATGCATGTTCGTACTAATTGCGCTGTTAATCATTCGTTTACGTCAAGCATGTCGAACCGAACAGCCTCGTAGATCTCGTTTTACAGTTGTCTTGACCTTTTCGTTATTTTTATTCGATTTTTTAATCCTCGTTTATTATGCAAAGTTTCATCACTCTCTATGTTTCTGTTACTACTACGAATTCTATTGTAATTTGCATTAATGCAATAGCATTTATCATACACGGTAGACCTCAATTATTGCACGGCATCGACCTGTAGAGGGGATGCCAAGGAAGAAGATTGGAGATAATGGTGGGGATGTATTAGGTTGTCCGAGAAGTTTCTTTCGTTTTATTAATAATTAATTCATACACAATATTTGATGTTTTATGTTACATTACTTAATTTTGCACGATTCATTTCGCTCCATTACTGTTACAGCATCATTGTCTAAGAAATTAGATTGTCTATTTATATATAAATATAAACATATATATAACATTATATATATAACAATATATATTATATATAACACAAAAAATATATATAGATACATAAACACTGCCACAGAAAATAATTGAATGCAACTCACGAAAGAAACTTTTGGGACAACCTAATACAACTACCTCGATTACTGCACGCTACCCAGCCTCCATTTCCTGCAATAATCGAGGTTCTACCGTATTCGTATATTTTAGGTCCACGAAGAGGAGCGGAGCACCTTCTTCTCCGACGAAGGGCATCCGTCCGAGGTTCCTTCCTCTCAGTGGAACAGCAAGAAAACGGAATAGCCTCGTTGCTCATCGAAGCGATCGAAAGTGGACCCACGGTGAAAGTAAAATGTAGGATTACGAGAAGAAAGTGAATCTTCGAGCTGCTTCGCCCGTGAAACAGGCGGCGTGGTTAAGTTTCAAACTCCTCGGAGTCCGAGGCTCCCATTCGAAGAAAGAAAACACCGTTCGCACGGCTCGTAAGTCGGTCAGTCATTTTTTACGTCTAACGGGTGTAGTAATTGATTTTCGTAAGCGTCAACACGAATGCTAAGGAGCTTTGTTTGCTCGCGTGGGCGAGATATGGCAACGCAGCGGCCAGATCGAGATGAAGTCGATGAAATAGGCTTTGGATTTCCAAGTCCTCGAAACCTAGGCTCGAGTTTCTAGTTTTATATATCTTTTACGACTCGGACCCTAACGTTCAGTATTCAGGAAAGTTTAGATTTCGATGCTGAACGTTGGCTGGGATAATTTAAAATAAATCTTTTTGTATGTAAAAAGAAAGGTTGCATTCCATTTTCCGATATTTCCATTTCTATCAGTTTCACTAATTGCACGGAGAGATAAAGCAAAAATCAGGTGTGCAGAGTTCTTACGACGCGTTTCTTTACGATTTTGCCCCACTGTGCGAGGAGAGTAGCAGCGGGAAGAACGAAAGGAGCGGCGTCCTTAAATTGCTCGCGCGAGCAACCTGGCGGCTTTACTTCGGTCCAAGTTGCTCGCCTAAGAACATCATCTCCCCGCTCGCCTAATCGCCTCAAATAGAACTACAATTCGTGAAACATGAAGTGCGCGATACTCGACTCAAGTGCGCGACGATGAACCTGCGAAGGAGTTAATCGCAAATCTCTACTTTTTCGCGGTTGTAAGACTCGGTAGTGGTCCGAGTTCGAAGAGGACGTTAGGGTGCTTGTTAGGGTGCTTGTAGAGTCCTTTAGGACGCCAAGAAAACCAGAGATGGGCAGAATCTTTCTCAAGTAATCGACGAAATTCGCATTCGTTATCCTTGACCGGTTCAGACAAGAAATTCTTCACCTGTGCCTCGCATGTTGATAATTAGGAGGACCGAACAGTACGCTAGTAATTGGGCATGGGTCATTCGGATGAATTACTATTCGTGTAGCATAACTTGATTGCATCATTCAGATTACATTTTTTATCGAACACGTAACGGATCCAGGGTTGTCCTCCTTTTTTACATTTCTATGCATCGACGTTCTTATTCCTCCTTTTTATTTCACTTTGTAACTATTATCTCGTCTATAATTAACTTCACTCTAAAAAAGAAAATACAGCTTTCTAAATAAGAGCGCCGTCAGCTTGGAAAAAGGAAACTCCTCCTCCTGGCATTGGAAACTTTCCCGTAAATAAATGAGCCCAATAAGATCCTTTACTCATCGTTCGATATTTGTTATTTAGATGAGACTTTTGCCCGTCTCTGGTGCACGCCAGGAGAACGTCTCGCCTCGACGAGGGCCCTGTAGGCGCGTGCGCTCGATAGAAAGCTCGACGATCGGGGTACCGCGAGGACGGTTGTTCTCTCGCTAGTAGATCGGTGTCGGACTTTCTCCTGTACGGGAGGATCGAGAAATGTCGTAAGAAGTCGTCGTTGGGTCTCGTAACCGTCGGGTGCCCGCTTGCAATTCGAACGAGTTGGAAACGAGGACGCGACACGGATACAGGCGCGAACGGGTGCGGAGGAGTCCCCCCGAGAAGCGCGAAGTTCGCGAGTGGAAGAGGAAGGGTCTGGCTCTAAGGAGATCTAACCGCTAGTGATCGCCGATCGCGTGAACGATAGGTCGACGATGGCCAACACGTCGAAGGAGGATTACGGGTGCCCGTTGGACGAGGCGACGAAGACGATAGCTCTCGAGGAGTTAAGGGAAGACGACGTGACCAAGGAACAGGCCCTGGACCAGTTCAGACATTGGATTCAAAAGCATCCTACCATCAAACGCTGCAGAACAGACGCAGCCTTCCTCCTGAGGTTCCTCAGGACCAAGAAGTTCAGTCTGCCCATGGCAGAGGAGATGCTGGAACGATACCTTACCATCAGACAGCTCTACCCCAACTGGTTCCAGAACCTGGACATCGAGGATCCCGACATCGAGGCGATCGTGGACGCTGGATACCTGGTACCGCTGCCTCACCGCGATCGCCATGGTCGACGAGTGATACTTTCTTGCGCCGGTAAGCGTGCCGCGATCTGGGACGGGCTACTCGGTGCCCGCAGATTTCCAGAACGGCGGGCAACATCGAACGCTCTTGGACGAGATCCTTGGATCTCGAAATACGCGTCGAATTAAAGGCGACCCCGTAATATTATAATAAGCAGGTTTTACTAAAGGTTCAATTTTGAAATTCCAATTAGTTCCTGAATAATGAATTAAACTGAAGAAACTCTGCATAATTATTCCATCACCTCGTCTACAAAGACATGTTTTATCTACAACAATTCTACGATAACAGTTAGTTTCTTACATATTTTATTTAAAAACCGAATTCCTCTATACATTCCGTAGTTTAAACACTTGAATAATGAAATAACATAGTCTATGAACACTTTCATGGGTGATCGCGGTTTTCGTTTGCCTTCCGTTGTTACAATTCCTCGTTCTGGGTTTAAGGTCGCTTCGATCCGTACAAATACACGTCAGCGCAGATGGCCCGGGCGCACAGTCTCGTAGTGGAGACCCTGATGGACGACGAGGAGAATCAGGTCCGCGGTTACACGTACATTAACGACGAATCCGGATTGACCATGGGTCACCTCAGCGCCTGGTCCCTGACGGACATTCGTAACATGTTAAGATGCATTCAAAACAGCACGCCCATGAGGCACAAGGAAACGCACTTCGTTAATATTCCAAGCTGCGCGACCAAGATCATCGAATTCGCCATTTCGCTTCTCAACGACAAGTTGAGGGCACGGATCTCGGTATGTGTACCTTTTTATATATTCAGTTCGTGTTTCAGCGGATCCTACCAATCTACGGATCGTGTTTTTCTTCTGTGTAGGTGCACAAGAGCCTGGACGAGCTGAAGGACGCGATAGATCCGTCGAGTTTGCCAAAGGAATACGGAGGAGACGTGCCGCTCTCCGAAATGATCGGTACGTAATGCGCGTAGATATAGGACCTGTATGTTTACGATTTCGTTACACATGGTATAATTTATGCTTTACAGCCGAGTTCAAGAAGACCTTGAAGAAACAAAGAGATGGAATAAAAGCGCTCGACGATATGTACATAGATATTTCGTCCTCGGATTGCCGCGCTGTTTCGAGCAATTTAAACGGTATACCCGGATCGTTTCGTAAATTAGAAGTCGATTAGAGTCCTCCACCTTATGGGTACACGTTTATGCAAATTAAATTTGAATCATAATAGGAATCTTTTGTAAAAGAAATTACGTAAGTGATAAAGTCAAATCAGATTTTATTATTAGAATAAGATATAGTGTTCTCTAAGACAGCAAAGTGTACCGAGACGTATCACGTGTACCCGTGTATTTTAAAACACGTACAAGGTCGAAGGTTCTAATTAACAGTATTTCTTCCCGTCGAACGGTCTACATCTCACTTCCTTTCTAAGCTACAGGATACGGTTGTCTCCGACCTTCGACGTGCTTCCAGTTAAATAGTTAGTTAGCTCTCCATGTATTACGATCTCGTTGCGAGTCACGCGACAATAGTTTCGTACGACCAGGCATCCCTGTTAATATTATAAACCTTTACGAAAGGTATAAAGCGTTTCTCCTGCCGGTGGTATTAGTTACCTACAATTGTTTAAATTTATATACAGTTTAGAATAAGATGCGACGATTCTGCTCGTCGTTAGACAAGTTAATTATATGTGTAACGTAGAAATGATAGGACAGTGCGCGGCGTAGACGTGTTATCTCGGGAATCGAATCGCCGAGTACGATTCGTGACGAACAAAACGACGACAGATGACATGGAACGTTGAAACAGAACACTCTGCGTACCATTATTTGTATCTATCTTTCCTTTGAGAATTTACACAGGATTACCCGAAAATATATGCTACATCTGTGTCAACTCAAAGCACCGATATAACAACCAAACGTATGTACATTGTATCGATAATCTCCTCTTTATTAGGCTTCGTTAACATCTACAAGCTCGCAGTCGTGTAGAATTTCTTTCAAATACGCTGTACTTGCCGGTGCCGTAGTATAGAGACTCCCTGCAATACATAGAACAATTTCATCGACACATTGTAAACGAAACGTTCGTAAACTAGTAAGCGACCTTTACAAATAAAACGTAAATTCCCATACTTACCTATAAAAGTTTTAATGTTATTATCATATAAAATAACTTTGCAATTGTTTTTATGTAGTATTTTAAATCCTAAACAACGAAATCGTTCATCCGTCTTGTAAAGACTGCTATTCTTTTGCAAACTCAAGTATGGTTGTCCACTGAATGGATTGATAAAATCAGCCCAGTATCCGATCATTTTTAATTTCGAACAAATATCCGAAGCGGCTAGCACAAACTGTTGAAAATGATAAAAGACAAATTTTGCTTTACCTTATCTTACTTTGGATCATTTCTTTAAAATTTATCCACCTTTTGCTTCCAATGTAGGTTGGATGCTTACAAAGACTTACGCATTTGGCTAGCTCTTCCGTTTCCATTTCTTGACTCCATCTGGACTTTGCACTAGTTTTCTGACAAATACTAACTATAGAGAGTTGCGGCGAACCGACATCTAGGCATCCAGGAAAGAGTTCTTCTATACCTTTCCGCAACAATAAAGGACATTCTTGAGCAACGCATCGAAGCATCGATCGTTGGGTATTGCCCTTCAGACGACTCCTTTGACTTTGAGGTGGTTTACCATCGTACTCAACTGCGACCCATTCATTATTATCACAAATATCGACTAGCTGCGTTCTCACTTGTGCAGTGGTAGTTGCATCTAACCATCCAGGACCAACACTTCCTGGTAGATAAAACCGGAAGCCTCTTGGTGTTAGTAATTCCCAATTGGAGTTTATTCCAAGTACAGCACCGTCCACATCTAATGGTGTAAAGAGACAAAGGATAATTTAATTATGTTTGAAAACATGGCACTGCACAGTCACAGTAAATTTACCGTCTAAATTATCAGTCTGCGATTTGACAACTTTGTACGTGCTCGCACTCTTATCGCTACGCCTCGAGTAACGATTCTTCAGGAGAAGGTTAAGTAAAACCGTAGAATTAGAATTTCTCGCACACTTCAAAGATAACATCTGAAACGTAATAACAACGTCAAGGGTATGTTTTGTGACTTTACGAAACACCAATGCCAAATAAATATCGTTGTTATGTTTACAGATGTATTATATTTGCCAACATCGCGAATTAAATTAATTCATCGAATGGAGGTGTAGTTACCATTGAGCCACGATTCACATGCTGGATCAACAATTTCTCAATCCCAAACACCGTTTGGCTTCTAGCTTATCTAACTGTTTTCGTCTTTCGTCGATCATTCGTATACATATCGCATTATTTGCAAGGATACCTGATGCAACGTCAATGTACAAACGAATCCAATTGGATTTTACAAAATGGAGTCAAATTATTACTCGTCAGATGGCACGACGTGATCGTCACTTTTGCTTCAACATTTGCATTGAACATTGTTATAGCCAAAAATACAGGCTTTAAACTTTAACAAAATAAATAAAAAAAGAAATGCTTCGACATTTTTCTGCCCTTAGGGGCTGCAGCTGTATTTTATTGTAGCTGCAGTACGGATTTGGCGAACCCGAAATACCCGAGCTACAGATAGGTGCGATAGGTCAATGGGGTTTCTCAAGAATTAAATGATTGTAAAGAAAGAACTAAGACTGGTACATTAGGTGTTATAATGAAATTATACGACTTTGTTAATAACTTATAAATGAGAATTCAGACTTCAGCAGCTTTTGTCTGCATTCTTTTTCGAACATGATTAGGCAGACTTGGGCTTGTCTGTGTGCATTGGTTAGTCTTTTAGTCTTCTTTTAGACAAAGATATCGTGAAGCATAAGATTTTACTTATAATTTTCAATTCTTTCAGGATACTTTGAGCATTTGTTATTTGACGTCGGTAATCATACGTACCCGTGAGGGACAGAGCAGAGGTCGCGTGGAACGACGCGTCAATCTTCGCTCGGACGTTGTGTTACCAACAATGCGTAAGACTACCTTATCGGAAGTCCGAAACTTACCGATTCTACAGTCGACGATCGACTTCGTGGTCGCTAGTATCGTTCGAGCGCGGAGAAGTGTGTGTGGTCGAATATAGAGCGACGAGTACGACACCGCGAGTAGGAGACATCTGTGTGGATTTTGAACTGTGTTTTGTGTCGCTCGTTCGAAAGGTGCGTCACTTGGTCGTTTCTAACCTACAAACGTCGAGATGGCCGAGTCGGAACAAGATTTTGGCGATCGCAGCGATAATGACACTCTGAAGCCGGACAAGTTATTTATCCTGAAGAAATGGAACGCCGTGGCCATGTGGAGCTGGGACGTGGAGTGTGACACCTGCGCAATTTGTCGAGTTCAAGTAATGGGTGAGTACTTATTGACAATTTATAGGTTAGGGAGCTACTCGCGAAAGAAAGTTGCGAATCTTTCGTACTCGATAAATTAGCGATTGGAATGATGAATGTTAATCGTTCTTATAAAACATGTCACTGTTTAACCCCTTCGTGTGCTCATAGTATTGATTTTATTAGAAAATTATTACTTATTATTGGTTCACTGTTGTGGGTGAACAGTTTCAATTATCTATGTTTTTCGATCAATTTTCGATGCAATTTTATTCTATTTAACCCAAAACAGGTTAGTGTATATTAAGAGGAAGAAATGATCACTGTGTCTAGGTGTAGATACGAAGGGGTTATTTAGATTTTCTGATTCCTGCACATTGATTTAGATATTTAGATATAAGATCTTCATATATAAAAAGCAATATTCAACTCCTCTAAAACTAAATTGATATTGAAGTTTGATGACCCAAAGCAAGAGAGAGTTAGTAGTTGTCTAGAGTAATGCATTAAAAGGGTTGAGTACCATGGTGTTTGTTCTGAATCTAGCCTTGAATGTAATCATTTTTAAATAACAATTATCAATCCAGTTGCATAGTATTAAATTCAGCTTGTTACTCTACCTATTAACGTAATTATTATATAAAGAATATCACAATCAAACCTTGGTTGATCAATAAAAAAAGCCAAGCAAGTGTAAAACACCCACTATCTGGGTGAACCTTGACTAAACTGTTAACACGTTGACTGCCAGAGAAATATTCTTGAACATTTCTGCTAGGATTAATTATCATTCAGTCATGGTATTTATTTTTGTAACTTCATCAAAATACACGAATTTCATTTAAATTCATTTCCTTTGAAGCTTAACTTTCAGAATTAATTTTTTTAGTTTTTCAGTGAAAAGCACTGTCACCCACATATGGGTGACGTGGCGATCAACGTGTTAATAACAATTAGCAAACCACGACTGCATCAACAAGCATATAGTATACAAATAAGATGTCTATTTGAACCATATATTAGCAATTGCAGTCCGAATTAATTCCATAGAGTGAATATTGAAAGGGTTTAGGACACAGAAGGGTTAATTGGAGTGGGATGAAAAGAACAACGAAGGGGTATCGTGTTAAACGTTAGATTTTAATAACTTATAAATTACATACAAACTTAACGCGAGTATTACGTTTTCAAAACATATTTCCATCGAATTTTGATTTTGGCAAGCACCGTTACGTCCACGAGGCACGCGGTACAAATAGTCTGTCGGATAAATACATGTTGTGATATAAAGGTGAAAATATAGAGTCGAACGAGAGTTCGAGTTGACGTACGAAACACATTTTCGACGAAAACTTATTGCTCGGTACGTCGTTTAGTCGAAGAAGCACCGTACGTTAAATCGCACGATAGGAATGTTTTGTGACGCCATCTTGTTCCATTGTAGAAAAGAGATTCAAAATGATGTTGCAGCGATAAACGTATAGCTTAATTCTCTCGCTAGTTTCCCATAAGAGCTCGTACGCTGTTTCAAAGATCCTTTTCGAAGATACCTTTGTGGGAAACTAGCCAGTGAATCGAATCCGTGTCGTTTCGTTCGTACGAAATAAAAAGAAAACGAAAAAAATGAGTGAAGAGGTGTCGCGCGTGCTATCGAGATTCAATGCGATCCGATTCGATCGGAACGGAAACTAGACGCGTCGCAAACACAGGTAACGATTCTTTCGAATCGGGATCAGATCGGGTGTTCAGAATTGGCGTAAACGAAGCGTCGTGGTGCCTCGGTACGGACCGTGCGCTTTACTTTTTTTTTTTTTTTTGCTGTTGATTCCCAGTGGGAAGTTACCTTTGTGGCGAATGCTCGCATCTAAAATGTTTTGATAACACCTAGGTCTGTTTAACATAAACATTACTCGAGCGCCACTGGTAGTCAAGCTAGTTCGTTTGTTCTCCCAGTTATAACGTCATTGGAAAAATAAACGCGTGATATATTTTGGTCTCTGTTTCTTAACTATATCTTACGATTTAATTCGTTCGTTGACGATGCAATTGACGCGTATCGGTAATGTCGTAAGTATATACAAACTCGACGGCCGGTATCGACGGAGATACACGAGGATAAGAGGTGGTGGCACGTCGCGTTGAAAATTTATTGTCGCGATTCGAACGAACTTGGTCGTTCTTTCTGAAGGCGGCGCTGTCCTTTCTCATTCAGAAAACTGGGTCTCAGCTCGACTCGGCTCGCGAGCAGCTCGAAACATCCGAGTTTTCTGCAGTCCTACTGCATACGATCATTTCGTCAACACCAGGTCGCGCCTTGCTCGTTTACTACGCGTATACTAATTAAATAATTCGCACTTGTCGTTAAACCTACACGTATACCTTTCGTGAAAGTACTAAACTTGAGGTAGACCCTGTAAAAACTATCGAATAACAAAAATATGCAACTTGAACGTCGCGCATCAACAAGAGTTTCCATCGTTGATCATGCATCGCGTCGCTCGTTTCTTTCTCTCTAAACATTCATCTATCCGTAAGCGCTTCTCATAAGTACAGAAAGTCAAACTATCGAAACACGTTCGACATTGCACTCCTCCTCCTCCTCCTCCTTCTCCTCCTCCTTCCCCTAGCCTCAACGAAAATTCTTGGAACAGGTGTTCCTCATTATAATTCGCTTCGAAGTCGATTTTTTCGTTTACCTTAGCATAGGCGAAGAGAAGCATAAGGAAGAGAAATTAAGTCGAGGAGGTGCTTAGACTCGATCGAGTTCCAAAGGAAATTCACCTTATCGGTAAAGGAACTATACGAATCGTTCGATTGACTCCGCGGACCGACGTCGAAGCGTCGATACGCGAACTTATCCCGCCATCGAACAGATTTGATTGGCTAGCTATCGAGCGTTGCTATACAGCAACGATTAACAGGCCATGGGCATGGGCTTCATGTTGGCCACCGCGCTCATTCTTCGCACGGGACCTGCGAATCTCTTCTCGATCTCCTCGAGCGATCTGCCGCGGGTTTCCGGCACACAGAATATCACAAAGACGAAACCGATCATGACGATCGTGCCGAAGAACCAGAAGGTACCGTGTGTACCGAACACGGAGACGATGTCCTCGTAGGTCTTCGTCACGACGAACGTGCACGTCCAGTTGAAGGCGGTGGCGACGCTGGCAGCTGATCCACGGATCTTCACTGGCAGAATCTCGCCCATCATTAACCACGGGATCGGGCCGAATCCAAGCGAGAAACCGATCACGTACACGATCAGGCTCAACAGTGGTATCCAACCGAAATCAGACACGTCCGCTTCCACGGAGTTCTTCAAGTAGAAGAACGTACCGAACGTGAACAGGGTCAAGATCATCGAGACCGCGCTTATGTAGAGCAACATCTTTCTGCCCAGCTTGTCTATCACAGCCGCTGCGACGAATGTCGAGATGAAGTTCACGATACCCACGAAGATCGTGGACAGGTTCTCGTCGATACTGCTGCCGGCGTCCTGGAAAATTCAACAGGAAATTTAGCGACCGGTTGAGGGAACAGTTTAGGTTCTAGTTGAAGTTGAGAGTTAGATTTTCAATGGTTCTTTTTTGTAGTTTTGTAGGGGCAGATATTCGATACTTTCTCAGATGTTTAGAAGTTTCGTTGCCACGTTAAAATGTGATTTTGCAAAAATAGTTTAGTAAGAAGCATGATTGCAGCTCAGCGTTAGAGTATCGACCTCTTACGCTTTGGACCAGGGTTCGATTCCTCGTGGACAGTTCCACATGTTTGTATTAGGTTGTCCCAAAAGTTTCTTTCGTTTTGAATTGTGTACGATTCATTTTGCTCCATTACTGTTACAACATCGACATCTAAGAAATTAGATCGTCTATTTATATAAACACTACCGCACAAAATAATTGAGTGCAAATTACGAAAGAAACATTCGGGACAACCTAATATATCATTTATTCATTGTTTTCATCGTACGGTAACTCCTAGTCTCCCCAATTTGAGCGTTCGAACAATTTCTAAGAAAAGCTTAAATGCGTACCTTGAAAATCTGGACGGTATAGAATATGACGGCGTTGATTCCTGATAATTGTTGGAAGAACATCAGTCCCAATGAGATTAGAAGAGGTTTCAGGTGGCTTTTCTTGAACAGCTCCATGAACGCTCCCTGCGATACATTTCTCTCGCTATCGATGTGCAATTTCTCGACTGCGGTCAATTCCTCGGTAATGTCGGTCTCCTTGCCGCGCAGCCATTGCAGAGACTTGCGCGCCCTTTTCGTCTGTCCTTTGGAGATGTACCACCTTGGCGTCTCGGGGATCATGAACATCAGAATCATGAACGGTATCGGTAAACTCGCCCCGAGCAACGCGAGATTTCGCCAGTTCATGTACATGCCCGCCACGAAGCACACTAGGATACCTGAATCGAATTAGAAAGAAAAAAAAAATCGATTTAGCATTGAATATCGAGAAAATGAGGCAAATCGATACAGGGATAGGCAAAATGTAGTTAAAAAAACGAATACGTTATTAATTTGTGCAAATGACGTTGGTCAACGCTTGGATTAAGTATTATCTTGATTACTTTAGTTGGATCGAGCGATTCTTGTTGCATACATAGAACGTTCTCGTTGCAACGATTTGAGTCACTCTCGGTGATTTGAAACAATTTAGATACTTGGGGTTTTTTTACAACAAGAAAAAAAAAACACATTTTTGTCATTCGATCGCAAAGGTATTCGAATGCTGTCCATCCATGTTCTCTGAGATTCGTCATTGTTGAGGTGCGTTTACGTTCATCGAACGAATACGTCGGCACATCAAAGAGTATCACGTTTGTGCTCAGTGTAAACGGTAGTCGTTCGTTCATGGTATCACGTGCTAGCCACGTTTCGTTATTAATATTTCAACAGTGAAAGCACTGAACGTACGGTAGGAACACACCTTCACGAGAATGATGAAAAAACGTGGAATCGTAGGATGCTTACCCGTGTTACCGAAGGCGGTTGGTAACAGTCCTAGAGTTCCTCGCACTTCGGCCTGTATCGTTTCACCTAGATAGACTGGTAGAGACAACGAAGCAATGCCGACGCAGAAACCGCATAGAGCGCGACCAACCAGGACCATTGCTACGTTTGTTGCCAACGCGATCAACAGCCAGGCTGCAATTGAAATATGGATCGGTGATTAATTGATCGTCCGAGCGAAGTGGGCGAATGAAAAATGTGTACACTGTCGCTCAAAAGTATGGAATACGTGCATTTTTGGACTATTTGAACTATAGGAACCATACAGGATGAAGCAATAAGTTGTTCCGCCTTGTATGTAGTCGCTATAGTTGAATTAAGATTAACTAGGTAACGAAAGTTGTAAATTTCAATGAGAATTATGAGAGCATGAACGATGATAGGATCGATGAGGTTCGAATTTCCTGGAAGTGACCATCGAATGATGTATCCTTGGCGTCGTAGCCTTTGTAAAAAAAAAAAACCGCGATCGTACCTGCGATGAACGGCAAAGCAGTGGCCAAGATGGTATTCCTTCTGCCAAGGTACTCGATGCACGGTCCTCCGGCAATGCCTCCGAAAAGCGCGCTCAACGGCATGATCGATCCTATCCACATGCCCTGGAATCAAAACCTTGCGTCATCTTGTGCTAAATCCTATTTCTTTTTTCCACGGAAATATTCACTCTTTGTATCCAATTCTTGTTGCTATTGGAAATCTACGGTAATGTCACGTTGAAGGCGACAAGGATTAATCAATGGTCGAACTAAACCATTAGGTTGAATCCGCGTATCTACCGCGAGAAATTAGCATGCATAAATCCTGATTGTCCTTTGATAAGTCGTTGGAAGCATAGTTTCAACTGTCCATCAATTTAATGCCACCCTTGCGCCTTAACGACACGCGAGAGGCGTCCCTGGAGGCGTCACTGACGTAGGAGCGAGCGAGTTACGCTCGGTAAATCGGCGAACCGCTCTAACGAGACGAAAGATTGCACGGGTGATCGCGTGTCGGCCTTCGAATATAAATAAGCCGCAGGAAGAAGAAAGGAATTGTCATGGAAGGAAGGAAATCGTTAATTCTGCAAGAAGAGTAGCGTACCGCGTGGTTGAAAGAGAACACGAGATACAGAGCGAGAGAGAGAACGCGGAAGCAGTCGGTTCGGTCGAGGGCCTATTCTCGCGCGATTAAAACCTCGTCACGGGCAACCGTCGGCGAAGGTTGCAACAGATTCGAGTCTCGTCCGGCGTCGCGAGCCAAGGAAGCCAATAGCGCGCCGCGACGCCGAGAGGCGCGGCGAGCCAATGGTTCTCTGGACCAACGGGGTCGCAATCGAAACGTCGCGCCCCTGACCAACGTTGTCGCTGCTATTGACGCACTCGAGGTTAAAGTTTTAATCATCTATTGACCCGCACCTATAGCGAACGTTCACCAACGACACCAATACTTCGCTTAAAGATAGAAAATCGTCCAGTCGGATTTCTCAACGTTCCTCGATCACGATTCGTGAAAGTAGTATCGATCGATCGACGAGGCTTTCGCGACGAAAATTAGTCTAAACACGACCTCGTTCGAACTATTTTTTTATTACAATTTATTGGAACATCGTTGTTGATAAACTTAACTCGTGTTAGTATTCTGTTTGAAAAAATATATAATAATATGTATGTATATAAAGTACACGTAGGTCTAAACGCGACTTCGTTCAAACTAGTTTTTTTTTTTTTACAATTTATTCAAACATCGTTTTTGAAAAACTTAACTCGTATAGTATTGGTCATTTCTGTTTGAAAAATATATATAACAATATATACATATATATAAAAAAAGTACACGTAGGTCTAAACACGACCTCGTTCGAACTATTTTTTTATTACAATGTATTCGAACATCGTTTTTGAGAAAATTAACTCGTATAGTAATCTGTTTGAAAAAATATATAATAATATATATATATATTAAAAAAGTACACGTAGGTTTAGTGTTAAAAAGCTAATGTAATTTGTGTCCTTAACCAAGGTATAAGATAAAAGTTCCGTCACACGACGATCCTATTCGCCATCCATCGGAAAATTTCTACTCTAATCAATATCGTACTACATGAAAAAAGGAACGGTCCGTTATCGAGGAAGACGCGTGCAGTGGAGGATCGCGTAATCGGAAAACGTGCCTTGCCGCGCGTCGTTAGACCTTGACTTGATTCCTTCGGATAGGAAGAGAATCCGGATAACGTTGTTTCTCGTTCCACTGAAACGGTCGAGATTGCGCGATCGCCTCGAAGCACGTTCGTTTGAAAACAAGTTTGACCACCGGGACGTCGAGAGGCTCGCAAGGTGCGCTCATGACACGCGTTTTTTTTTTTTTTTTTTCTACAAAGCAATTTTTCTTTGCTGCAACCCTTTCGACTTCTGTTGGACATATACATGTTCCAGTGAATATGTCTGGTTGCCGAATTGCGAATTGAGAGTCACACAGGAACATATTTTAAAAAAGATACCAATCCTTTGTGGGTTGAGCACACTGTCCTTTTTTATCTATTAGGTTGTCCCAAAAGTTTCTTCCGTGACTCGCATTCAGTTATTTTGTATAGCAATGTTACTAATTTCTTAGATGTTAATATTGTATAACAGTAATGGAGCAAAGTGAATCGTACACGATTCAATAATGTACCATTAGACATAAAATATTGCGCATGTATTACTTATTAATGAAACGAAAGAAACTTTTGGGACCTAATACGACCCAACCCTAATTAAATACAATTAATTTCTAAAGCAACGAGTAGAATCGAAATAGAAGACGGCTGTTCCGAAAGGATTAAGGCGTATCCGCGTAATTTTTTCGGTTTCAGATAAAGTTGGTATTAAATGAAAGTCTGCCAAGTAATTCACAAATTACAGAATCATTTCATTACGGTTAAGTAGCTGTAGCTACGTGGGCGTAGCTCTGCGTTCACGGTCGCGCTCGTTAGTAGGCACATGCGCACTCGGAATTCAAATTTTGTCTCTTTAAGAGTATTTACTGTGCTTTTACTTACAATTTCCTTGGTGACTTCGAACGTCGCCGTGGCGTTGTCCCGCATGGACACTAAGCCCGGGGATGTGAAGGAACTGGAGTAACCGACCACCATGGAGCCCATGGACACCGAAAGGGCGGCCAGCACCTGGAAATAATTAAATCGAACGTTAATCGAATCGTGTACGTTAGTCGCTCGTATCGATAACTGCTTGTATCGGAGTTACTGTAGTTATTTCATGATTTTTAATAAGAGTAACCTATTCGATATATCCATCCGGTTATGGGAAATTGTAATTAAATGTAATATGCATATTCCTCGTGGCCACGCTATTGTTTTAAAATCACAACGGTGCAAGGATGAAGTCAGGCCTTGGAAGTAGAGTGAATTACGTTTAATTAATCCCATTGTTATAAATAGACTGCGGATTTTATTCATTTATACGGGAATATAGAAAACAGACGTGAAATATACATAATGTATGTTGAATATATTTTTGCATAAGTGTACATACCTTTTACTTATATTTAGCATTCATTTGTCTTTTTTTTTTTTTTTTTTTTTTCTATTGTAAATGCATAAAATCCACAGTCTAGATACAGGCTACGCACAAACGCGGATAATAAGTATTGTTCAATTTTATAAAAGATTAATCAAACGTAATTAACAGTTTCTTCGGAATTCTTACAAATTACGACTGGTAGTTATTAAAATCAAACGCAACATATCTAGTGCAATCTGTACGGCGCTGGATTGGATTAACTATTTTAAACACTGTCACCGTGCAAAAGCCTATTAACCCTTTAGTTACCGAACCGTGTATCGGGCCCAATGACCGAGGCGTTAATTGGTCAATGCGTTTCTTCCGGTCCCTGGGGTAAATCAGCCGGTAATTTATAAACAACAGATATATTGGTCGGTTGCGCCTAAAGGGTTAACAACTTCGCAATGTGGAATTCTAACTTGTTCACTGCGGCTACTTCTTTCGATGACTTTCACGTCGAGGGTCATGTACTAGACTTTTCACGCGCAACAGTAGATGAAGGAAACTTACGCAAAACTGAATAAAATAGAAAGATGCGTGCCGCGGTGAACTCGTTAAAAATCTGTCAGACATTCGATACCAAAGGACGATCGGTGGTTACCCGGATGTAAGATGAATGATAAATGATCCAGTCGCTCGGGAACTCGTCTCGTTTAAACGTGGAAAATAGTTTCCACGGCCTGTCTAAATTAAACGTTTATTAATTATTTTTATTTAGTTTGAAAAAAAAAAAAGATTGACAACCTATCGTAGGAGAATTGCTATTTTTAAAGAAAAAATCGTTGCAGTATTTTGAACAAATGTTAAATTTTTATTAAAGTAAAAATAGTGTTAGTAATTTAAAAAGAAGAAACTAAAATTTAGTCTGAAGTCGCGGTAAAATAATCTATTTTGAGTCGATCATTTTTATTGTTAAGAACTTTTGACCCCCGAGCTTCTTTAAGAGTGAATGGAAATTTTATTCCGCCGTGAATAGAGACTTAAAATATTTTTCCTTTGATCGTATCTCTTCGTATCGCCCTTTTGTCATGCTCGCATATGTTCCTCTATTGTTATTACAAATTTTATTCTATATTAAATTATTCTATTATTCAGCAGATGGTCGCATACGTTTAATAGATCGTTTGATACGACTGGTGTGATCGTTATTATGATGTTACGCAACAAGGCTATCGACGATTTATATTTTGGCGTACTAGTTAACCCTTTGCGCTATAAGTGCTTTCTTAATTTGTCCTCAATCGACACTGATTTAATTTTCTCTGGCTATTATATATTTCATCTAATATATATGGAAGTTATTTCAGTTATGTAAAGCTTGAAATTCCTTTACTCGTAAGACGATCGTGCAAAAAGAATATCAAAATTTTTCGAAGATACATGTACCACCAATTTGTATTATCGAGTGTATGAAGTGTCACGTGCCACAGGTGATCTAATAGTTTCTAAGAAAAAACAGTTTCGTCGCGCGCGAGAGGTGACCTCACAGTGCAAAGGGTTAATTATATATTTTTTTTTGTTCGTTAATTCGCATCAGAGGGTCTCATGAGAAAAATTTCTAAGTCTACGTAACATCGACAGTATGAATGATCTTAAACACGTTTCAAAATTGACTTTTCTTTACTACCTGACGGATATCGTCTTTGATTTTGGATTTGCATGCAGTTAGTGTCAAGGTGGCGAAAAAAGGAAGATGTGTAAAATTATTATATGAAACGGTGACAAAATTATTCATTTCTTGTCGTTTCAAATTGAAAAAACAAACTGGATTTTATTTGTAATAGAGAAAAAATCACAAATGATATGGTGAAGCTGAGGGTTGCAGTGCAAAGCAGCCTAATTTCCTGCAAGTGGAGCTTAGCTCGATGAAAGTAGTCTAGTTCGATAATAGCAGAGGCGCGATGATAGCAATTACACACAGCGGCTGATCGAGCAATAAATCCTATTGTTCCGCGACCCCTCGGTGCCCTTAGACGGGCGTGAAGCGATCCCTCGCAAAGAATCTGAGTAATCACGCGTTGCCGATGAAAAAGCACCTCGTAAATTGCACAATGTCGATACCTGAGTGAATGTGCACTTAGCGACTGGCGCGTTGCCCGGTAATTCGATGTTCACATGGGTATCGGCTCGCATAAGAATCTTCATGGTCGAGGGTGGGCTGCCAAATCAACTCGAGGAAAAGAAACGGAAACGTTTACGCGGAAACGCGGCGAAACGTCGATAGTAATGCACAATCGCGGCGACCAGTTGCTCCTCGCAACGTTTACGCGTGTTTTTTTCTTGTACCACCGCTCGTTTCGTTTTACGCCCGAGACGAAACGCGCGTCTGCGAAGCGTCGATCGATATCGATTTAACTTTTATTGGACCGAAGTGGATCGCGCGCTAAAGCGAAACGACGTTTCCCCCGAGTCGACGTCGACGTTCGTCGTCGTCGTCGTCGTCGTCGTCTTTCGTCGTCGGTTGTTATTGTTAATTATTTTTCGCCCGTCGACGACGTTCCCGTGTAATATTGACGCGTTATTGACACTCGTGGACCGACGGGTGGTTCTCTGCTTATATAGGGAACGATGCTGGGGGGCCGCGACTACTATCCCTTCCCTTCTCAACCCGAGGATCCATCGTCCGCGAATCGGACGATTATACGTATGCGTATATGTATGCGCGCAATCGTTTCGCGTACGCGGTCCTACGCGCGAGCGTAACTCGTGCCATTCCTTCCTTCTTTCTCGACCGTGCAGAGTGATCGACTTGAGAAGGGATACGGGGATTGGTCGAATGTTAACCCTTTGCGTTTAGAGACAGGATCTGTTGGACACTTGGCCTCGAAAATTGGGGAAACGGGAGTCGTATCCTTTGGATAAAATACTGCGACGCTTCACCAACATTGGAGATAGCTTTTTCAGGGGTAAAACGAACCATAGATACAGTATCGAGCTAAAGTCTCAGGCTACCATGCGAAGCTTTGCAATATACTTAAGGGGGACACATTAAGAAGACAACTACTAAGTGTTTTTCGTGTCTTTTTTTTTTTTTTTTTTTTTTTAGAGAGGAAAATTTTCTCACTTTTTGGTTAGCTTTGAGAATATTTTAGGTATGTTTCAAAGTACAAATGAGTGTTTACAGAACAAGTATCAATGGTCACCAGTTTTCGTGCAGCTTTTTGCTATAAAAACGTACACGTTTCATCTTTTGAGTTCATCTGGAAATATCTGGCAATATCTGGCAGTATTAGTAATATCAACGTGCCACCAAATTTTTTAAGAACTAGCCCAGACTTCACCCATCTAGTTAATATCAGTGAGTCATTCGTTCTTTAAAGACCTAACACAGATCTAGCTTCGGTAGGTGAGTCTAGCGTGTCACGTGGGATCGATTTCGTGAGACTAAACGGAGACGAAAGAGCGCAGGATGGTCGGGAGGAAAGGGGTTGTAAAAAATTGCTAGCACGAGGACCTGTTGGACGTGTGATCGGGATAGCCGGAAATAGGTACGCCCAGATATCGCTCTTATGTATCAAAGTGTTTCGAATTAAAATTGGACGACGCGGCACGGAAAAATTCGTCGTCAACGTCCGATCTCGCTCGCGACCTTCTTTTTCGCATTGCGTAACAGCTTTTGTCGGAACCATACAAGCCGCTCTTCTTTTCCCGTTGCGCGAGCTGAAGAAATAGGAATCGAGAGATGCTGCCGATGAAATAGCAGACCTGCGCGTCGCGTAGATTTCTAGACGAAGTTTGCGTTAAAATTTGAGAAATTGCTGAGAGATTATTTTTTCGTGGGAGCATTTCTTAAACGAGATACGCGACGTGTAGATGTAATTTCTTCAAGGATACTCGCACGCGCTTCAACATATGGGGTATTTCAAATATGTATATCGTGGCGATAACGCAAGATTGATCGGTGTCATGGGTCAATATCGGTTTGAGATTTAGTTGCTCGATAAAAAGCAATTTGCCTTTAACGAGGTTGAAATTATGTAAGATAAATACAGGCCTACGATTGTTTAATTTAGACTGGACATTTTATGTGTGATATTCATCCATTTAAAATTACAAATAAAATACCAGTATTGTTATATTAGTTTACATAAAATAACGACAAAATTAATTATGTAAATCACTACCGAAGCTATTTCACGTCGCAAGAAAAGTCGACCGAAGTTAAAGACTTCCATTGACGAGTCATCCAATTCCCCGGCGAAACGAAGCCTATGTAAATTTATGTGCAGCGTCACTCAAACTCATCTTCTTGCGTCGCCTGTCCAGAATCATAGTTTGCGGGATAATTGCAACCTTCGTTTTACGCGAACCAAACGAAAACCGTTTAATTTGTTTCGCGAATGTCAGTGAGGGCGGAAATTAATTCTGTGCGTTTTTATGGTGAACTTTTTCCATTTATTTGTAAAGAAAAGTCGGACGACTTTTAATTTCAACGGACCACGTGTAGTTATAAAAGCTAATGTCGAAGTTGTGAGACCCAACATCACAAAATGGCCAGTAAATATTTTTCAACATTGCTCAAACTACGGTTCCATAAATGATCAAATACAAAGGCAGAGAATGAATTTCTGCGCCTAATATTATCAGAAGTGCGCAAGGACGTCGCAGCAGTCGAGTATGGGGCCGTGCGCGAATGCATGCATTCATCTTTTGTTTTCCGTAATTGTTTCTTCCGATGGGGCAACGACGAAACACGTGCCAGATCAACCAGCGTTATTGTTCGACGTTCCGTCTCGTTTTCCTTACGCGTCTCTCCGTCGTTTATTTACGCATTGGGGCCCCCCTCCGTTCGTCGACCCCTCCCACCCGTCCATCCGTCAGAAACGTTCTTCTTTTTTCTCGTTCGCTTCGTCAACGGTAATTTATTTATTGAAATGAAATCGCGAGTATTCTAATTTTTCTGGTCCTCTTAGTCGACTCGATCGCGTCTGATCCGTTCGATTAGCAGGTTGTTCGCACCCTCCGCGAAATAAATGGCACGTCAGAAAAACTATATCGAGCTTCGAATATCTGGAGGTTCGTTTCAAATTCAGAAAGAGAGCTTATATTTTTGATTTAAACATTCGTGGCTGGTCTCTCTCTCTCTCTCTCTCTCTCTCTCTCTCTCTCTCTCTCTCTCTTTCGGGGCAGTTCGAAAAACGGAAATAACGAAATTTCTGGAGTACAACGATATTATCCTCCGAGATATCGACCGAATGACGCTTTCGAAGCTTTAGTCGCACGCTGATTGTTACGTTACGTAAGCGAGCACGTTCGACCGATTCGTTTTAAAATTCCGTGTAAACGGCCATTTTTCGAAGTTACAAGTCTACTGTAACCCATACGCGAGTGCTGAATGTCTTACTAAGAGACTAGAGGGATTCTAAAGAAATTTTCATCCGTCACGGAACGCTGTTATGCCAATAAAATTTTGCCCCGTCTCTGGCTGAGCTTTCATAATGCGAGGGACGTGCGGCGCGCCGCTGATCGCGATGTTTATTCGCGAACGTCTATTTGCGCAATAATAACTACAACTATACGCAACGTGGATGTCGTAAACGCGAAGATCACGATCCTCTCGAGTTTAGATCGATCGGAGGGGGACGAGGGAGGAATGCACGCGACCATTCGATCCGTCCACTTCTAGAGAATCGTTGAGACATCCGAAGAGGAAATCAACAATAACAAAAATAAGTCATCGTTGTGCTCGAATATCGCGCGTATTAAAGGGGAAGGTGCATATTTGTGAATTTTTTGGGGACTGAATTCTCCTCTCTTCCCCTTAATTCAATGCAATTTTTAAGATTTTTCGATTCCACGACATTTGCCTCGAACCCCTTCTTAACGCAGAACTGCAAAGTGTTAAGAAATCCCTCCATCTTCCGTATGAGAAAGAGATAAACCAACCCCTCTGCAAGTTTCCAGCGAAACTCTCGCAGCATCCCAACCCATCCGCCGCGCCGCCTAGGCACAGCCAGGCGATAACTCGCGACAGGAAACGAAATTTCGCGTACTCGTTTCAACCCGAGCCCTTCGTGTCGCTCAACGATGGCCGCGTTCAATAATTCAGGACCATAATCCGTTTGTTTAGTTTGCGATAGTCGCGCGATTCCTCATCGGGGAATTCCCTGGTCGGCTACACGTTGTTTCGCTCGAGACCGTCGAGTTCGAGCAATACCAGCCTCGGCTGGTACGAAAAATGGATCAAGGATGTTTCGTCGTGGTACACGTATCCTTGAAAACTTTTCCGCGAGTAGAAACGTATACGAGGCCTCCGCCGTTTCTCCTCGTGTGGAACCGTAACGGCGGACGACATTGTGCCACGCGCGAAAAGAAATGTACAAATACCTTGTTCCGCTATTCGGCGTGCCGGCTGTTTCAATCGGAGAAACGTAACGAGCATTTTTCTATGCGGAGGCGGTTTTTGGCCTAGTTGCCAGCGTTTCGCGCGACCTTGGAATACGTCTAGAAAATTCATTCAGTCCGCTGTTTCGAACCCTCGGGGGACCGTAACTGTATGTTTGTATGTTAGGTTGTCCCGAAAGTTTCTTTCGCGAGTTGCACTCAATTATTTTCTGTGGTCGTGTTTATATAAACAGACAATCTAATTTCATAGATACTCATGTTGTAACACGATTCAGTAATGTAACATAAAACATAAAATATTGTGCATGTATTACTTATTAATAAAGCGAAAGAAACTTTTCGGACAACCTAATACTATGAACTTTGTAGCTACAAGGAGCTGTAGGGAGCCCGGTGAGCCTCGATAGACTACTGGATAATGACAGGATTATGAGAGAAGGTACCTGAGCCAATGCAAAGTAATGGAAACCAAGTTTAAATCGGTTAATTAAATTAGTTAAAATCGGCCTATTATTAGATGTGAGATTATAAACAGACCACTTCCGACGTTAAAAGAGTTAAATTCACTCAATCGCTCGACTCTTTTAAATTTTACTCCATTTTCTTGGTTGTTTTGACGTCCTATGATTTAAGTAACAGTTTAACTGAGGGGTGAATCGAGTCTATAATGCTACTGCAGGCTTCTACCCAATCCTCTCATAGTAATTAACATTTTACTTGCCAAATACCGATAACTATATTCAGACGTGGCCACGCGTGGGGACGAATTGAAAGGAGTAGCGGATCGTATTGGGTCAGACGTCCCTACCCAACCCTGACCACGTTCGCTTACTCATAGCCCATTTCCCTTAACCCATATCTTCTCCGAAATACAAGCTCTGTTATCGAGCATGTTTGCGACTGATCACGCTTCGACTTTCAAAAATCATGAAACATTTGTATGCGTAGCTCAACGAGATAAATAAGATTCCTGGAATCAATCCTTGTCATCCTTCAACGAACTCGATTGCTTTAGACCGGTATCGGTTGATATTGTAGTTGGACTATAGGCCGAGGCGATAGCCTAATCGTCTGGCGTTATCCCTCTCGCTTAGTTATCCATCCGTGAGCTCTTATTAATCTTGTTGAGCTACGTTACACCGAACATCTGGAAAGATTGCTCCTAGATGGAATTTCGAATTTTTGCAGAGAGACTTCTGCTGTTGCGTAAATTATATAAAAGCAAGACATCGTATCTCAACCACGTCTAGTCTAACCCGTTGCTCTCGAGAGGCGACTCTCAGTCGCCCTTAGGTTTCACGCAGCAAATCTACGATACCTAATGTTTCTTTAAGTTTCATTTCTATGAAGCTCGAACCTTATTCTCAAATCTGGATAACTTAGAATTCATGGCAATAGAATGCTAATAAAGCATCTCGAGTTGCTGTTAGATACCAGAAAAAAAGGCATCGAGTGCATAGGATTAATCTTTCCTCCCCTAGGAGCAATCTTTAAAGCTACCAATGAAGAATCGAGAAAAGATAAACTTACCTGAGGAACGAAGCGCATGCAGGACGGTGTAGGTTCCCTCTGGAACTGGTGGTGTTGGTCCAGGCCAGCGGGGACCTTGAGTGGCTTGCTGTCCTGGGAACTCATGTTGGATTTAGGAATCAACGAATACGGAGGCTGATCGCCCGTTAGCAAAGGATCGAGTTGCTTGTAATCGTGGTCGAGGTCCTTTTCCAATGGGTCGTATATATGGGACCCGTTCAGGGCTTTCTGGTGATTGTTTCTCAAGTTTTGTGCATAATAGTAATTGTTGGGAGGCTTGCTCCCCGGGAAGGTCCTCTTCTCCGCGATTAGGGCGGTCTGGCTGTTGAAGGGGCTGGCGTTCGTCGTTAGGGTTGTGTTGGACGAACAGTCTAGTATGCCAGAGCTGGTCGGCGATGACCTCGCCACCGTCGGCACCTTCGTGTAGTACTTTGGCAGAACGCTCCGTTCCTGGAAACAAATTATTCTTGGTTGAACGAGTGCCGTGTTCGTAGGGAAGAATATGGTTAGGGTATAGGGAATAGGGTTAGGCGTCGACATTCAGGTTCAGCGAATGTTTATCGTAGATTAATATCACCAGGTCTGCTTTTGAAGAATGCAGAGGATACAGATTCTGAATTCATATGTAATACGATTGAGGTTTAGTGAGAATTTCATCGTTTCGTCTTTGAGAAAGACTAGGAAGTCTTTCAAGGTGGTTCGATAGCGAGAACACACAGGGTTGTCTAATTCTTAACATCTCGGAATAGATTCAACGAAATGCAAACTTACGTGGTTGTGTTCCCAGTTGGAAGCCTAGATCGCTCAAGCTTTGTGTTCAAACGAGCAACGAATTCAAGAAACTGTTGTATCCTCCCAATAAACGGAGTCGAGCTCGATCAAACTTGCAGAGTGGAAATGCCTCTTTTCGCGCACAAAGAAGATCGCGTACGAAACGCAAAATTCTAACGAGCTTGGAAGCAATAAACGATGAATTTGACCGCAAACGCACCGCGAAACTTCGGCGAAACTTTCCGTATTCGTTGCGTCGCGAGTTCCACTTTGACACAGGGGGTGCAAACTCGAAACTTGGCGGTATTTATACCAGTCGCGATAAAGTAGAATTTCAGAGACAAATTGAAAAAAAGAGCGTAGGAAGGAAGGAGGCGACGATTATCGTGGCCAACCAATAGTGAAAAGCGCGCGGAACGTGATTGTTGCTCACCGATTAGATGACTTTTACCCCGGTGCTTTAACGATAACCCACGCTGAACCGTGTGACCCAACCAATGAGTTTCTTTTACATTCGCGAATGTTGTTCTCGTTGTTCCATCGTTTCTCGGACACACGGATGCTGGCCACGATTCATTCACCGAGTTTTTCGTTTATCACGCTCGGGTATCATGGCCGATCACGCGCGTACCGTGCACCCGCTGCAACGTTATTGACCTTCCCTCGTTGTTTCCGTTGGTAAATCGAAAATGAAAACGTCGTCGTTACGTCGAATCGCGTGCATTTGCAAATAAGCGTTCCCACGAATAATTTCAAGTGGTAATTAGTTAGCCTCCACGCGTCGAAGATCAACGAGTTCCATATCGTCTTCGGGGATGATCCTTTGGATCGGACTATACCCGGTGTTTGTATAGATGACTGTATAGGTTTCCGTGATTTGTTATTATTATTGAAAAAAAAGTTATTGTGCTCATACAGAGATGGAGTTAGGGTTCGAATAAACCTGAAGTTCGCCGATGTGTTTGTCGCGTTTCTTTCTTTGAAAAATGTTCAAAAGAGTAAACGAGACAAACATGTTGGCAAACTTCAGATTTCTTCTAGGGTCTTGCCCATCACTGTGCCCATTGTCTGGTTTCGGTTAGGTCGTGGATGGGAGTTAATCGATTCTGTTGAGTGGTCGTCAGACATAAGTAATACAAGCCTAGAAACTACAATATTTTTCGATTGTAGTTGATTTTAGAGCCGTATCCTTCGATGATGAATCACAAAAATAGTATAGACACGAAGGTTGAGGCTGTTCTCGTACCAATTTTAAGATCCAGAAAGATAGTATATTTTCTACGTCAAGTGTTACTTGGATTAGATTGTATTTCCCGTATGTGATCGATTCCCGCTTGCTCGAATAAATTAATGAATAATCGCGATTGTTCGCTTTCTAATTCTATTGTCTCCATTCAAATTTATTAGATACTTTTTCCATCGACTAGCTTCTGCTTTCTCGTTGACTGTCAAAGTTACGGTCTCTTTTTTTTTTTTTTTTCTGATATTCGATTACCAGGAACTGTCGCGCCATGCCTGATGTTAGTGACATCACAAATTCGTCTATTCGGTTGTTTGCGCGCGCTATCGGCTCTACTTTGGACGCTACGATAAAACGATCTCCTTGGTGTCCGATTGTCCTCGATATATCGACGCCACCGTCAGCTGCGTGGCTTGCGTTACTCGCTCTCGTTTGCATGAAAAATATCTGAACGTGTTCCTTTCTACAACTCATTCGATTCGCGCATAGTACGCTCGAATTCGACTTTTTATCTTTCTGCGATTTTTAAATCCATTGACAAGTCACCGTAGAACATTATTCTTAATCAACGATAAAGTTGTTCCGCAAGAATCGTTAATCGGTTTGAAATCGATGAGATCGATCCAACGAGTTTCAAATTATCCATCGAGTTCCACCTCAATTATCCGTAAACCGTCGTCGATAGTTTCCGTGCGACAGAATTGCTCTCTTAAAACGGATGTAAATATTGTAAATACATTCATTATATGTGCAGATTTATCTCAAATCGTTATATCCATTTACGGGGATTACTCGTTAATCGTCGAGCCACATTCCGAATAGATTAATTATTCGCGCGGCTTTTACAGTGGTGCTATCTAGCGAGCGCATTCGCAACCACCGAATAACTCTGTAAGAACGTGTAGTCACTGTCGAGTTGCGTATACGCAGTTTTATCGTTTGAGTTTCGACTCTAAACTCGTCCTAATCCTGGTATCGACGGTTTTGGTAGGCGACGAGTGCGCCTCGCTAAGATCGTAGGTCGTTCGACGAACCATGAAATTCCGGAGCTTTCTACCGACGATCAGTTACCAAGCAAAAGGAAATTGTTCACCAACCGACATAGAGATATACATAGAGCAGAAGAAACATAGATAACAGAGTTATGACTCGTTACTTGGCCCATTCTGTATAATTAAGACATTATACGTCATCTTCCGAAAAGACTTCAATTATTTGCTGAAATGTCGATATATTAGCATGCGACGTGAAAGTCTCTTTTTACCTACAGTATGGCTCCCCTACTCTATTTATACTACAGGGTGTTCCAAAAATGTTGTAACACCTTGAAATGGGTGGTTCGGGAGGTGATTTGAAACAACTTTTTCCTTAGCGAAAATGTTGTCCGAGGCTTCGTTGAGGAGATATTAACGAAAAACACTGACCAATCAGAGCGCGCGTATACCGTTGGAGCGGCCGCGGTAACGAAGGCTACGAGCTAAGCGGCCGCACTTGTACGCGAACAAGCTACTCAACGTGCATCGAAGGCCACGTAGCCTTCGCTACCGCGGCCGCTCCAACGGTATACGCGCTCTCTGATTGGTCAGTGTTTTTCGTTAATATCTCCTCAACGAAGCCTCGGACAACATTTTCGCTAAGGAAAAAGTTGTTTCAAATCACCTCCCGAACCACCCATTTCAAGGTGTTACAACATTTTTGGAACACCCTGTATTTCTGTCGCGTATTAGTTCTCTTCGAAGACTATTTCGTTGTCTAGCATTTTTCTTTGAGATCGCATCGAATAGCACAGGATCCCTGACACGTGGAATCCTACACGCACACCGACGGAAAAAGCTTCTGTTTGCCGTTTCGTTGGGCGATATTTATAACGGATTCACGTGGCGTGTGATACACGTATCGCGAAAGAAGCATTGTTCAGGCGTACGGCAAGCGACGAGAACGGAGGAGACTTCTTGGAAAAAAAAGAAAACAACAGTTGAACGGTAAATTTTTAGAACGCGTGATGTTCCATCTAAACATTACGTAAGTCGAGTGTTCTCGAAGGTTAGTTTCACCGATTCATTTCCAGAACACGCATGGCCCACGCTTCGCATATATTTTTAACGTTATGTCGGGTGCGTAGCTCTGTTCGATCGACGTTATTTTCGTTTCTTCTACGAAGAAGAAAAACACGGCTGTTTTTTTTTTTTTCTTCGAAGGCTATAAGTCCACCAAACTAGTGGGAAGGAGAAGGAGTACACGGTGATCGGTGCATGAAAGTGAGAGAAGGAGGATAGATTCGATAGAGAAAGACGCAACGATTCAACGTAAACGAAACGTAAACGAAACGTAAACCGTTGGGTCGAAATTCGGCTGCATAGTAATCGATCTTCGCGCCTCGTGTTTCGAATGTCTAGCAACTGCAACGTGACGACATACGTGTCTAGCTAGAAACGTGTAAAATGAGTCGATCTCAATTGGTTCTATCGTTGATAATATTTAGCTTCTCGTAAATTCTACTTCTTTTTTTATAATCAATGATATTTTACATATTCTCGGAGATCTCTAAGATATATATATAGTCCAAACAACATTTACTAGTTAATAATTTACTAATTAAAAGTATAGAAGACTAGAATAGAATAACTAATAATTTAGTTAATTTAATGCTTAGAAAAATTACAATAATTATAAAATCAAAAGGAAATCCCACGAAGGAAGTATTATATACTTATAAATTAATGTAAATTTCTTTTTTTTTTTAATGAAGTTTTAAAAATTAAACAGTAGTGCGAATACTTGTTGCTTCGATATTTCTATCGATTACTTGTTTTTTTTTGTTTTTTTTTTTATGTTAATTTCGCAATTTACATAAATAGCTATTTTTTTGTACTTTATCTATTCTAGAGATTTCTGAGAATATATGGAATGTCATTGTTTATCAAAAATAAGTTAATTAATTACAATTTTACATAGTTTTTTTAGAAATTCTACACCTATTGTACATTTTCCTAGGAACGCTTCGACCAAAGGGCGCGTAAAAAATTGAAAGTCGCATTAGAGCGCTGCTAGCGACTGTAGTGGCAGCCCTGTTCGATCGCTACGGTGCACTCGGGTCCTAAAGGACCGCGTAGTTCCGTCAACGAAGTTTTGCGAACGAAACTGTATCGAGAGCCAGTTGAGTTTTGAAACTTCTCCAGTAAACTGTCCAAACGAGAGACGAAACAAAGACGACGATAAAATCGACCTCGAGCGAAATGACATACGTCTATAGTGTTTCGCGATCCAATTTTAACATTCTTTTATCGACCCTGACTTCGGCGTAAACAATACGCGGCGCAAATACCCTAAAAATGGAAGTTTGCATTTGCATACATCCCGATACAGAGTCTAGAGTCTAGACGTCGATGCGCGTGCTCGTGGAAAAATGAAAGCAGCTGCCTTTAACCAGTATGTACCACTTTCAACGTATCACCGTTATTTTGTCTTTGTTTCTCTCTGTGCCACACAGTGCAGAAACGAGCAATGTTTTTCGAATGATAGGTGACTTATACAGGGTGTCCCAAAATGTTGTAACACCTTGAAATGGGTGGTTCGGGAGGTGATTTGAAACAACTTTTTCTTTAGCGAAAATGTTGACCGAGGCTTCGATAAGGAGATATTAACCGAAAACACTGACCAATCAGAGCGCAAGTATGCCGATGGAGCGGCCGCGGTAGCGTAGACTACGCGCTCTCCGACCAATCAGAGCGCGAGTATGCCAATGGAGTGCCCGCTGATTGGTCAGTGTTTTCCGTTAATATCTCCTCAACGAAGCCTCGGACAACATTTTTGCTAAGGAAAAAGTTGTTTCAAATCACCTCCCGAACCACCCTTTTCAAGGTGTTACAATATTTTTGGGACACCCTGTAGAACCAATAAACGTGTAACGATTTATTCGTGACGTTTAGTCGATTGAACGATTCAATTTTTATTGGGTCTACGTGACAGTCCACAAAGGGCCATTGTTTTTACTCGGTCACAATTGATACCGATACACGATTCTGTCGAATATGATAGGATTAATGAAGTTACGATTGTCGTGGAAATATTTATGAAAACGATACGTATAATTTATTGAGCAGATCTTGATACAATGTAATATAGTTCCGAGAGTGAGAGTAACGAAATCGGAACACAAAGCTCAACGGATTAACGATTTTTAGTTCGAAGCGCGTCATACTGTTTATTTCTCGTGCTTCCGATAGGAACGACCGTCGAAGATAACGAGGCTCGCAAAATACATTCTCTTCCCGCGGAACTCGCCGCAGTGACATTTAAAAGAAGGCAAAGGCCGCTTGAATCTCTCCAGAAATAATGATTCCGGAACGAACCCCATGAAAATGCCTGCACTTGCATTGAATTATTTTCGAAAAATGAACATTCGTAATTGCATGTAGAAATTAATTGAAAATGATAAATGATCGAATACAAAGGCAATAAGGGGGAAAGTCTGAAAGGAAATATCGAAAACTGACGAACACCAAAAATAATAAGAAATGGATCGTTTAGATTGATTTTGATTCGTCACGTTGACCCCTCGAGCAAACAAAAAGTGTTCCAATCAGATTTAGAGGAATAATGACGTACCAGCGGCGTAGACTCTGGTGGCTGAGGAAGCATTTTAGCGCTGCGTCCGTGACAATTAACGTAGAGATAAGTCGACTGCAGTGCCCACATCTTCCTGGCCGAAATATATTACGCTACGAAAAGCGATATAGCGGGGGAGAGCACTAAATGATAGTTTTCTAATCCCGGGTATCTAACTCGTCGCTGAAAATGATTTACGGCCCGTTTCGCCGATGTCAGTGCATTTAAGCCGTGGTACGTGCGACGTCTTACCTATTCTCACGCATTTCTCCCTTTGTTTCTCACCTATCCGTAGCAGTGCGTCGCCATCGAAGACGACGTTCAGACAGGAACGAGAGCCCCGGTTCCAGGAACCGAACATGACGTATCCTCAGGTAACGTTAGGGTCAGTGGTTCTTAATCTTTGAATAATTTAATTTATCTTTTTTTTTTTTTTTTTTAGTAAAGAGAAATATTAAAATATTCTTACAAGAAACTCCCTGTGCATTTAGTTCGAGCTCAGTGTTGCCACGGAATTATGGCAACAGTTTTGGAAGTTACAAAAAGTAGAAATTAATTTTACACAGAACGGTTAAGAATCACTGCTTTCAGCGAGTATTCTCGATCACGCGTGTACGTCGAGTTCATTTCGTGCTCCTCGTCCTTCGCTTATTATTCGATTCGCGTTATCCAGAAGCTAAATAGACTGAAGAAATCATTCTTGCGCGTCGAGTAAACAACCGTCATAATAAACGATAAACAATTATGAACGACCCGCGAGCGCGTTATTGTCAGAGGTCTTGAAATCATAGGTGAAAAGTTGCGATCCGACAGAAGTAGAAAGAGATACAAAAAGAAAATAGAAGCTTCGTCTTATTAACATATTTAGGACCCCCGCTTAATTTTCTTTTCTGTTAAACTTGTTCAAGTAAAAAAAAAAAAAAAACAAATTGAAATCCGAGGAAGGTTAAAACTTTATATGTATACGAATCGTAACTAAATGGTATCGAAGCAGGTCCGAAAACAACACTTAGAAAACTGACGATGACGCTTATGTAAAACATCATTTATTGAAAAATTAGGTTTTTTTTTCCATTACAAAATATATGCCGCCTTTAGACTCGGTACACGTCGGCTGGCGATTCTGGTGAACGACACGTCCTAAAAGACAATCCAAACTTGGAAGTTATACAGGTTTTATCCGTGTTTTTTTCCGAGATCCGTGTTCGATGCGGTGCAGCAAGCAATCGAATGCGACGATTCCGTTGACGGACGGAAGTAATGGTGAGAATAGTGCAGTTTAGGGGAGACGATGCCCAACGATAAACGGACCGTACACAAATACGTTGCGATTCGAATCGACGGTTAGCGAGGGCAACATGGCCGCGTAAATTTATCACGACTATCGATATTTCTGGATGGGCAGGAGTGTATGGGCCATTGTTGGGCAGAATGTAATCTGATTAATGATTAACGATTATGGTTAATGAGTAATCAATAATCAGATCGAATCGATATATGTTGACGACAGGACGTTAATAATGATACTCAACATTTTTCTTAGAAAATATATATTTATTGATGATTCAGCAAACGAACAAATTAATTACGAGGTAACTGAAACTAATAAATAATGGAATTATACAAAAGTATGGTTTACTTGTAGTACAATTTTTCATTTCTAACATTTTATTTAACTACGTTAAACCAAGCGTAATTAGTATATACATAATTTTATCTGTTAATAGACTTGTTTTAAACATCGGAATAAACATTTTGTTGAATACAAATTTATTCCGCATTAGTAAAGAAAAAAAATGAAAACATATCAAAAATTGTCGACAATAACATGCATTGTTTAGAAACCTGTTGGACACCCTGATTATTTGTAATTCACATAAATTGTGTGTTTGAAGTTACAGATACACGTAATGATACGCAAAATACAAACCAAGTGTTCAATTACATCAATTATTTATTATTTCAACAACGCGAAAGAATACTTGATTGAATGTTTTGACAAATATCGATAAATATTTGAAATCCATCGACATAGTTTCACTTCTTAAAAAGGCGCAATTGCATTTCAATGACATAAGCGTGAGATAAGATAATAATAGTTAAAATAGTTGAAATAGTGTCCAGGTCTCGACTTTGTTACTGGTTCTAATAAAAACTAAAATAACATTTCATCGAATGATAACAAAAGTGATTCATGAGTGCAGGCTACAAATGCAGTTCGTGATTAATCTGAATGATGATTACTCGATTACTGATTATAATTACCAAAACAATCGCGATGCAATCAATTACCATCCAATCAGAGATAGGCAAAATCTTATTCGAATCAAAACCAACACGTGTTCGTCGTAAAATATTCTAATCGTCGTAATTTTCTAATTCAACGAGGGGAAAAACGTTTCATTTTTTATTCGTGATTCGAAGTTCTAGGTAAGACTATTGCCCATCTCTGTGCCCAAATTTCTGGTATGCGCCCAAAGGTACCGAAACGCGAAAAGAGTGGTCAAATTTGACGCCAACCCGGTTGATCGAAAATACAATTGCACGAGGAAAGAAACATCGCCGTGACAGTTGGAGTAGATTAGATAAGGAATAAACGAGCGATCGATTTTCGAACTATGGATACATTATCGTTCGGCCACGAGTATCGAGAGGTCGCTCTATGCGTCGACGTTAACCTCCGCTGGACGTGGATGAGCACGGCGATTGCGACGTCGCTCTTAAATATAGAAAGAACAAATTTCCTTAACAACGAAACGGAATACGGAGGAGACGAGATGGCAGAGAAGAAATAAGATATCGTAGCACGACGAAAACAGAGATCGTAAACGAGTACACGTTGTTGTAGAAAACTAGAAAAGAAAAGGGAAGGTGGCAAATATGTAAGTATAGACGAAGTAGAAAGGAGGGAGAAAATTGTTATGGATAACTATAGTTAGACGCCAGGACACAGCGCCAGACGAGTCGGAGTAGGTGAAAGACCTGAACAAACGCCGCCAGTCGAAAAGCATAAAATGATGAAATGGAGTCTTTTGGATATAAAGTGCAGATACGAATTCAGTAAAATACAGGATCGAAAGAGCAATCGGTATTGCAGAGACCATAATACAGAATATAGGCATTTGTAAGAATGCCATCTGACCGACGCGGTTTGTCGTAAAAGGAATGTGCCTAACTGTGGTAGATTGTCGAAACTTAATGAACGGAAACGAAGATAACTATTCAGGGGCGTGACAGAATATGATGGAAAGACAGCTGCGAGCAAACGCACGACCACTGCGACCGAGCTATAAAGAGTGCCCCAGAGTCGAAATAAAAAACACTATTGAATCTAACAGTAGGTTCGCACAAGTGAAGTCAATTTACTAAAATCAATTAGAAGGACGAAATTAGGAATTGGTCAAAATAACCTAGTGTAACCCTCCGAATGGGGCATTCTTTCCAACTATAAGTGTACATGGACCGGCAAAAGTGATCGAAAAATAGTAAGAGACGACGGTAACCGTGGCTCTGGCTTTGAACACCGCTAGCAACCGCGGTATGCGCATACCGGTGGAACTTTCCAGAAGTTCGAGAGAGGGAGAAAGAACGAGACGGTGAGAGCGCGGAATCGTGGAAACAGTTGCGCGTGTGACGGAGAAAGAACGAGTCGAGTGAGAACGATGGGACACGAACAGCCGAGCATGGGAGCCGAACACGACCCGGGTGGAGAACGGTCGGTCGGTTTTCGTTGATTCCGCGTTACGTGAAAGATAGCACAGTATATCTTACCTTCTTTTTCGAAACGTGCACTAGGCACAGGGGCCATGGCTGCATCATCTGTCTTCTCTGGGAGCCAGACATCTCGCAGACACGATATCTCGAACTCTCGTGCAGTGGTCAGCTGTTTCGTTGCCCGACAGGCCGCGTCTCGCGAACCGCTTCGATTCTGCAATCAAGGTCCTCGACGTTCGCTACCAAGTAGCTAGTATACCTCCCTCTGGTCTTTTCTTCCCTTCTTTTATTCTCGTGGTTTTTGTTGCGACACGTGATCGCCCGATGTCGTCCTTGTTCTCCGGTTTTTCCGCGTCTCGGATAACGAGTACCGAAACGCGCCGCAGGAGATTAAATCGAGGATGCCTCGATATTAGTATTCACCGAATACCGATATTAGTTTTCCGAATAGTAAAGAAGAAAACCACCCTTGCACAAGGAATATGACTACAGGTGAGCGTAATCTATGGACGATTCCAAGTGTTCGGTATATTTTCCCGAATCTCCACCGCCAAGTGTCAGAGGTATCGGCTCTGCTACCCTGTATCGTATTGTGCTTGTGCTGTACTGTGTGCTCGTGTCCTGTTGCCTGGCTAGAGCTCCGGTTCTCGTTCACGATCCTTCTGCCTACACCTGCTACACCTGCGGACGTGTGTTGCCTCTCTCGAAGCGTCGATAGGCCGCTTCTCGAACCGTAACCCGACCGATTTGACTTGCTTCCACGATGGCCGGGTCAGCTATATTATTTGGACGGTCTCTTTCGTTGTCGGTTATCGGTCACGTTTCTTTTTTATTTCTTTTGTTTTCGATCTCTCTACTAGATCGTTAAATTGTTGTTTACTTTTGCGCGGGCTGTTGAACTCTCGTTTGAAGCTAGCAGTTTGGCGCCGCTGGTGCGCTTCCGATCGGTTGAAAATATGAATGAAATGTGCTTTTACGTATGTTTTGGAACTTTGCTAATCAGATCGGGGGGTTTGTCTCTTTTATATAGAGGCCCGCGCGGTCGTAGGCGCCGCCTCCTCTCCTGGGGCGCGCGCCGTTGGTGGGGGAACACCGATGACCCCCTTCACCCCTTCACCTCTTTACCGTACGTCACAGCGCACCTTCCCCTCTCGCCCCGTCGCGGCCACAACGTTGCGTTGCGTGCGTGTGCGTCGTACGCGGACTCGTCGTTGTTTCTCACGCAAGTTTATCGCGGATCGGATGGATTCTTCGCGCGTGGACTAGCGTTTTAGGGGAGAGTTGCCAAATATTCGACCACTCGAGATATTCTATCGCGCGAAATTTAGAAGACGCGTGAAATTCCTTTGCGCTGGCGAGCGAAGGCGAGATAAAATCGCGGATGTACAGTTGTCAGTCGACTCTTTTCGAAAAAGACGATCCGTTGGATGTTACGCGTCTGTTCCTTATAAAATGGTGATATCTTCGAGAGGGTGCTTAGTCTGAAATCTTGAAATTTTTTTTTTTAGCTTTTCTTAAGGCAGATGGTAGAAACAATCCTTGAAAATGTTTAGTTAGTTCGTTTAAAGTTGGCGAAGATAAGAGGAGGCCCCTTAAGAGTCGTGTTCCACTCGTTGTTACGATGTGTAACATGATTATTAATAAATCAACGTTTTGGTCCCAAGGTTGCTTGGCCTTTTCAGGAAGAGAACCTCGTACGTACAGTAGTAAACATTCCCGGATTAGGTAGTTTCCGGTTATGATCTTCAAGTTAAGAACTTTTAATATCGACTATCCTATTCTGACTCGAGACTGGAGAATATTTATATTGGTATATGTATATATACATATATTTACTTTCCCGTAGGGTTCCATTATACTTAGACAAATGTTCAAAGTTTGAAACGACACGCTTTGTTTGCTGCAATCGGGAACCTGATAAGAGGTTCCTTGTGTGCATAATTGGTTCTATGAGTGCTTGATAGAGAAAACAGAAGGTCGACTGCAAATGTCTCCCGGGAACGTTTTTAGTCATTTTTCGAGCACAGTGCTGCGATTAAGGAAAAATAAATCGTTCCTTTGATCTTGAAAAGTATGGTGAAACTTCCAGAGTCGGTCTTCCAAAGAACAGAGGCTTTGTTCTCGAGTTCCATAGGATTCCGATAAGGAAACTATGTGAAACCACACGATGCTTTTTTTTTTTTTTTTTTCAAATTGAAACAAGTGAGAGAAACGAGATAAAAGAGACATACGAGACACGGTCGCGATCCGTCTTTCGGGAATAAACGGATAGGGACGGGATCGACGAGTGGCGAACTGGATCTAGGTGTCGAAAGAACGCAGCACGTACCATTTCCCGTAGCAACAAACGTTTGGTGAGGCTTCGACGCCTGGAGTATCCTTTGGGCTTCTCGCGGAAGGTTCCAGTCGTTCGACCTCGTTCGATCGTGACCGTATTTAGTCGCTTCCGAACCTATCCGCGTGTTTCTGCCGCGCTTTCTCGTCTCGCAATTAGTTCGCTTTTCTTCTGCGTCGAGACATCGATCAAACAAAGCAGCCGATTCGGGCGCCGTGTATCGGTTTATCGTTCATCAATTATTTTACTTGTTGATTTTTTACCAGGCGCTCTCCTCTGCCATCGGTTTCGTCCTTGAACCATCCTTTTACGCGGAAGTGATTGGGACGAGTAGGAAGAGAGGAGGGGTGGGGCGAAATTGCTTTTGATTAGAAGCCAAATTCAGAGATCGAAATTTTACTATCAATGATATACGAGAATTGAGTTTAACTAAAAGAACTAGTAAAACTTAATAATATTCATAACGTACCATAACCACCGCCACAACTTTATTACCGTTTAAATATGCATTACGTAACCTTTCTACCATAAAAGTTCTATTACCAAATAAATATTTATAATTTATCTGCATCGTGAACAATTTTATTATCGGTCGAATATTCATGATGCAAGCATTGTCATCGCGGAAACGCTTTCTATGATTGAAAAGACGGTTTTCTCTCGCATTGTGAACACTGGCTGTACCTTTTCCAGGTGTTTTTATCTAACGTAACACCGGTAGACAAATGTTCGATGTGCTCTCCAACGACGAGACAAAAAAAACAAAAATCATATCGAATAACCGGTTTCTGTTGCGACGCGTGCTTTTTTTATCGTCTCGATAGCAACAGCTCGTCTTTTTAATTATTTGTCATTGCTAATAGATTTTCTTCGATTCAGTAGGCGACGAACACGACATCCATTAACGTCCCACTGATTGTATAAACGATTTGAGGAAACAATCGTGGTAAACCTGTGATTAACGCTTACTTTGTATCGCATTCATGAAACTGAAAACAAAAGGGCAGCTGTTAATTTAAATACGCTGCAACGGTACACAATAACGAACGGAAGACTACCAGTTATTTAAAAAGAAATTAATTTTGATGGAAGCATTTGCTCAACACTTACCGACAATCTGATACGATAACGTCCAGGAAGACGAGGCGTTAGATGAATTGAGGTAGACAGAAAAAAGATTATTGCGACGTAGTCACAGAGCAGAAGAAGACTATTGTAAAATAATTAGTACTCCACCGTCGACATCCAAACGACGTGGATGTAAATTATGCAATAACAGTGCAACCATACTGAAATGCATAACGTGTACCCGTTTTGTATGTAAGGAACATTGTATGACTATAACATGTTGTCCTTGCTTGCTAACCGCTGAAAAGAAAAAATTCCGTCGTTGACAACTAAAGTATAAACGATAGTTTATATTCTGCAACTTATGTTTCATTCATATTCTATAATATTAGTTTCAATTGTTTTCATTATTCGAAAACAAAGTCAACATTATCACCGTAACTATCGAAATAGTTGACGCGAATACGATCGTTGGAATGCAACGATGGTAAACATTTTTTTAAGGATGTTTTCGACGACGAACGTCAACAGTGCGCATTAGAAAATCAATGTTTACATGCTGTGACACCTTGGCAAGGTGTTCCGCGCGGTAAAGTTCAAGATCATGATCCAGGGATGCGAACGTACTTATCGATCGGCGACTTGTACGAGAATTTCAGTAAGGAAACTTTGATTTGGAAGAAGGGGAGAATTTAAACGATTACTTTTTGTTGCCCTTTCATCGTACCGAGCTCGACTATTATCCCGGCAATTACAAGCGAACTTGACCCCCAGTTGCATATCTGCGACTGTGATAACGCAATAATTAAGCATACGCGATAAATTCTGCGCCCGATGTGTCTACGTAGATCACGTGCGCGCCGAGGTGATCGATAGACAAATCCCTAATCACGAATAAAATAAATCGAAGAACGTAACTCTCCGTGTGCAACGAAATAAGAAGAACGTAATAGTAAAATTGGACTAGATTTCAACAAATGTTTAGAAACGATGAATATGTGTAACGACATTATTTCTTTTCTCTCCTCTCTGTTTCTCCAACGGTCAAAGTTCCTCGACAATTGTCATGTATTGTTACATCACGGAATACGGTCAACTCGATGATCGATAGAGGTCAATCGATTGAACGAATCGTTAGCAACATCGAAGGAAAACTACCTGCCAGCTTCGGTCCCATAAAATTCCGTGGACGACCCCTGGCACGATGAAAATAAACAAGATGCCTAGTGTACCCTTCCAATTACCAAAATTCGAATCTCTATCGATTCCAAAATCTATCAATTCTTTACGAAGGTGATACAAGTGAGTGCATTCGAATTTTTCCCACTCATTCCAGTGTAAATAAATACGTACAATCTTGACGATTTGGTTTACGGGTACCTGGTGGCTCACCTTTACGTAATATTCATTCGTTCTGCACGTTATTTGTACTCTTTCTTCATTTGCGTACCGCGGACGTCATAATATCGGTAACAATAATAATTGATGGCGCAAGTAGTCACACGCTCGTTGATCCGTTTATCCCAAAACAATTTGGCTCCTGTGAACACCAGATTCAGAAAAATTCCGGTTAAACTCTTGGTATAGTATCTATTATTCGTTTCCTTTAAATGGATTATTCATTAAGTATGGTAATCGTTTATAATTCGATTCAGAAGTTACGTCACACTTGTACTATTCGACTGTGGAAAGTTTCAGAACTGGCCAATCGTAAAGTAAGCTTAAAGCAATTAAATTGTTTTTATTTCTACATTGAGGAGAGAAACCACATTAGGAGGTCAAATATTAAGTGTTCCTCGCGATCTTTCGTACAAGGAAAAAATTACCAAATGTACTTGAAAACATACCTAAAATATTTTCAAACTCGCAAAACTATTATATACTTCTCTATAAGAAAGAAAAAATATCCCAAGAAATACTTAGTACTTGGACTTCTAATGTGGTTTTCTAAGGGCGGCAAATAATATTCAACTCTGTATTTCGGTTGCTCTTAATTTGGCGTCTTAAGGGAAATCTTGTGGTTTCCGTGGTAATCTGTGGTTTTCTAAGGGCGGCAAATAATATTCAACTCTTTATTTCGGTTGCTCTTAATTTGGCGTCTTAAGGGAAATCTTTCGAAGCGTTTAGTTTATTGGAGCGAGGGATAAATAATGTTTGGGGGCACGGCAGGGGTCGAGTCAAAGATTCACTGGAACGCCCCCATGCAGACGATGGAGTTGAAATTGCCTCGAATGCAAACGCGTGGCCGTGCACAATCGCGGTTAATTTAACGGCGTACGCGAATGCTGAGCAAGCGACGCGCCCGTCGTTATCTCGATGACGGCAACATGAACGAACTTACGTAGCGAACATAAACGCGAGACCAACGTCTGCCAGCAAATCGATTCGGTTCTCGAATCTTCTTCGTGATCGTCCTCGCACGAAATCATTCGCATGGTAACCGCGGTTGGAATCAATTTAAGAACGAATAGACGCGCTGCTATGAATCGATGGTGGCGTGAGTCTAGTTTGTAATTCTCTGTTAGATGGAAGGATTGAGCAAATGGTACGAAATTATATGAAGGATTAATAGGATTAAAGACTAGTAGGATTAAAGACTTATATAGGGAAGATTTTATTTGTCTTGATTTTAATTAGAGCGGATAGGAGAAAAGTCTGTTTAACTTCGACTTGTGAAATTTACTTTCTTTTTAGATTCTTGTCGAGCATGTTTATACAAATTCAGAAACAAGGAAATCAAAAGGTTACCAGCATTAAATTACAAAGGCACTTCAGATTTAGACATTTTTATTGAACGATGATACTCAATATTGTTGAACGATCAGAACTAGAAATAGTACTGCGCTAGAAAAACTGAACGATTAGGCACGTGTCGAAAATCGTGGAAAACTATCAAGGGGTCCTGGTAGCCGCGTCCATCAGGAGCGTGTTCGAGTTGCAGGTATCGAAATGATCGATGAGCTGTTAACCGTTGCAATTTCATCATCGTTAACACTACATTCGGCGTTTCGACCATAAAACCGTAACGCAAACCGTGCGTTATCGCGATACGTTCGATAAATTATTCTGCAGCTGGGCGTAACCAATCGCTCGCGCGAATCTACTTCTAATTTTGGTCTCGTCGATAACTTGCACTTTCTGGAAAGTTATTGGTCAATTTCGAGCGATCGTTGTCGACTCGACTCGACAAGGAACGAGTAGTACTTCGAAGGGACAAATAACCTAAAGGACGAAAGAATGGTTTACAAGGTGATTGGCATTTTTTAAAACGGAACAGTCCATAGTTTTATTAGACGAATTCAAGGATCTGTAATATCGTGACATTATCATTATACAGACTGGTAGCCTATTAATCGACTTCTTCAAATAAATATCATACGATACTAACGTTACGAGAGTAAAAAAGAATATTAAATTTAATTACATGTCCAACCACAACTTAAAATGTTACCATGTGATTGGCATTTTTTTAAACGGGACGGTCCATAGTTTTATTAGACGAATTCAAGACAGTCCTACAGACTGGTAGCCTATTAATCGACTTTTTCAAATAAATATTATACGATACTGATGTTACGAAAGTAAAAAAGAATATTAAATTTAATTACATGTCCAACCACAACGTAAAATGTCAACATGACTTTTATTTTTCTGTAGACTGTAGCTACACGTAATCAATTTTAATTAAAAGGCTCATCCCCGTTCGTAATAGGGATTATTACTATTATGCCAGGAAGGGGAACCAGAAGAGAAATGGAATGTTCTAGAACAGTCAATCTGGTGTTCGATACAACCTCGTAGAAAGTAGCGCGACGCACATTTGCTCGCCTCGCGTCTCGTCGCTGATGCGTTCCTCAAAGTAAATTGGCCCGATGCCCCGTTCGATTAATAAAGCTTGGGGGCACGGCTGACACGTTTGCCCGCGCCAAGGATCCCCTGGTCGGGGTCAACGAGAAGCAACCCTCGAGGAACGATTGTCGGGAATTAATTGAACGAACGTCGTTTTATCAAAATCGGCGTCTATCCCAACTACGTCAATCCAACCCAGACAACGTCTCCGTCCTCCATCGATCGATTTGTTTATGGTCGATCAGTTCGTTACATTCGTTTCGATTCTATTGAAGTGCGAATATTTTGTTTAACTTCGCAGACTTCACTTTCGTTTAACAATTGAATGTTCGTTTTCTTTAAATTATTTTTGACAAATTAATGACAAAGACATTGTCCGATTGCTTCTTTAACCTAAAAATGATTCGAGTAATCGACACAAAGAAAAATAATGAAAGTTGTAGTAGTCGTCAGTTTTTTTCAATGGCAGAAACACGGAGAAAGTGGCAGGAAAGTAGGCGACGTGTTTTAGTAGAACGAATTATTTAACTCTGAGAATAAAGAATTAAACGATAATAAATGTCTTGAGATTCGTGGGATTGTTGAAGCAACTCCGCTAATTAATGTTAATTTGTTCCGAAAATCGGCCATCGCTGACGCGCCGTCGCGCTGCTGGTGCAATTACCTTAAATAAAAAGAATCGTTTTTATGATACTCAGACGAGTAAACAGATTCTTAAAAAAATTCTTAACCAATTTATACTTTGTAAAAGGACACCGCGGGCTTCCGATTCTTTCCATCGACTCAGCTGCTGACGTTTCAGTAGTGCTGAGATCCAGTAGTGATGGAAAATATTCGCGTGTCATTCGCTAACTCTTTCGCGCGACAATATAGCAAGGGAATAAGAACGAAAAAAGGAACTATTTTTGCAGGAAAATTCGCTTATCAACATTTATCGGTACTTTCAGCATATCATTATTACATTACGAGACTTCGAGTCATGCCGATTTGTAGGTATAAATAATATTCACGTGTATAAACTTTCATATTTGTAGTGAATTTTAGTAGAGCATAGTTCTATAAAAAAAAAAAAAAAAAACTTGTACATTACGTAAGTCTACTATATAAATTGTACATAGATCATAGAAAAAAATTGAACCGAAAGATCATTTTTATTTAAATGTGATATCAATACAAATACAACAAGCCAATTTAACGCAAGGGTTATGTCTTGATTAATTGCCACCGCAAGTGGTTCATAAACTGTTCCTAAGAGATGGTTATAGTAATTGCGCGCAATGAAACACGCATGCGCGAGCGCGAGTGTCCGTTAGATAAATCGATGGAATTTTACCGGATATACTCCATATACCCGAGACATCGAAAGCCCATCGAAACGATATCCATATACCGTAAATCGATGGCAGGTGTTGTTGCAACGGATGTGCAAAAAATTTCATTCGAATAACAGATAACGAATAGAATCCACATATCAGTGCATTGGCTTCTTGTGTTCGACATGAGTGCGAAACAGAGGCGTGTCTCGTTGTACTTATCAATTTTCTTTAGACTAAAACCATCACCCCGTTTTAAAATTATCGGTCCAACGGACTTCGTTTAACAGATGGGCAAAATTCTTATCTGAATCATTCGAATAACGTGTCAGAGGAGGGCAGTATACAACACGTGCTTTTAATTAGTTTAGAAAAATATATATTTGTTACTTAAATCTAACTAAGCATCTTTACACCGATTTCTTAAGATACGATCAAACCGCAAGCGTCTAACGATATCGTAGACGGCGCTCGAATTGTATCGGTCCAACGTAACGAATAAAAGTTACGAATAAAATAAAAAAGAAGCTCATTCGTTACGTATCGAATGAAAATGAAAATTTTGAATTGCACAGTGGAATATTTTGTAACGTACAAGTGAAAATTTATTCGGAGTTGAATCGAGTTCAGTACGTTAATTTTATTCGTCATTTATTATTCGAATAAAAATTAGCTCCTTCGAGAACCGTTGACACGTGCGTCACGCTATCCCAAAATATCGAAAGCACAAGTGAGTTTGGCGAAGTCGCGCGATAACGCTCTCGGTTTAAGCACGTTTACGCGTTTGGATCCATCGTTGTCAAAGTCATTCACGCGACAAAGGTCGAACGTGTGAGGTTCGAAACGAAAATTCCGGGCGAGTAGCCGTCGACGCACGAGCTAACGTTTATCTCGCCTTATCTTCGTCTGCGTGTCCCTGTTGCTCGCACGGAGACCCCCAACGTGTGGCTCTCACTGTTTAAAAAACGTCTGCGTAGCGATAGTACTTCAAATACCGAAGCCAGTGATTTTCATGAAATTAATGGATCTCGAGGTGTCGAAAAGCGTCTCAATTTTTATTTGTCTAACCCATTATTCTTACTTTTATTTCTTTTATTGTTTGTTTGTTTGTTTTTTTTTTTTTTTTTTTTAGTACTACAGGATTCTCCAGTTAATAATAATGCAGTAAAGCCCCCCGTACTCTCCATCGACACGTTGATCGCCATGTCACCCACACGTGGGTGACAGTGCTTTCCACTGAAGAACTAACGAAATTAATTCCGAATGTTAACCATCAAAGGAAATGAATTTAAATAAAATTCATGAATTTTGATGAAATTACAAGAATAAATACGATGATAAATGTTTGATTATGCAGTCTCCAATAGTTTAAATAATATTTCATTTTAGTAGAAACTTTAAAGAATATTTGTTTGGCAGTCAACGTGTTAATTTTAATTCAGCTTACTAACGTTTCAATTGGTCTTGTGCTTGCAGACGCGTGTCTTCGGTGCCAAGCGGAGAGCAAGAAGGACTTCTACGGTCGACAGCAGGACTGTGTGGTCGTCTGGGGGGAGTGCAACCATTCGTTTCACTATTGCTGCATGTCCCTTTGGGTGAAACAGAACAATCGTTGCCCATTGTGCCAACAAGAGTGGTCCATTCAACGAATGGGAAAATAACCGAACCTCCTGCCCACCCATCCTCTCCCACACGGTTCATTTTTATCCTCCACGTTCGGATCCTATACTCGGAATTCTTACAAGTTTCGATACAGCGGTGTCGTAGCTTCGTTCATCCCTATAGATAAATGAACCGAAACGCAAAAGTGCGTATTTTCGATATTACCATTAAAAGGAAATTTATTCGCAGCTCAATCGACCCTTTATTCCGACCTATAGTCCAGGACAAAGTGTTGGGACATTTGAAACACAGCGAATCCTGGCTGGGACTCGCGAAAATTCTCTAAAAGTCGCGTAGTTATACCCACCACGTCCTAGAATCGGTGGAAACAGTTAATATCTATTACGAGAAGTATAGCACAGTAGTTATTTCATTGAACGCGATCAACAATAGAAACTTGAAAATTTTGTTCCAATAGTCGTCGAGTTAGGTCTGGCTTGGGTCTGGTAAAGTGCTCAGTTTTCGTTGGAGTGACAGAAAGGAAAGTGAAGTAATTCCAATAGAGATAATGCTAAGACATTGATACGGTTTGTATCGTGTTAATATTTACTGATACTCTCCTTTCCATCGCGAGGCATCTTTTAATCATTTGAGAGTTATCTTATACGATCTTTTAATGCCTCTTTATCTATTTCATCTGTTAGGAACTGATCGGTAGCAGGATCTGTGTCCAGACAGTTTCAATTAGGATTGACACCGTTAAATAGTGGTAATTTTAACGTCTCTTCCGAAACAGTCCAACACTGACGCGCCGTCGTCTGCTGGTGTAATTATTTCAATTAACGCTAAACAACAAAATCATTTCATGCGTTTTTTTTATCATTTTGACCGGGCGAATTCAGGTTTACGTTTCCTACAGTTTACATTTTTTTTTTTATACATTTGGAATATACCATACACGAATGATGTTTAGCGTACATATTTTGTTGATCATGTACAATATATAAAGTGCGGAAAATGTGCATTCTCTTCTTCCACTTTTACAAAACATTTGATTATACGGTGCCCGGTCATTTTGTCCTGAACTGTATCCGATCAGCTGAATTATCACTTCAACATTTCGCGTAAATGAAAACTTTCCAGTCGTGAAAGGGATCCCGTGATCAAAGGAGGGGATATCCGTTACGAAAGCGATTAATTAGATAATTATTGGAATTTTTTTTAACGATAACTTGACGGAATTCAAATGAGAATTTCTCGCAAACATGTTTGTTCACCTTTAAATGTACCGTCCGAATTTCGTTGACATATAAATATTTGACACGTCATTTCAAGTTGTAAGGCACCAGTTGTCCAATTGAAGATGTTTTTATTTTACTATCGACAGCTTTATTGCTATGTCACAAATAGGAAACTAACGAAACAAACAAAGTATTAAAGTATATCAGCAAGGTTATCGCTCCCGCCCGGATAAATAATCAAAATTGTAATTTAACGAAATCTCAGCAGCTTAAAATAGAAGTCTCGATATTATCGCGATTCTTTTTAATTTTGGTAAGCTGCAAGAAATAACGGATTTAAAGATACCGATTTAATCCTAGTCCTTCGCTTTGCATACAGAATATCGATTGAATCGATTTAGTAATTCCTAGATATCCCATCGACAGTACCTAGAAGTATTAAATTGACAAAAACAACTGCAAAGATTCTAGACATTCAAGACCGATCACTTAGCACGCGAGTCAGAACTTAGGGCAATGACACCACCATACATCCGTATACTTATTTTTCCATTTCTTAATTTTCTTTTTTCCTTCGCTTACGAATTTCGTAACGCATGCAGAATATCTAACCTTACCCGAGCTCGATAACTGCAATCGATCAAGTTTAAACAATGCAACGAGCAACGTCATGAATTCCTATATTATAATCCCGGGGCACAAAGATGGCGTCTGCGCTCGCGTTATCGTTCGATTGCACGATATTCCATCGATACTTAGGATTATCATTGCGGATTAGGTTATGTCATTGATAAATTTCAGATAGCGGATAAGTATTAACGGAGGGGAAAGGTCGACATCCAAGCATCGCGTTCGAGTACCTTTAATCGAAACGACATTCGGCCGACAGTTGCTCTTGGCTCGTGTTTCGAATACTTTGAAATCATTGCATCATTCGCATGGACCGCTTTGTGGGGAAGGGAGGGCGATGCGTCTCCACGGAAACCGTATAGAATCGATGACGATAGATAGGTGCACGTTAGCTCTGCACTGCTGATACTAGTGTGTCATTTGACCCTTGAAGAAGTCGGATATCAACCATCGGTAGTACAATATTTTGTCAGGTGTGGCCCACGACCACAAGAGAGTTAACAGGTGTATCATCGTCGAAAAACGAATCGACTACTTCGAGACAGTTACGAGTTTATTAAATCTATTCTTGCATGCCCGATTCTGACGAGCTGATTCATTGTTTTCTTCTTTGTTCGCGATAAAAGCAACTTTTTTTACTGTCACTTATATCCGACAGTGTTTTTGTACCTCAATTATTGGAGACTATTAATACGTATCTGTTAATTACAAAGAATTGATTCGAACAAAACGTCCACTTTACAGAAGCAGGAAATGTAGCCGACAGTTACAACCGGGTATCGTCCGACCATCTGGAAGATATGTTAATTTTAACCTTATTACCATTCATGGTAATGAGTCTAATAATGAACAGAGATAAACTCGCTACTTCGTTACTGATTAATATTTTCTTTCGCAACGTCTCGTGCAATATAAATTTACATGTCTAATTCAGCGACTAAAAAGTATAGCTGACGATCAGGAGAACGACTATTGGAATCTAGAGCTATCGGTTGGTAACTAGAAAGACTGTAATCGATTCGAAAATTGATTTTTTCATAAGAATCGAGCATCTCTACGCGCGAACGGCACGTAACGCTATCCAATGCTCGAAGGTCGCGCCTTTCTTCTCCTCTCACATCCTACCGTGCCCACCATTCCCTCCTCGTCAATCTCGTTTCTTCCTTTTGCTTTTCTTTCCCCCTGTCTGTCTGCTTTCGTCGTTGGTGGCGTTACGTGTCGTCACGAGCTCGGAGGCTCGACTGGAGGCTCGACCAATCGGATCGTAGAAGGGCAAAACAACGCCCTGTTTATTTATGACCTCGCAACGCTGCCCCTTCTGACGTCTCTTCTCTCTCTTTTTCTCTATACATCGACGCTCTACCCTCTCTTTCTTCGGACCTCCATCTAACATTCCCTTCCCCACCCTCGCCTTATATATCTACCCTCTTCACCTCCCATCCGACAGTCTTCCTTCTTTCTCCTTTGCGGACTTTGCTATGCTGCTCTTGCATGTATTTTAACGTTCACACACATCGTGATCTCAACAGCGACTGTGTATCGTTTTTAGACCTTTTTTTTTTAACGTTAACGAGTTTGTAATCAGTCGACCGATTAGAATGAAAATAACGATATATTTGCATTTTCTCGCAATTAGAAGTTATGTTTACAACCAACGGCGGATCTAGGCTAATCAGGACCTGAAATTCGATTACTTCGAGGGTTCGTAACGCTTCTAAAAGGTTTTACGAAACTATCTTTACATTGTCGTTGCTTGAAATTTTAAAGTATTCCAAAATTTAGACAACCGCGAACACTTTTATTAACTCAAACCACGACATTTTTCAAGAACGAACGAAACTTGTCTTCCATATTCTCGAATAACGCTTGAATTAAAAAGATGAAGGCATCCAAAATTCATCTAGGGTCAAAGCATATCGTTAGTTTCGCGGTAGGCCCGCCCCTGGTCAAGATCGCGGCAACGATACCACAACGTTATTACAATTATTATCACGCCATTCCTTTTTTTTTTTGTTCGAGCAAAATCGATTTTCTCTTACATAAAGCTCACGCGAAGTAAGGCCGGACGAGAACTGCCATGTTTGTTTTTCAAGGATAACTCACGATATGAGGGAGGGGTACGTAGATTATAATTATTTAATTAGTTAGGTTAGACGAGAATCATTGCAACGGACAAGGTTAAATAAAACATTTTGAAAGTAGCCGATTTTCATCTATTTATTTTTGCGTTTACAATCACTCTCGACAAAACGAGATTTCACGTGCCCTGGATGAATCCTATTAGAACTGCGCGTATACATGTACATGTACATATCGAGTTCTCGTTGAGAACGAAAATAACGGTTAGGTATCTATCCGAAATGACGCAACAACCCGCAAATTCGTTCGTCACGCTTCTATCGAAAGGTGGGCTCTCCACGAGTCGAGGTCAATTTGAGTCGAGCCTCCACGTACGCCGTCTTTTCATTGGTTCTGCTCGCGTAAAGCAATCAGAGAGTATACAATCTAGATTTATGATCTTCAGTTCGTATCATTTTGTCCTATGATATGCATTCTACTGGCTTATGACCTCTTAGATCACTATCTTTCAAAGTTGAAGGGAGGGGATTGTAAAATAAGACTAGATTGGGCAGAGTTTTCTATATTACGATCTTTGAGGTTATAAATCCTCGAGAAGAATATTAAAAGAGTCAATTACTCTACGAAGGATTAAACCCACGAAGGGATTGCATCATTTAAAAAATAAAAATGTTCTTTCTCTTTAAGGGTGCCTTCTAAAAAGTTTGGGAACCACTGCGCTTGAACGTTAAATAGGCATTTATGACGAACTGCATCGATAAACGTAATTATCCCCTTTCTTACGTAGAACGTTTCATATCTTGCTTTACGATTTCTCCCTATGATGTGACGCATGAATTCGTCGGGTTTCACGACACCAAGCTGTACGGTGCCACACAGACGTGTTTCTCAGAATGAATACGTGCAGTTGGCCAGGAACGCTGTCCATGCCGGCATGCACGCGTTCACGCACGCATACTTGTACCACCAGACACGAGATCGGGTTGGTTTTTTTCCTTTCGCCTTCGGATCCACACGTTCGGTCCAATTCCCATAGAAACAACTATCCAGTTCAACTAATACGCTTTCTTTAACATTTTAAAGACTTCTTGATATTTATTTCCAATCTAAAGAAAACATTCTTATTGAAATGTAAAAGTGATTCTGGTATGCGTTTTTACGAGACATTTGTATCGATAGTCGTGTCGTTATCTGTTACAATAGGTCTATTTTAAATCTATTTGTACAAATAATGGACGCTATAATAGAATTTCTACCGTTGCAAAAATGTATGAATTCTAGTTATTCGCATTGTTTTTAAATCTGTCGACAAATGAAGACGAAGTATTTCTCTGAAAATTCTAACAATTTTAATCTCTCGCGAACTATGTCGTTGACATGCGTTTCGTTGCGAATCCTTCTCCGGTGTTGCGTTAGAGATGCCAGAAAAAATGATTCAGCGATGTTTCGCGTCGGAAAATATCGAATTGCGTTAATTTTGATCGAGGAAATATGTAACTCCTTCGCGGAAAGATAAACGCTGAAAACGTAAAGCATGCGACACGGTTTCTCTTCTTCGTAACGCGATTAATAAAAAAAAATGACGATTAAATTGACCGAGAAACGTCAGTGGCGCCGATAATCTGGCATAACGCGAAGGACACTCCGGTCAAATGGGGGCTCGTCAGGTTCCACCAATCGGGTGACGGCATTTTACAGTGCCTTTCTATCCGAGTGATATACATATGTGTACGTACGGGATTGCATAGTACTAGCGCCACTCGTGATTAGAAGGCAAGGTATTATCAACTCGATTCTGTGTACACGAGTCGGTACCGGTTTTCATGTTTCTTCTTTAGAATTCTTAGCATACGTCGATGGAACGTTTCTTGCGTCATTTTGTAGAACGCAAAATTGTTGAGACGTGCTTCGACGTAAACACGTGTATATGAAGCTAATAAACATTGATGCACGATCTCTTCTATACTTGGATTTTTCCGCTGAATTATCGATGAAACCGGCAATCCGACTTAACCTCGAAAAAGGTATTATCGATCAGTTTCAATTTGAAATGAAAACCTCGTGTTTTTTTTTTTTTTTTTTTTGTATTACGTTTAACGTGTATTTTTACAAATGAATTATTTACAGAATAATCGCGAACTTTTCGGGAGTAAATTTCTGATCCATTCTCTCATTAAAAAGGTGATAATCGAAAACGATTCGTCCAGCTATTACTTCGCGTGTGAATGAAAATACTAGCAGTTTCCTCGCACGCTCCTTCGTGTAATTTACTAACTTTCTTAAAAGGTATCTGTTTACAAATGGCAGATATGTGTATGTACCTACGCGAGTTACGTTGTCCTGCATCATTTACTCTTGAGTACATAGCTTGTATCTATGCAACGATAATCGGCAATATCTACACTTTGTAAATATTCTACTGTTATTTATACCTTAAATAACCGCGACCGTAAATCGTTTGTCTGATCCATGGCCTTTGTATCATGTCTCGATCTCTTATCTGATCAATATTAATGGCATTCGGTAGTATTACGATTCGTCTCGAAACATCTTCGCAGTGAATGACTTATTACTCGAAACTCTTCGCTAGTGTAACGTGAAACGTTAACAAATGAATATATTTTCTTAACAGCACTATACCTCTAGCGTGTCTTTAAACTAACGGTACTTCTTTGTTCGATAATGATATTAAGAATATTGAAATTAACGCTGAATTTGAAGTTCGATGTTCGAGTAATGATTCGAACGCTCATACGCTTGCGATAGTTCATTTCTTGTAGCAGTTATCATCCAATAAATTAAACGTAAGTACTAATTTTTTTGTTTTAAGAGGGCGGGGGCATACAACATCAATTTAGATACTGTATATTGACGCTAGTCACTTCTTTCTTTCTTCATTTTGGTGCTCAAATTCGCGTCGTACGTTCTCGAATTAAATATGACTATTCGATTGTTACCTTAAGTACACGCGTAATAGCAGCGTTTACAAAAATACTTTTATTAAATTGATTAGTTCCGCCATCGTTCTACTTTCCGTAAATCGTTCGACGAATAAGGAATAGTAGAATCGATGTCGAGGTAAACAATGTAAACGCGTAAACAAGATCGAAGATGAAACGGTGCTCATTACGAAGGCACTTGGGTGTACAACAATTTGTTAAATAACTCGATATAAAAATATCTTTTGTGACGCTAATGTCTATCACGGGCAACGCAGACATTTATAAATTCATAATGTAACGCTTCTAAGTTTAAGGCCACACTGGAATGTAAAGTTGTTTAACAAAGGCCACTCAAATGTTTTTAGACACTTGGATATTCTACAGTTTAACGTTTAACAACAAACTAAAAACAAGACCGTAGATAGGATTACTTTCGTGATCCATATCCGTGTTAATGAATCTGTTACCCTGTTGGGGTTTGTCTTTTTTTTTTTTTTTACATCGACTCGTCAACAGTTCGTATGTCTGGAACCTCTCATCAGTGGAATCAAAATGTTCGGACTCTGAGCCTGCCTAAGAAAGGGATGCTGCAACAATTCGGTCGCCGTGGCTCTCTGTGCTGGATCACGGACGAGCATTCTTTCAAGGAAGTCTTGAAGACGTGGACTAACCTAAAAATAAATACAAACGTAATCTTATCAATCCCGTATGATCTTGCAATCTCTTGCAAAATCTCTAAGTCTTCACAAACTTACTTTGTGAGAATTCTTTAATTTTGGCGGAGGCATGTCTCTGATACGACGCATAGCTTGCAAAGGAGGTTCGTTAAAAAATGGTGGTTCCCCGTCGACCATTTCGATAATCATTATACCTAATGACCAAATGTCTACTTCAGGTCCGTACGGTAACCTGAAACGAGAAAAGTGCGAATAGTAAAATCGCTTTTTTAAAACCATTGCATTGTAATTGTATCGTACCTAGAAATAACTTCGGGACTCATCCAATAAGGCGTTCCTACGAGAGACTTTCGCCTTGGCAACTCTTGAGAGACTTGAGCGCAAAACCCAAAGTCCGATAGTTTTACCCTGCCGTCAGCCGTAAGTAATATGGAGTCAGATTTGATGTCCCTATGAATGACACCTTGAGAATGCAGATATGCAAGCGGTTTCAAACACTGGGAACACACAGTAGCTATCTGACTTTCATCCATGCGCGAGTGAGTAACGATATCTGTGAGCGCGCCTCCTTCGAGATACTCCATCACAACCCATAGTTCGTCGTCCACTAAGAAACTGTCGTACATTTCGACAATGTTTGGGTGATGGTAATCTCTCATGATGACCACTTCGTTAAACAGTAGTTCTCGTCTCTGCTGTTTCCTTAAGTCCATCTTCTTAACTGCCACTTGCCGATTTGTATTTTTCTCAGTAGCTATGCATACCGTTCCTGTACTACCTTCGCCGATTTTCAGAAAATTTTCCAAATTCTCTCTTGGATCGCCTCGACTTACCTAAAATTTAAATACGTAAATAAACTTTATGACCTATAGTTTACATTCGTTGGCAAATCTAAGTTTATTTTTCTTACCACCATCTGTAAAGCTGCTCGAAATTGTTCGTGAGTTAGCCTTTGTTCCGCGGTTTGTTTACTAGAAGCACTCGAACTTGAACCGACCGCTAGATTTCCTGAGGATAAAGCACTTTTCATATTCTGATTTTGGTCTGGAGTTGAACTACTCCCAGAGGACGGTACGGTTGCCTTAGACAAGTTATGCATCGATTGAGATGTTTCTATAGGTTTCTTCATGTGAGATTGCAAGATGGACGAACTTTCTTGCATATTGTATGCTTGCGAATATTTATTCACGTTATGTGAACTCAATTGACTCAGCGGTCGTTGCGATGCTATCGATCCTACCGGTGAAATCTTAGGTTGCAACTTATGCAACAGGACATTTTGATTTACTTGTTGATCTCTCGCGGATGATTCGGTATTTGAAACCTATGAACAAAAACAAATGTCTATTGTTTCGATAGCGTTTTATTAGAAGCGAATGAAACACCGAGTAGGGCTTACCTGAACATTTCCGTTATATTGACCAGACATTATTGTCATTTGAGAGTTTAGTTTATGAAATTCGGAGTCTGTAAGTTGAGGAGTACTTGGACTTGGCACTGGACCTTGTTGATTCGAAATAGGACTCAAATTTTGGAAATTTAAAGATAAATTTGGAGCATTTGATCCGGTATGCGTTAAATTTGGAGATGACTGCATGTTTGGATTAAGATTTTGGAGATTCGGAATCATATTCTGCATATTGGGGTTCATTACGGTTACGATGTTAGGCGAGTTTTGTCGTAATTTATCTAGATAATTATGCTGCTTTCCAAAGTTTGTATATCCTTGTATTTGATTAGCATTGGACGGTATTTCTTGTCCTTCTGGCACGGATGGCGGCAAATTACTGTTATGCCTATAAGAATATAAACAGAATTACATTAGGATGTTCAAATATTTTTAGTCATTAATTTCATTGTACCTGTAATCTCTCCTGAGTCTTGGCGGGCTTGAAGAACGAAGAGAATTAGATCTAGCGACGGTACTAGTCTTAGGTAATCCATTTTCTGTATTTTTGTCACTGATCTGTACTTTTCCTTTAGGATCATTATGACCTCGAACAATAGTTTTCAAATCAAGAATCTCAGTGGGTGTAATTTCACTCGGATCTACCAGAGGTAGTGGTCTGTTAGTTGACTTCAAAATTTGATTGTTTCCAACTATAGAGGCCCATTGTAGGGGAAGTCCAATGAATTTTCCTTCCCGCTTATCGAATCCTGTATGTACACGATGTTCAAAATTTGTTGGAGTTGATATTTGTGGTTTCTTCTTCTTCTTGGCGAACATCGCCCTTCCTGAAATAAATAAAACTAAGATATTCAACTTGGTCACTTAGCTTACCTACAATTTTACAGTTTCTTTTAAAATATATCAAATTTTTGAGAGAAAATTGGGAAATGGATTATTGCTCACAATTGAGAGATGGTAATACAGATGGAAGAAGTCAAATGACAGCAATGCCTACCAGTATCCAATGTTAATAACTTAGTCTTTTTTTTTTCAACTATTTGGTTAGATCTACTTGTTTCTTTTATACAAAGAAAACAATTACAAACGAGAATTACAATCAAATGTGTCAATAGGAGTTCGAGAGTGCATTGTTATTGAAGATCTTTACATATTATTTGTTGGGTACTGTATAAATTGTATTAATCGTTAATACGTTCCGAGTGAAAGCTGAGAAATCCATCGTCGCTTAATATCGACAGAAAATAATAGATACGAAGGGAAGCCAAATGACAGCAACGCCTACCAGTACGTGATGCGACCGCCTTAAAGTGGTTTCTTTCGACTGTTGGTTAGATCTTCCAGGGCTTAACGTTTTCCGTTGACTTTACACCGCTTGGAGAAAACGGCAGATTCGATGTAGTGGCGAAACATAAGAGAGTTTAATAGTTAAAATAGGTAAATACGGCATTTAGCCTTCCGACAGGTCGTTTACACACCTGCGCTCCGCGCGGAGAGCTTACGAATCTTTCCTGGCATTTGGCTCATGACAATTTACTTAAATGTGCGTGAGGTAGCACCTGCAATGAGATTACTACAAAGAACGTAACGCACGGAAAACGGTGTCGAGAGAAAGCGATTGTCGATCGCGATTTGAACACGGGAGGATGTACCGATTTATGGTCGTAATAGTCTGTCAATTATATTTCTTTTGACTAGTCAGTAATGAACATTTTTGAAACCGTCGGAACATGTTCCTGGATACAAAATTGAATTTCGACTCCACGAATAATTTATATGATAAATTTTAAAACAAAGAAAAAAGTCTATGCGAGATCTGTTTGGTTCGATCGCCCTGTTGCTATAGAAGTGCATTAAAAATGCACCGATGAGAATAAACTTTGTTTTCCTCATTTCGTAACGTTAATTAGAAAAACGTTTGTACTCGTTGCAGTAACAGCGTGTAAACATGTTTTCACATACATTACAAGATGAAAGATTGTAGACTCTTTTTCCTACTCTTTTAGTGTTGCAACTTCTCACGGAGTTTCTTATAGCTATTTAACACTTTTACCGCGGTAAAAAAGAACACGAAGGTAGGACTTATCATATACACGACCTTCATCATGAATATCTAAAAATCATTGAAACACTCAAGTATATTTTTATTCGTAACTCGTAATCTTCAAGTTATATAATAGTATAACAATAACTTATTATGTTAAATATGTTTGTACGACTGTTTGCTACGTTGGCCATGAAACGTGATGATCTGATGGCACTTACAGATTACCTTGAATTCTGTATATTTTGCGATAACGCTAATGACCGTCAATCTAATGCAGAAAGAAAGTTCGTCCATTGAATGAACTTTCACTTATTAGCGCTATTGATATCCGGAATATCCAATTCCAACAGAATTTATTTGTCGATAACATTCGAAAGAAGTAAAAATTCTGAAGATACATTTTCCTTTGTTAGATATCAGCTAAGCCCAAGATATCAGAAAAATGCGGTAGATTGTTTTTAACGCAAGACGTCTTTTCAAACTTAATTCTTTTACTGAATTCTACTTAAACGTTAACGTTATCCTTTTCGATGAATAATTGTGATTTACATTCCACATGTAATCGTCTAATTTGAAACATAGCGTCTATTTCTTTTCTGAAATGCTTAAGGAAGTACGCGGCGAATATCGAAGAAAAGATGCAGCCAAACATCGTTATCGAGCGCGATCATTCAACTCGGGATTCCGTGTATAACGTATTATTACATAGTGGTATGGTCAAGCATCGAGTTTATGTATGCACCTTACACGTATAATCGCGTAGTAGATGCATGGTATTTATGTAACGTATGCCTGTCGTGTGTAGTGGAACGCGCAGTATAGTTTCGTGATACAGAAGTAAATCGATCGATCGGTCGTATTTGATTTCATCAAGAAAAAAATAGTACATCTGTTTGGCTCCAACGTAAAAGAAATCGTATACGTTGTTACGAGAAACGAGGAATACAATCAACAGATTTTGGTTTACGTGTTCTGCTTCACAGGTGAAATGTGTAATCTACGCTGTAAGTATAGATAAAGACAGAGCACCGTTTACGACTAGTTATCCGTAAGAACAATTAAACGGATCAACCGCACGAATCACATTCCAGAATGGAACTTTTTACGCTAGTTTACGCGTCGAAATCCTTTTATCTTGCATGTCGTGCATCGTTGCATTTAAGGTTATTTCACTCATTGTCAGTATAACATTGGCTACATTCGGTCTCCTAGACACATGATTCGTGTCTTTTCTCGCGTAATTGCTATGTCATTTACTCGAGCAAGACGCGATCGAACGAGTAAATCAATTTCACTTTCAGAGCAGAGTGTAGCGATTGGAAGATTTTAGAGTGAAAGATGTACCGATGGATGCATTAAACATTGACTGTCAGGTTATGGTAAACGTTTTCTATGAAACAGCAGCACCATACAATACAATGCTTCCGTTAGGACTCTAACTTAAACCTTACTTTAAGGACGAAAACATTGTAAGCGTTGTACTTAAAGAAGAACCTGGCGATAGATTTGATCCCGACTACATGGAGGACATCTGTTCTGGGACATTCGGGAAGGTATTTTTACCTATCGAAAATAACGAAGTTGACTTCTCCAATGAAATGGTAAGTTTCAAAGTTATTTATAATTATCTATTATCTTAATGGAATGCATCATTATTTAAATCTAACAGACTACATTGATTGTAGGTAAAGCTCGAATTGGATGGCGAATCTAGCAGTCATCAAAATTGGACAGCTCAGCTCGCTAACACGAATTTATGTGACAAGGATGATGGAGCTATACAGAGATGTCTGACAAACGCAAATTTTACGCAAGTGCCAGACCCTGAGAAACATTCTGGTTTTTGTTCAAATGGGCAACAACCGAAATTTTATAAAATACAATGTTCCATTTGCAAGAAATGGTTCTTGAACAACGATTCGATGGTTACCCATTTGAGAATGCATTGCAGCGGTAGCCAATGCGAGGTTTGCCAGCAAAATTTCCAAGACAGTTCCAGTCTGCATGCTCACATGTTGACGCACGTCGGGATGAGTCCGTTGGAGTGCAATGTCTGTCAAAAACGATTCGCTTACAAGTGGTGTTTACGTAGTCACATGCAAATGCACGTATTAGAAAAACCATACGACAACGACGCGTTACAACAAACGTTTATGAAACGGATGGATTCCGAGAACGATCAATCGATGAGTGGAGAGGATAGAATAATTGAATGCGACGTTTGTCACGCGACGTTTAAAGAAAAGTCTAGTCTAAATCGGCATATGATTAGTCATACGGAAGAGAGGCCGTATAAATGCGATATATGTTTTACAACGTTTAGGGAAAAGGCAAAATTGAATATGCACATGACGCTGCACGGGGGTAACAAACAGTTTAAATGTACAATGTGTCACAGATCATTTGCACAGAAAACAGCGTTAAACAATCATATGCTAGCGCACAGTGGTGAAAAGCCGCATGCTTGTAACATCTGCGAGAAAACATACAAACGAAAATCGGAGTTAATCAGGCATACGATGGTTCATACTGGCGAAAGACCGTATGAATGCAAAGAATGCCTGATGACTTTTCGAGAGAAGGCAAAATTAAATTCTCACATGCTCGTCCACACAGGTGAGAAACCGCACGAGTGTCACATATGTCACAAGGCGTGTGCACGGAAATCGGATCTGAATAGTCATATGTTGCTGCATACCGGCGGTCAATACGATTGCAAAGTTTGCGATAAAATATTTACCCGCAAGTCGGATTTGAAGCGGCATACATTGATACACACGGGCGAGAAACCGTTTGCTTGTGAATTATGCGAAATGGCCTTTAGAGAAAAAACGAGACTGAATTCCCATATGCTTATACACACTGGCGACAAAAGACACGCTTGTCACATTTGTCAGAAGACGTTTAAAGAGAAGTCCGCGTTGCGGAAACACATGTTAGGTCACACCGGTGATAGACCGTACGAATGTTACGTATGTCACAAGGCATTTACCCAAAAAACAACTTTAAACAGCCACATAATGGTACACGCTGGTGAACGACCATACGAGTGTAGTGCGTGTCAGAAAATATTCAAGGACAAAGCGACATTGAAGAAGCATTTATCGGTGCATATAAACGAAAAAACTCACGAATGTTTGATTTGTTTAAAAAAATTTGCCCATAAAGCTGCGTTAAATAGTCATTTATCGACAAATCATACGTCTTAACTCGAGGGATCTAGTCCGTTGTTTTCCAGCTTTTAGTTTCTTTTTATCAAAGCACTTGTATGCATCTATATCAGTGGCCGCCAATACGTCGCTCGCGGCAACCAGTTTGGTCGCTGGTTTTAATGTATATATATATATATACAAAGCAAAGAGAGAGAATTACTATGTAAATCTCATTATTTTTGAAGTTGTTGAAATTTTGTAATTGAAAAGTATTTATATCAATTATAATAATTACATATATTTAAATGATGAGATTTATAGCGTAGTAGTTCTTACACTCTTCTAGATTGGCGACCACTGATGTATATGTAGCTGCGTAAAGGCGGTTACGAGTACATGCATCTGTTTTATATGCTCATTGATCCAAACAGTCGCATTATTTCTTGTATATCTTTACGTACAATAAATTAATTTTTAATTAGTCAAAGACGATTCTTTCCAACACCTTTATAACGAATAACGTCTTTTTCTATAAATTAATTTCGGTTTGTACGATTGTCGCTTTTTTATAAATATAATATTACATATTTCGTGGCTACGTAAAGTAATATTTAATATCTCAACGTAATCTTTAACTCGTCTCATGCAATTTTTATTTGAAAATATCCACGTTTACGTATAACCTAGGAAAATACTTCGGTAATACAAATATGGCCGATTCCCTAGCGACCTATACAATTTCTCCCATTCAAATAAAATGTGTTACATGTATGGAATATTATGCATATTTATAACTTTTCTAAGTTGTTGATCGTTGTTGATGCTGTGTGATTGTGATATGAAGCGCGTGAAACTTATGACATTCTTGTAAATATTGTATGTAAATAAGATCGAAGTGTAAATATAATCTATTTGTTTACGTGTAAACCGACTGACAAGATAAACGTCTATTACTAAATGCAGGCGGTTTTGAAAAGTTCAAATCAAATTGTATTTTTCATTAAAATGTATTTAAATATAATAAATTTGTATGATACCTGAGTGTCCAATAACCTATCATTAATAAAAGAATTGATCAGATGGAGTTGTCACAGAATTCTCAAATTTCTGCTGATCCAGAAACGAAAGGATTCGATTTATCTGCTGGAAAAACATGGATTTATCCGGAAAATTATCCCGTCAGGGACTATCAATTCAATATAGTTCATTCTTCTTTGTATACGAATACCTTAGTTTGTTTACCCACAGGTAAGGGAGATTAAATTTTCATTATTATAAATAAAAGTAATTGCTAGAATTAATAGCAAAGTTTCTCTTTCAATTCGTATTAGGATTAGGAAAAACATTCATTGCTGCAGTTGTAATGTATAATTTTTGGAGATGGTATCCATGTGGAAAAGTTGTGTTTTTGGCACCTACTAAACCTTTGGTTGCTCAGCAGATTTCTGCTTGTCACAATATAATGGGTATACCTAGCATAGAAACCATTGAACTTACAGGTAGACAAATGTTTTGTATAATTTCATATACTTTTTTCATAGTCTGCATTATCACAATTGTGTTTTATAGGAGCAGTCAATCAAAAACATCGTGAAGTAGCTTGGTCAAAGAAAAGGGTAGTGTTTGCTACTCCTCAAGTTTTTCAAAATGATCTGGAGAAAAACATTGTACCTAGTGATTTAATAAAATGTGTAGTTATTGATGAAGCTCATAAAGCTCTAGGAAAGCATTCATATCGCGAGGTACCTATATGAATTATTATTATTAATCTTATTTTGCTAATAAATCTATAGCAATCATATGTTGTATCCATTTTTAGTGTATTAGAATATTAAGTGAAAGGAACCAAAATTTCAGAGTATTAGCCCTCTCTGCTACACCAGGAAATAAAATTGACAATGTTCACGAGGTATGATTCAGTAATGTAGAACATCAGTAAAAGTTATTTGTATTACTTATTATTGTAATTCTTTTTATAGATTTTGCAAAATTTACGCATTGCTCATATGGAGCTAAGAGATGAAACTTCCTCTGATATTATACCATACATCAATCAAAGAAAGATTGATATAATTTTGGTACCACTTAATGATCAGTTAACTGAATTCAAAGATAGGTACATCTACATTATGGATCGTCATGTTAAAGTTTTACTTCAACATAATGTTCTTCGTGGACAAACAGCAAATATCTCGAAAGGAAGGGTAAGTTATACTATTAGTTATATATTTGCTTTATTTGTAGTTGTAACTTAAATAATTGAGATACATCTTTCTGTTCATTAGGTATTTTATTTATTGAAAGAATATCAAAAGAAAACAAATAAATCAGGAAGTTATGGACAAATTATAAAAACGCTAAACATATTAATGACAATGTATCATGCCTATGAGCTCATGATTAGAGATGGTCTTCGAGCATTTCATAAATTTTACGAAAGTATGTAAATGATTTTTTTCATCTAATGCTTCTGTTTTCTTTGTTCATATAGCTAGTATTAAAATTACTTTTATGAATTTGTTATTGATAGATCATTCTGATAAATTTTGGATGCACGAGGAAACGCAACTGCAAGACTTGCTGGATGATATCCAAACATATCTCGGCCCGTTTCCAGAGATAAAGTCATCATGCAATCAATCTATAGGAGATGTTCGTATAAATCAGCTTGCACGAAATATTCGTTATCAACATCCAAAATGTTGTCATCCGTAATACTCGAAAATAATTTTCAGATTCCACAAAATCTTGTATTCGGACACACCAAGTTTGAAAAGTTGAGAGAATTACTTGTATGTCACTTTAAAAACTATCAAGAAAAACAGAGCGACACGAGAGCCATAGTTTTCGTCGAGGTTCGTACATTTCAAGTTCGTTTACCTAACGCGTTAGAATTTTACGCGCAGCACTTAATTTACTTTTGCACAGTACAGAGATATCGTCAGCGAGGTTTACGTTCTGCTGTTGCAATGCCAACCTCTGATAAGGCCGCAGATGTTCGTCGGACAGTCTGGACAGAAACAAAAGCAACAAATAAAAGCTTTGGTCGACTTTAGAAGCAATCACGTTAACGTTCTTATATCTACGAGTATAGGTAAGGGCTAACTTGCACTAGTGTTTATTTTAATAAATTAAAATGATGAAAATCAAATGTTTCTGATGCTTATTGTAGGAGAGGAAGGATTAGATGTCGGAGAAGTAGATTTAATAATATGTTTCGACATATCTCAACACTCTCCTACGCGGCTCGTACAAAGAATGGGGAGAACTGGTCGAAAACGCGACGGACATATCATTATTCTCGTCACAGATGGAAGAGAACACGAGGTAACCGTATATCTAATATTTGATAATACGTAAAATTCGCTTAAAATATTCTTTGAACGAGTAGTAACAAGTTCCATTAATATTCCAGACATTAAGATCCACAATGGCTAGGAGAGATTCTCTAAACAACAAGATATTAAATACGAGTAACGTTACTTCCTCCCTTTATCAAGACAATCCGCGTATGATTCCTGATGGGTTTACTCCGGAGTGTTTGAAAATGCATTTGAGCATGCAGCCGAAAACTCCGATTACGAAGGGCAGGAAGAAGAAAGAGAAAATGGAAACGAAGACTAATAAACGTAAAAATACCATCAAAAAGGTTACTGCTATAGGTAAGGAAACTTTCTTCATTCTTTAATACTTGGATCAATGGTTTTCTTTCTCCTGGAAATGAAATGATGTATTTTTTGTTCAGAGTCGAAAGTAGCATCACAAAACGATGGGGGTCAATTTTCGATGATGAAATTCTTCAAAAGTGACAAGCACGAGGAACATAAGAGCTCTGTTTTGGAACCACAGAGTCTTAAAATTGAAACTCATGATGTCCATCCGATAATAAAACCGTCTGATGTAAAGATCCTATCTTGCGACGACGACGCAGTTGATTTTCTCACGGTGTGCGCTTTGAGAACCTCTGAGAGGGAAGCGAGCGCAGACGGAAAACGTAGCATCGATAAATCTTATGTACCTAAATGTGCACCAATTAAAAACTTTTTTAATTTCTCGATACCTAATCTTAAAATTCTTGATTGTTTAATCACACTGAGTGATCCCATTCTAAAAGATAGTAAAAAAATCAATTTGGAAGACAATCATAGCGCGAACGACAGCGATGGAAATCATTCGTATAATAATAATGACGATGAATGTGTAATGATCGGCACGATCAAGGAAATTGTTGACTTGCATACGGTTGAAGAATCAAAATTTGAGTATTTGCTCGATGACAGTAGCGCGTCGAACACCAGCAATGAATTGAATGATATTGAAGAAGTAGCGATTGAAAATAATAATCCTACGACTTCCTTGTCGTATCTACACGCTGACGTATTACAGGAAACAAAAAAGGATACGAACGCCTTGGAAGATTTGGAGCCTAGCAAATTTGAGGATTTGTTGAACGAAACTACCGATGATTCTGAGAATGACGCCCCCACTCATATACGAGCGGAAAACCCCATTGTTAGCGATTCCACTAACGATGAAAACGTGAAAACGTTTACTAATTTAAAGATAGATGATGATATGAAAGTGAACAGTGCGCATTTTCAAGAGGTCGAGGATATTTCTGTCCAATCTGATCAAAGTAAACACGACGTCCATGATTACAAGGAGAAAAAAAATACTAGTAAAACTCAGGATCAAAGTATGCTTAGTGTAACACAGGCTATTATCGAAATAAGGAGAATAAAGTCAAATTTGGATGTGTCGGTTACGGCTTACGAGTCCGAGGACGATTTATTTGAGGACGATATAGTATTTCCTACACAAATCGACAGCGAAGTGAATTTTGTTCGACAAATTGAATCAGTGGACGAAGGTAAAGAGTCCAACGATACGAAAGATCCAAGTAAATCAGCATATTTCGCTGACAAAAAAAGCGCGATTAATACGGAACTCAAGATCGATGAATTCGAATGGGGCGATGACTTCGATATTATTCCCACGCCTGTAGAAAATTGTGCTGCATTTGACACGTCCAAAAAGGAAAGCGAGAAATTAAAGAAAATCGAGAACAAAGTTGAAGATCGGTATTCGGATAGCGACGAATGGTTTTCGGTTAAAAAATCGTGCGATACTATGAAGAAGAACGTACCTAGAAAAACTACCATAGCAAAGAAATTGGCGAACATGAAGAAGTGTAACTCTAAAAAAGGTGCGAGAAACGAAGTTAAACCTGAGAGTGATCTAGTTACCATTAAGGGTAACAAAAGGGACGAATTGGAAGCCAGTTATTTTTTCAACGAACAAGAAGATCATTTTGTTGAAAATAAAGATCCACGAGAGAATGTAAAACATTTCGAGAGGCCTACCATTAAAAATCGTAATCGTTCTCGCAGGCCGAGAAGAGCAAGAAGTAACTTTTTAGATGACGAGGCAGAAGTTTCGTCGACCGGTGACTGCTCGACGGATGAAAGTTCTGGTGTCGATCAAGATTTGGAAGATTTTGTCAGTTACACGCAGAATGTGCACGATACCTCCGACATGCACGCCGTCTATTTACAAACCGTCAGAAGCCCGATAAAAAGATGCAACGGTTTCCTCTTCAAAGAACCAAGGGCAGTTGATCCCGATGTAGAAATTTATTCCCAGGAATTCACCCAAGCGAACGACTCCTATCTCGACGTAAGTGAAACTATTACAATATTCCTTTGTTTAAGACTGAACAACGTGTCTTTGTAACTTTAGGATTCGTTCTGCGTGGCGGAGGGCGACGTCGAGGAAGGGGCGGCCACTTCAATGGAGGAATTATGCGAATTGGAAAAGGCAGAGCTAGAGCTGAAAAAGAGAAAAAGAAAACGCGCTCGAGGCGAGAAATCGGAGGATCACGCTGCGAAAAGAACGAGGAAGAATAAAAGAGCAAATATAATTAATTATAGCGCGAGTAGCGAGGATGAAACTGAGAAATTACGAGAGCAGATCAAAGACGAATCGTTTTTGTTAGCGCGATCGAATAGGAATAATTGATCCTTTCGGAAATATTATTTAAATCAAGAGTGTATATTTATATTGATTTCTTTGTATATTACTGCGCAGTGGGCCAAGCTTCAATAAATATATAAATTTTAGTCCACTGCGCGCCGTCGACTGAATAGAAGACGTGGAAACGAAACTATGTTCGTTTCAGCGAAAGTAATCTTTTGGGACTTGAACTTGAAACGATCTTCGAGAAATCTCAGTTACGGTAAATCATAAAATGGCGATATATTTTCTACCTGCCCAAGCGTCCTTCGATCGTTTCTCGAAGAACTGCAAATTCTTTTGGGCGAGAAGACTGTCAGGTGCTATAACTCAAAGAATACAAACGAACAATAAGCATTGTGCTTGAATTTCACGGTCCTGGTAGGTTTGCCAGCTGAAATGCGATGTAAAGCAGGGACGAGGTACCTGCGCGCTTTTGTCGTATACTTTGCCAGGTACATTTCCTCTCTTTTATAAATTGTATGTTTAAATTTATTAAAATTATAAACTTGTTATTTTTATAGAATTGTGTCTAGTAATTAGACCGGGGTGTTTTCTACTGTTTTTACCAGTCCATCCATCTTTACAAAAAATGGATAGAATAGAAAGGAAGGTCCATACAAAAGAATACCTATGCAGTCTACCTATACTTTCCTAGAAATTTGACCAGTGACCAGTGACCTTCCAAAAGGTTTTCCACCCCTCGCAAAATTTTTTTACATCCACAACTAGAGATGAACAGCGAGGGGTAGCGGGGCTTAGGTAAACGTAGTTTCTTCTCGACCTCTAGCAAGCTATATAAGGCAGAGGGTGAAAATGTTCTCGTTAGTTCGTGATTGCACAAGTTGTCGGAAGGTACGAGCTGAAGTATTCCATTTGTAAATTCAGCAAGAAGATCGAAGCAACATGTACTACTGCTTGACGATTTATTTACTGGTGATCGGTTGGTGCAATGCGGCGACTATATCGACTGGACAAGAAATCAGAACCGAGCAGAATAGACAGAAGGAAGAATCGAACGATCAGGCGATCGCAAACCCTCAAACTGGAAGTCAACAGCTGCAGACTTATGTATCTTCGCAAGGAAATCATTTGTCACCCAACCAATATTTTTATCCAACGTACACTGATTATAATAACGGCGGATACGCGATGAAGACAGGATACGAGGGTTACCTAATTCCCGCGGTTTTGTCGCCTCAAAGAGAATCGCACTGGACTACAGAGATCGCAACCACTTTGCTTCCGTTCTCCGGCGACGTTCTTCTGTACGCAGCGCGAGCAGGAGCTTATCTGTTGCATTTGGTCTTCACGGTTATCATGGGCAGCTTTTTCACCACCGTTGTCTGCACCTTTACGTCAATTTGCAGCATCAGTTTTCTCGGCTATGGTCTTAACAAGAATCAAGTAATACGTTTTCTTTTAATAATTCTTTAATTATTCTACGACCTACAAAGCCTGCAGCTCTCGCGGCCGTAGCGGTCTCGCTGAACTGCCCCTGACAATAGGCAACCCGACGCGCGTGCGTGTCGTAACTACAACCGTCACGAAGGCGCGAGTTCGCGTTTTAACTTATAGCTCATAGTTTTTAATAATTAAGCAACTTGTATAAATTTTATTGATCACTCTAGATCATCGAGATAATCTTTCGACGTACTTCAAAGCTTAATGAAATCAGCGAAGTTGTCGCAATTGTAAATAATTATCGGTGGAGATTAAATTTTTACTAACGAGCAATTTTGTTTCGCAGGTGAAGGAACAGGTAGCAGAACTGGCCAGGACCTACGTAACTCCCGAGAGCATTAATGCAGCGACTATTCTGGTTTCTCGGGCAATCGAAAGTTACACAGCGATGCAACGAGAGAAACAGGAAACCGCGAAGCAGCAAAGATCGACCAGAGCCTCCAGTAGATGATTTATTTTACGCCTAGATTTACTGGTGGTTCTTAACCATTTTAAATAGCGTCTACGCAAAATAAGCAGTCAAACTTATGTTCGTTTGGGATTAAATTTGTAACACAGTCATAAAAACTGTAAACAGTAGAAATTCATTTGTTGCCAAACATTCGCACTATACTGGTTAAGAACCGTTACACACGCGCGGAAGCGAAAGCGTGTGTTGTCGCGTTGCATATAATTCTAATCGTTGCGACCCCTTAAAAAATCAGCCTTTTTTTTTGCCAAGTCGACCTACGACCTCGCGACGCACGCGTTATCCGAAAACTCGAGCTCCTCGAAATAACAATTCAGAAGAAATGAAAATGTAACTGTTTGAGTGAGATAGTATTAGGTGTAGAAATTAATTTTATTAATCAAATCAAATCAATCAATCAATCGATCAACCAAATTTTAACAAGTGTTAACGTAATAGAATGACATGTAAATATTTTTACTTGAACTACATGCATGTAAAGGCACAGAATTCATTTCTACGCCTTATATATATAAATTAGATAAGTTTCGCGCGTGAGTCTGCTATCGATATTAAATATTAGCCGCATCAAATTTTGTCTATCTCTGGTTTCCGATCGTGAGTCATGTTTGTCGTTGTTCCTTTTCCCGGATGATTCGTTTCCCTTGACACTTGTTCCCCCCCCTCGCCCTCTTCTGCTTCTCTTTCGTTGACGCGAACTGTACGCGGGGCTAAAGAACGGACAGACGGACGGATAAGCCAACCGACCGGTTCTGCGTTTGGTGAACACAGTTGGATGAGATCAGAGGCCGCTTCGCACATTTTTCCGCGCCGTCTCCACAAACGGTTTTCGTTCAGATTTACAGTCGCGCGTCGAGTTACTGTTGGCGTCGCGCGCAAAAGCGAGTCACTGCGATGAAGTACACAGGAATGCTGGGTGAGAGAGATTTTTCGTATTTACTTTACCCATTTGTGCAGCGAAATTTGTATCTCCCTCGTTAAAGGAACGTTTCTTTGTAATCGGTTCGCGGTGACCTTGACCTTGACATTGTATACGATGTTGCCACGATCGACCAGAGCCGGGCAAACTTTGCTCGATTTGAAAATAAAGACAATTTCTACAAATGAAACGTTAAGAAATATTGGATGTTGGAGTCCGAAATAATTAATGCGCTTTGTATATTAAAAGAAATAGACTTTATTTCACACGACGGCAGGAAGGTTCTTGCTCGACGAACTAAACTTCGACACCAGAAGGAAATCAGGGTCCTCTCATATCTCTCGAGTGTTTAGGTTTCACGTCGCCACAGTTCGACTCTTAAAACAAAGTATCGCTTCGGAGAACGCCGATTCAATTTTGACAACGAACAATAAGTTCATTCCTCGTGAAGCGGATCGATGATCCAACAAGAAATAAAATCCAGAGATTTTAGTAGTATCAGTACAGAAATTATTTACGAATAAAATAGTACTAATTTAAAAGTTAAGAGTCCCGATTCTGCCGATCGATTCAAGGTCGGTGAATCGTTTCTCGTTTCTTGATTGTCGAGTAATTGGTGCATGCTCGTGACTCAAGCGGAATTCCCACTACGAAGTTTCTGATAAGGACGTTAAAAAAATATCGATTTCTATCATTGGATATTCCCAAACTATATTCTTGGCAATTGCCTGTAAGAGCCGATAAATCTTTATACGAAATTTCCCGAAACTATTTACTTTACTTCTGGGAGGTATCTGTTTCGTCAGCTTGAAAAATACCATAATGGGAGTTCCTTCCTTAATTTATCACCGTCAATGGTCGAGCACGATCGAATGAAATATATTAATTTCAGGCTGGGTCGTGATCGCGTTTATCGCGATAATCACGACAGGTTGCAAGTCCGATGTAGTGCAAGCTTCCATGGGTCCAAACAGAGTTAATAATACCATTCCTACCATCCCAATCCGCGACGATGACGACGAGTTGGAGGACTTCGTGCCCTACCAAGGAGAACGTTTCAACGTTTTCGACTGGTTACTGCTCAGAGTAACGACCACGATTTTTACCCAAGAGATTTTGTCAAAAAATTTATATCTCATAACTATGCATACTCAAAGTTACCGTTAAAACTCGTCGAACAAGTTCTCTTCTGATGAAAAAAAAAAAAAAAAGAAAAAGAATGAAACTCGTAGCACCTGCCTAAAAATCATTGACATTTCTTTTTTCTTTTGCATTATCGCAGGCTCTGAGCAAGAGAAATTCGGGGAATGTTCTTGTATCTCCCATATCTCTGAAGATCGCTATGGTGTTGCTGTACGAAGGGGCACAGGATGAAACTGCGAACGAACTCGCCACCGTGATGCAGCTACCAGCGACTCGAACGGCTACCAGAGAGAAATTTTCCACTATTTTACGCTCGTTTATGGTAAACATCGTCTCACCTTAGAGATAAACGGAATTCGGATGAATAAAATTTAAATTAAACGTCCCGTAGGAGAGTTCGCCAGCGTACAAGTTGAACATTGGCACGCGAATGTACGTCGACTCGAGCATTCTGACCAGGCAACGATACGAGGCGATCTTGAAGACCTTTTATACCACTGACGTATTAACTGCGAATTTCTCGGTAGCACCGCTCCTGGTAGAATCGATCAATGCCTGGGTCGCTAACATAACCGAGGGCAACATCGACAAGATGATCGAACATGGTAATAATAACGATGATGATTCTATATATAAACTTTACTTATGTGACAGACAATAAACATTGTACGAAGAAAAGAACTATTTATAAACGTTGCATATCTCAATGACTTTGAAGTATGGGGAAGGAGGAAATCTGGATATTTAGAAAATTCTAAAACACTGTTTCCGCTCATTTATTACATAAAATCCGTTGTTGATTATTTATTATTCCATCTGGTAATAGTATCTCTTTTTACAGATAGCAGCATAAAGAATTCGGTGATGGTGATCATGAACGCGCTGTTCTTCAAGGGATCGTGGCGTCGCAAGTACTTCGATCCAACGAATACTCAAGTACGACCGTTTTACACTAGCGGTAATCGAACCCTGAACGTGCCATACATGCGAGTCGTAGGACGATTCTATTATTCCGAGTCGTCTGAGCTGGAAGCAAAGATCCTACGTATACCGTACGATGTACGCTGAACCTTAATTTCCTTCTTACAACAGTATTTCTCAAACTGTGAACCGCCAACAAGAAAAAAGAAGCACGAAAGCCTTTGAGAAATACTGGTCTGCGATCTAGTTTATCCTACTAATATCCTATCTTATCTAATTTCAGGGTCACAAGTTCGCCATGTACCTAGTATTGCCGCGTGCACGCGACGGAATCGAGAAGCTCGTCAGCCTAATTAATCCCTACGCGCTGACTCGACACGTGTGGCTGATGCAGGACTTGCCCATCGACGTTTCCATTCCGAAATTCAAGTATCAGTTCACTAGTCACCTAGAATCAGTCCTTCGTGAGGTACGCTACATTTAAATAGGACCATCCATTAGTCTTACATTACTCTTCTTACATATATATATATATATATTTTTCTAATTTATCTCTCAGCTTGGTATCCGTGACATCTTCGACGACACGGCCACGTTGACGGGTATAGCTCGCACCAAAAAAACCTCCAGACACCTGAAAGTCTCAGACATCCTTCAAAAGACTGGCATAGAAGTAAACGAAAATGGAACCACGGCATACGCAGCCACGGGTAAATGAAACGTTCCTTTACTCTACCCACAAAAATATTTCTCTCGGTTCCATCAGGTCAGCAGAGCTTAACACGTTGATGTGGGTGACAGTGCTTTCCACTGAAGAACTAACGAAATTAATTCCGAATGTCAAGCATCAAAGGAAATGAATTTAAACCAAATTCATGAATTTTGATGAAATTACAAGAATAAATACGACGATAAATGTTTGATTATACAGTCTCCAATAATTTAAATAATATTTCATTTTAGTAGAAACTTTAAAGAATATTTGTTTGGCAGTCAATGTGTTAACGCGCGGATCTTGTCGTTTCAGAGGTCGACCTTGTGAATAAAATGGGGGAGGAAACGTTCTACGCGGATCATCCGTTCATCTTTTACATAGAGGACGAATCCACGGGAACGATTCTCTACATGGGCAAAATGGTAGACCCTCTCGATGTATCTGGAAATGCGAACAGCTCGTTGCCACAGTTTCCATCCAAGTTTGGCCCGGGAATACCGGACGCAGGTTAATCTCTTCCCTCGATTCGGTGGTGCAAGTTTTGTGGCTAACTGGTGAACGGACTGGAACAAAACGCTCGTCTAATATTTTCCTTTTCTTTTCGCCATTAATCGCATTCCGCTGCGTAGTCGGTGGAACAAGTATAGCAATCTGCTTAAGTCTCTTAAAAGGGAAATACTACCTTTAGAATAAAAAAAAATATTTTTGTCAATCTTCGTTAAAAAATGTGAACGTAAATAGAAATCATGAGCATCCTGGTACCACGCTACCGGAATTCCTGAGTCAGATGGTAGGGTGGACTCGTCGAGTAATGGCCGTAACTGAATGAAACTAGAATTTCGTAAAAATTGGATGTTCAGTATAGATATATAACAAATCGTCGTTTTATTAGTGATCCATAAGATTTAATGTAAGAGAAAAGGTTGACTTAGCTTGTTGCTATGTGTATTCCATCGACTATACTTTTCTCACTCTGTAATCCGTTTTCATCCTTTCGCATTTTAAAGGTAAAATTATGAATGATTATGTAATATAGGTAATTAAATCTCTTCCGAACCTTTTCTCCTAGACGTGTTCTTCAGGGCTATCGCTTAATATCTATTTCTTGCAGAACACCGTGAAAATGAAAATGATTTTGAACGTGTGTCAAACACAGTACACTTTTCTGGTAGCATATACCGATTATATCGATCTTCTTTCTTTAGCATATTTCAGTAAACAAATAAATATACATAGATGAACAATATTAACGTGAACATGTTTCTAGACACGATCTTGCAGGCGGGCTTGAACGCTGAGGATCGCAACAACCTCTTCAACACGTATTTATCACAGGTGAGAAGTGCCCTGTGTTTCGGCAGACCTAGGCTCATTTAAAATAACATTAGAATCTAAACGAATATATTCAATCCCTCTAATAGAAAGAAATCGTTACAATTTCTTATTGTTCCTTTGAAATAAAAGTTGCCCAGATCCGTGCATTGCGTTAAACGAATCAGTATCGAATATATTCTCATCCCTCAGGCATTGAACAAAGAATACAATGGAAATCTAGTATCGTCGCCTGCGAGCCTTAAAATGGCTTTAACGATGCTTGCAGAAGGAGCAAGCGGAGACACTGAAACGGAAATCGTTTCGTCTCTAAGATTACCAGAAAAAGCGTCAGACACAAGAGAAATTACCCAGCGCGTGTTGAAAGCACTGAAGGTAGAACGAAATACATTTAAGCATTTAAGAAGTTCTCTTTCAGAATCAACGAACAAACTTGCACAAGAATTATTTAGAATTGTTTCAATCTCTAGTATGGCAGAGAAGAGTGTCACAGATTGTATGTACAGCGTCTTTTATTTGCAGAGAGCTGAAAATGGTACCGAAATTAGTCTATCAACTTGTATGTGGATAGATAGAACTCTGAACGTGCTAGATAGCTACGAACGTATTTTACAATCCAATTACGATGGATATATACAGAGTGTAGATTTTACGGATACGCAGAATACCGTGAACGCTATTAACCACTGGATTAATCAAGCAACGCGCAATAAAATTACTTCGCTCTCCGTAAACAGTGTCCAACCCGAAACTCGTTTACTATTGACTTCGGTCATTTATTTTAAAGGTCGTTGGTTAAAATCATTCGACAAGGCAAATACGAATCTACATTGCTTCTATACTCCAACCGGTGAATGTCGAAAGATAAACTTCATGGTACACGAGTCCACGTACCGATACGCTCAGATATCCTCTATCGATGCTGAGGTCTTAGAACTTCCATACTCGGTATGAACATATCATCAATAACAATCATCGTAACCGCATGGTTGCTGTAACAATCGTGTCCATATACATTTTTCAGGATGGTAAAACATCCATGTTGATATTAATGCCAAGCAAAAAAGAAAGGGACCCGTATCTTCGAATATTATCGAAAGATTTATCCACTGTTCCCGTTTCCGCGATGCTGGCGAGCCTAAAAGAAAGAGGTGTTACCCTCTATTTACCCAAGTTTACTATTGAGAATAGTCTCAATCTAGTACCAACGTTGCAACACGTGAGTAGTTACCTGAAACGAGATTGTCCAAATAACATATACGTGACAAAAAATGTTATTTCAGTTGGGCATCGACAGAATCTTTAACTCTAACGCAAATCTAACGAAAATTGTATCTAATGGTCCCCTTCAAGTAACAAGTATAGTACAAAATGTTCAAATAGAAGTAGATGAAGAAGGAACATTGGCTGTAGCTGATACAGGTATGTTAATAAAAACATTTGATTTTCTTAAAATCTTTGAACTTGCATATACTATGTTTTTAATCAAAATTTATTACAACAGAAATTGGATTCGTGCCCCTTTCATCTTGGAATAACGACATTAAGTTCAACAGACCATTTTTGTTTATAATCATTGACTCTGTAACACACACAACCCTATTTTCTGGTCGTTTCATTCAACCAGTTTAGCAATGTTTACAAGCTAATTACAGTATAAATGCTTTTTTTTCCTACTCCTTACAATTTAAATTTCATTTACAGATAATAGTTATCTGTTTTAATAATAAATACATATCAATGAAATACATTGTACTCGTATATTATGTATAAAAGCTAAACAACTGATATTGTGTTTTAAGACTATTCTTTATTCACATAATTATAGTAATATGACATATACATTTAATACATAATATTTATTATTATATGTATATCTAATACAATTAACATTTTTCTATTTATTATTCATATTTGTGTTTGATATCTTTCCAAAGTTTCTGAAACAAAAATTACAACGAATGTTAGTATAAAAGCATTTTTTATTCTCAAAGTAAATTACAGTCTCCCTATTATGCAATACTGTTTTGTCATACTCCAGTTTTGTGTTGTTTGCTATGTACCGAATACAAATTGCATATAACATATATTCGTTAATACCAATCTTTTATAAGTTTTTACAACACAATATTACATTGTTTAACAAAATCGTTCGATACAATAATCAATAAATACAAACAATTTACTGTACGACGTGAAACCATAAGAAAATGTATCACTGATGGTGTTGAAATATACAACTTAACATACATGTCTTTAGACGTGCATATTAATTACACATACCCCTTTGTTAAGACTTTCAAACAAACTATCCGAAAGTACATCGACCGTTCGTTCGAAAAAGAAACTGCCTGCTAGAATGGTTAAGGTAAACGTCGAAGTCCTTTTGAAAAGAAAATTGTACACGGTATTTCCTATTCCAGCCATTACACTGATTCAAATTATTACGTCTCAAAAGAGGAATGTTGGTTTCAATTGGAAAACGTAATAATTTTACGTATTCGTTGATGAAAAACGATTCTATACGACGACAATGAGTGCACTCAGTGGCCACAACCGATCACTGATCAGTAGGGATTTTTTTGTTGAACACGTTACTCACCAGGCCGCTACTTGCGACATGATCAGTGAGCGGTCGCCATCTTTAGTATCAGCAACTAGAGTGACGACATATAGCAGTGATAAAAGTTGCGCAATTTTCAATGATTATAGGGAATTTTCTGATAAACATGCACTCACTAGACAACTACTTCCGACATAGTCATCATTTTATCAGACTTGACATGTCCTTAATACCTCCCAATACATTCTAAGACATCCTAACACTTCCTAACACCTCCTAACACGTCCTCCTAATACCTTCTGACATCTCCTAAAACTTCGTGCTCGGCTAAAAGGTTCAACAAAGTTGCAGAGCTAAAAAATTAAGCAAAATGTGACGAAATCGGAAAAATCGCTTTCGCTCTGAGCTTCTGAGTTGCCACTTTGTTGGCCCTTTGAGCCCTACAACTTTGTTGAACTTTTTAGCCGAGCAATTTCCAACTTTGTTGCCTCTCAGGATATGCCTTCATTGTTGTAAAGCGAAGTGCTAGGGGATGTCAGGAGGTGTTAGGATTTGTTAGGAGATGGTAGGAGGTATTGGGAGGTGTTAGGAGTTGTTAGGTGGTCTTAAGAGCTCTTGGGAAATGTTAGGAAGTGGAAGTAGTGATTAGGAGGACTTGTACACGTAGATACTTATACGTGTCACACTCGTTATCAGCCGAAACTAATCTTGTCAACCGATTGCCATGTCGTTGATCATCGATCCTCCGTTTTTCACTTTTCATACATACCTTTTGCATGTGTTTTCTATGAAACTAAACAAATTCAAACTAACCCGTCGTTCCTCTGTTCGCTCACCATGCGCTCAATAAGGTCCGCTCACAGGTAAAATCTAGTGGTTTCTAGTAATACGTATCTTGGGTCGTGATATACTGTCTCAGTGGAATACACCCAATGGACCACGTCACGTCGACGTCTGTTCGATTTCGATTAATAAGTAGCTTTCCTTAGAAGTGAGTAACGGTGATCGATGCGTGTCACTCTTGACAGGTTGTCGTTCGGTCGTCATTCCCGGGTATCAATTTTAAATTTTTCGTACCATGGAACATTACGAGAAATTGTTGTTATGAGCACGTTATGTCAGAAGTCATGGAGACCGAAGAGGACGAAATATCTGTGGATACCAGTGCCGCAGGAACACCTACGAAAATGGCAGTTTCTATCGAAAAACATAACCTGAAAGTCAAACGAAGAAATGTAAACGAAACAGTGAATGATGATAAAGACTCAGACTTTGAAAGTAACGTTCCGCTTTTGAGAACGTCTGATTCCTCAAGAGCATGGCACGATAACAATATACCGCGAATTCCAGATATCGCGGATTTTAGTTCGTCAGGTAAACAGAACGGTGTGTTAAATAGTGACAACGATAGTAGTTTATTAGAAGGTGATTTTGGTAGTACAGAGACACTGACGAGTAGGGAACGGATGAAAATAAGCGTTATTCGAGGGAGCATCGTTAAGCCGAACCTGACATTGGGTGAACTTAGGCTACTGGGTTGCAGCAGCGAGGGGCTTGTTAATGGTATTTTACTGATAGGATAATACGTCAGGGCCGTCTTTAAGCCAATTGAACTGATTGTTTGGGTCCTATGTGAGGATATATATCTGTTTTAGCCTTGTTAAATATAACTAATTTTGTATAGTAATTTTTGGAGTATACAAAACTTAATATTTTCAATAAATCATTTCACTAAAAAGTAGACTGTCTTTGAATCTGAGGGCTCACCAAAAACTTTTTTAAGCATGCTCACAACTCCTAAGGCCGGCCCTGTAATACATATATTATTATCAATAAGGAATTTTGGTATAGACAATATTATATGATCCTTCAATTGGTTAATTCATGTATATTAAGAGTTCCTTATTGATAATAATGTTCTACCTTGCACTTAAATCTTGAAATCATAAAGACGATCTGTAGATGAAATACGAAGGGTTCTATGGCCAAAACTTCTACAACTGTCTGAGGAAAATGTTCTTTCTACAAATGGATTAGAAACAATACACAATTGTATTCCAAACGAAGTCTATCAACAGATATTAAAGGATGTTGCACGGAGTGGGAGTCATATTTCTCAAAATGCTACACAACAAGAGACAGATTGCTTTCACAAACAGTTGACACAATTAATGTGTTGGGTTCTTCACAGGCATTCTACATTAAAGTCAGTATCATTTATTCCTTTAATGTACCAGAGAGCATTCGATGTTTAAATGCTGTCTGGTGATACATCAGAAACATTATCCGTAGATATGTAGATATTACAAAATAAAATAATACGTACTTAGTTACTACCAGGGATATAACGACATCGCCGCGACTGTTCTACTTGTAATGGGTTTAGAAAAGGCTTTAAATGTATTGGAAGGCATTTCGTTAGAATTTTTAGAAAGATTTATGGAAAGAACAATGGAGAAAGTAAATCAAGAATTATTTTATATATTCGCGCTTTTGGAGCGAGTACATCCCACTTTGTTGGAACACTTGGAGAAGTTAGTATAACAAGAAGTGCATATACTTTTAAACGTTATTCGAACGAGAAAGACTTGTAGTTACTGAAATTATTTTATGCTATAGCGTAGAATTATTTCCGCACTTTGCATTGGCCGAGTACACGACGTGGTATGCGCACAAGTATGCGGAAAATAGAAAATTGTTACACAGATTATTCGATTACTTTCTTGGCAGTCCTCCATTAATGCCTCTTTATCTAAGCACTGTGATCGTAGCACATAGAGCAACAGAAATTTTTAATACTACGCCCGACATGGGTCATACGCATAAAGTTTTGTGTACTGTGAGTATTATTTTGCATCGATAATACGAATAAAATTGTACACGATCTCGAGCAGTTCACGCAGAAATTGTTTTTATTTATAGTTGCCAGATGACTTGCCTTTTGAAACGCTTTTAGACGAAGCAAAAAAATTATATCGTCAGTATCCTCCCGAGTCTATAAGTAACGATGTTACAGAATACGATCAAAAGAGAAAGTGCAAGGAACAAGAATGGAAAACAAAAGCGGAAGCAAGTCGTCAAGAAAGAGAGAGACAACGTAAACTTAGAATTGTGCAATCGACACCGAGAATACCATACCGTATTAGAAGTTACAAAACTATCACGGTGGTAACAATTTTGGCCCTAGGTTTATATGCCTTTCTAAAATCTTCTTCTGGTCTCAACTGACATTAGAAGAATTTACTTTATTTAGAAAGTAAATTCTTTTACATTTTGTTGTTTTTGTTCTGGAAACAAAACATTATTTGTATACATCCAACATGGAATACAGAGTTATAAAAAATTAATGGGCATACGAATATAACGGAAGGATGTAACGATACAAATATATACGTGATTAAGAATTATTGATAAACTTACACGACGAAGATTAAACGAACCCGTTTTTTTCTATTGTATAACAAAAAGCATCTTAAGCATTCCTGTGCTATCCTCAACTGTGTTCTTAAATACTCCGATATGAACTTTTTGTGCATATACGTTTACTGTATTAGAATTATAAATAAAAGGTGCACATGCTTACAAAAAAAAAATACTTCGAAAATAAGAACATTGTGAATGATAAGATAAGGCTTAGAGTATGATGGATGTATTTGTGGTTTAGATTGTAACCGTGTCTTTACAATCTGTGATGCAACAATTGTGCGTATATTTATTTAAATTTATGAACAAAAACCAACCTACAGCAACAGATAGATCTTCTTAATAAAAGAACTTAATTTTTCAATTTCATTTATTCTTTTCTACGCCTTCAATCGAATTTATTTATTATGTAACGTTCTATTGGAATTTTATTATCACAAATATATTTGTTTCTAAGTAATTTTATGTTTAAATCACATTTTCTTAATATCAATGTTTAAATAAAATTTATAGAAATATTAACTATTCCCGGACGAATATTTTGGAGCGCGAACGTTAAATAAGATGGAGAACGACTGTTTTTTAAAATTCATTTATGCGGATTTATCTTCACAATATAAAATAAAACATATAAAAGCCTAAAAAGACTGTCAAACACAAAAACATATAAAACAAATAGAAAATACATCAGATATTTACATTTATATATAATTATAAAATATATATAGTTATTTGTTTTTAATCTGGTAAGAATAGGATTTCGTAGCTCTTGTTACTTATTACTTACTTAATGGATATAATCGTACACATGTACATAGAATCAGCAGACTACTATCTGAGGTAATTATACTATAATATTTTTCTATAATATCAATTTGGCAATAAACTGATGATTGGAAGAAAACAAACTTGTTCGGATGTTAAGATTATACTGCTAAAACAGTTTTAATATAATTTACAACCTTAACATTTCTGAGAATATCCATATGATCAATACCAGGAAATCCTTGAGAATAAACTTTTTGCTTTTGTTGATCCTTCCAGTGTTTGCAACCCTCCAAACTTCGTAAGTTTACGGTACCATCGCCATCACCCGGAAGTAACTTAGGAGTACCTTCTATTGATGTACCGGGTTTATAATATAGTCTAGGAATAGAATATTAAAATAGAAAAATATATAATTTAAAATTATTGATTTGTAGTACAATCAATATACCTTTGTACTGTGTCTATGCCGATTCCGTATAGACAGTGTACCTCAACTCCTGGAGCAGCAAAATTTAATTGGTATTTCTCGTTATCTTTTCTAAATTCCCATCCATTTGGAACATTTATATCTCTGTAAAATGTAGAAAATAATAATTATTATCTATGGTATAGCTATGCAGCAATATATATTGTAAATATTATACTGTACATTAAGTAATCTTTTAAGGTGGACAGTGTATAGTTCCTTTGTGCTGATTCCACTAATACCTCTGTTTCCTTCCAAAATAAACTGGAGGGTAGCAACCACCCCAGACTAGGACTAGTGATTTGTTCATCTTTGAGAGTCGTTTGACGTAGAAGATATGCGCCTAAATCATCTCCTACAATTGAAAGGTAGTTAAAAATGTACATTTCAATATATATAATGCATGCACTATGTATTTGTTTTTTACCAATTGCAAAAACTTTGAGTGCCTTGACACTACCACCCCAAACAGCTGCCAGTGTAATGAAACAATTGATGTATTTGTCCTTCCACTTTTGACTTTGACGTTGTAAGAATATAAGCGTCATTGGTCCACCCATACTGTGAGCTATTAATGTTACTGGAACTTGCTTATTCGCGTTGTATGTCTCTTCAACTAAATCTTTTAGTTTTTTGAAAAATTCTTCGTGCTCGTCTGAAAAGAAAGATGATACTGTACATGATATAAATTAGATGAAAGGAACCTACTAATAATTATACATATACATACTAGGTGCTTTTCTGAAATCGTAAGGTGCGGCACGTATAGATTGGTTTCTAACATATCCAAGTTGATCGACTAACATATTACCAATGTCCTTAAAATATGATCCGAGAGAAGCCTTACTTGGATCCAAATACTCAACAGAGAACGGATCTCCCCAACCTGGTATACGTATGTCAACGCCATCTTGATTTCTTGTCGTTCTAGTTACGTTGTCATAAATTAATTTCATATTATCAATCTAAAATAATGTTTTTGCAATTAATTAAAGTTTATATATGCATTGCCAAAGATATAAAGACTATGAAAATGGAGTACGTACCCAGCAATCTATAATAACCGGAACAAGTAATTCCAAGTTTAACCAAATATTGAAGTAGCCTGTGGAAATCTTCTCGCACAAATAATGTACAGCAGTGGTCTTATTGAGTTTTGCTTCGACTTGACTGCCTCCATCGCCTGGAACTTTTAGTGAAAACATTAATACAAGAATCATTTGAATATATAATAGGAGAATGATTAATGCTTACCTAATATAATAGGTGATATTTGTTTGTTTACGAAGTGCCGAGGTTTCGCGGGTGAAATACAATACAAAGAAATAATCGCACAAATAAAATACAAGCGCATCGTTCACCAAACGATCTTGCTACTTAAACTTTCAATCACATTGAAATTTTCCTAGATTTACGCTCCACAATTAACCACAGAATTTAAAATAACCATTGACGTGACTACAAGCACGCAACGCGATGACAAACAACTCGAAGACCTTATCAGATGCGTCTAATGTTGTTGTTACCTGACCTCCGTAGTATGCATCAGCTGATGACGCACACATTCGAGAGTTATTGACGAAGAAATTTCGACACAGTCTCAAATGGTTACAACTTCCACCATATACACTCGTCTATGTATACATATATCGACCATAGTACATATGGTCGAAGGTTACAAAGCAAATAATCAATCGCTCATTATACTAAACGAGTTTCACACAGAGCATTATACGTTTATCGAATGCCTGATAACCGATGCGTTGTTTTCTGTTATTATTTAATCGGGTGCGAATGAAATATTATTTAAAGAATTAGATTGCTGAATTTAGCACTTTACAGTTTACTATTTACGGCAGTATACTAATCAAACAGGATAAGAAAATGTAAATATTATGTATTCTTAATTAACAAATAAAAAATTTCTCATTTGTTTCATCCTTCTAATAGCTTACTTCTATGCTTGGCCTTAAATAACGTCATCAATTTTTTTTACAACAACATTGAAGTTATTTATCCAGATAATTTACGTTATCAAGATCAATAATAAACTTATATCGATTCTACAAACATTACGTTAATTAAAATTAGCATTATGTAAAATTATGTGTGTGTCTAAAAGAAAGCAGTGGATGTGGATAATTAATTATCGTCGGTAACGTATCATATATCGATAAAAACGATATGCTGACGCCATCTAAGAACAAACATTGAAACTATCAGGCTACAAGCTTGAGCGTTTTACCACCGATGGCGCTGATTAATGTTACTAATTATTATAATACTTGATACACACGATATACATGTAAAACATTTACCGTAATTAGAGTATCAATTAAAAGATTGACTGCACTTACTTGTTGTGTCTATTTTTATGCTTACCCTTTCATTTATTATATCTTACATCATTAGTCACTGCGTCATATTCATATCCACGAGCTAAACGATCAATTACCGTCACTTACTTAGAAATAAATAATTGAAACAGAAGAATCAATTTTGTTAAATAATTACAGCGGTCCTCGTGAATAGACGATTTTAATAAATAAAATACGTCCGCATCATTGCGCGCGCAACTTCGAAAGGAATCTGAATTGGGAAACAATGTGTGTTACCATTTTATTATAAATGTTTCTGCTACATTTTGTTGGCTAGATACCGATCACCAGAAAACACTTAGCAAAGCTGTATGTACGTATCTATCTACAAACTGTTCACGTGTATGTATTGCATGTGTGTATGTGCGTGCAAGGGCGAAGTGATGCAGCTGGATGGATGACGAACCGGATTTAACCGGGACCGTACTCGTTATAACCATTTCTTTTTCTTTCTCTCGCTTTATTACTTACATACAAAAATCACAAAAACTTTCTGTCGGCGCTCGCTGTTCATAAAAAAAAATTAAAAAAAAAAAAAACCTCCTGGTGTCATCCGTTCAGCGCCCCCTGGTCTCATGTATTCAAATCGTCGAGTCTCTTTCATCGAACGCGTGTTCATCATGATTAAGTATCGATAATTACTTTGTTTTTTTTACATTTATTTGACAAAGCAAGCGAGCGGCGAGCGAACGAGCGAACGATGGGGGTGTGTGTGTGTGTATGTATATATCGTTACGGTATAGAATCATTTGTTGTTTTTTTTTTTTCACTTTTTCGCCTATTATGCGTCTTACAGGCATATACCATTAAACGCTATCGAAGGGGATCCTTATACTCTGTAACATTAATTCATAACCGCTATCGTAATGACAAATTTGTTTTTTTTTTTTTTTCTACAATTGTCGTGTGTCCGTTTGGGTTACGGCGACCGCGCTCGGAATTATACAATGGAGTTCTCGATATATATCGTGACGCACGATCGCTGTAACGCGCGCAAACATTGATTACTAAAACGCACTAGGTGTTTCTCGTTTTTTCCCATTTTTTTGTTTCGTATCGGCTGCTTTTTACATGAAAGGGAATCAACAAAAGAGGAGTTTTCGGATCGCACTCCGCGGACATTTTGTTTCTCCAGGTCCTGCCTTAGAGACGGGCACAGTTTCGTTTTAAATAATTTTACAGGGTGTTTCCAGACACACGAGACGCCCTATCTATCATAATCAATTCATTGTTCCGTTCAAGGTTCCGTTATCGCGATATAAGCAGCTAAAGTTTATTTCGAGTCAGCTGATCGCCGCCATGACACTTTTTCACGGCGCACGAGGTATCTCGATATCGAAGCCTTGGAATACAAAACGAAAAAGGACTTTTCGATTTGTTTTAATTCGACGAATCGATCCTAGAATAATATTTTCATCGAACAAAGAACGAATGAGTAGTCGCTCTAGATAAATGTCTCGTCCGTCTCAGGGTCGTATCGAGAACGACACGAAGAAGCTCCCCGTCGGTGATTCAGCGAAGAAGGAAAGTTGCTTCGTTAGGTTTCGTTTTAGGTAGCGAGGGGAGGAATGGAGAAGTTTTTTTTTTTTTTTTGTTATGCTAAGTCCCGATGCCTGTTGCCGTACAGTATTATTTTTTTTTTCCGTCGCGGATCGAAAACTTCTTTTTCGTTAGTTTTGTTCTTAGATGCGAACAATTTCGATATACAGACCGTCGACGGTACTTAGTTGCTATCAGTCGTTTGTCGATTTGAAAAGAGACACGCATCGAAGGAGCACGTGTACGTGTATGTTATGTATGTGTGCGCGGAGAGCAAACATTGAATTGGGTCTGAAATGTTTTTACTCGGCGTTTGAAGCATCCTTGTCGGTGTAATGTATATGTTTGTACGCGCGTATGTATGCGTGTGTATTTATGTATGTATGCGCGCGCGTATACAGCGCGTGTTAGAAACGTGAAAAAATCATTCGACTTTCGTATTTATTTAAATAAATTAGTCATTGCCTATAAGTAATGATACTCGATTAATCTTAGGCAAATATAAAAAGTTCGCGACACTCGAATCCCCGAGAGAGATTTCATTCCGTCATTCCTTTCGTTTTTCGTTACACGTTTGTCTTCCTTTTTCCCCCCTTTCGGTTGTCCTTTCCGCTGCTTCGTTCGCATCTTCTTCGTCATCATCTTCTTCATCGCGTTATATTTTCCATTTTTGCGTGTTTCTCTTATTTACGTTCTTGGTGTGAGGCTTCATTTATTTGGTTAATTTAGTACCTTCGTATATTATATTATTTATATACACCAAGTCTCTCTCTAGTTCGCCTCTACATGTACAATAATAATTCCTAATTTAATTTCATTCAACCGCGAATACATCTGCGAATAAAAGGTTAAATAGCGTAATAGTGTATAGCCAATTACAATACTTAAATATAACTCTTATATGGTATCCTTCGTAGAAATAACAGATCTCATTATCGACGTTGTCGTGCGCGCGTGCGTGTTTTCATTTGTTGTTGTTGTTGTTGTTGTTGTTGTCCCTTTTTTTTGCTGCTAAGGTATATCCCGGAATTCATTCGTAGCGAAATACTTTTCGAGTAGGTTCGCTCGACGACGATAATATCCCTAAACAATGCGTTAAATAATAGCTCCTTTTCGTCTTTCACCATCGTTTTCGTTTAATATTGTGCCGTAATATTACTTGTATACTATGCATAAAAATAATCATAATAATAATCGTAATAATAATAATAGTAGTAGTAATAATAATAATAATAATAATAATAATATTAATAATAGTTATCCTTACGCATTGATTAATCGGCTAACGTCTATAGTGTTGCATAGCTTTAAACTTATAATATAAAAAAAAAAAAAAAAGAAAAGAAAGAGAAGGTAAAGTATCGTAAAAATATTCGAAAAAGTAAATGATACGACGCGCGCGTCGGTGACGTTCGCGCGCCGCGTTTAAAACGGTTGAATTCCTGTCAACGCTAAATGGAGGATGATAAGTGTGCGAAGGTAATTTTGTTATGAGTACAATTCTACGTGTTCCTTTACAGGTTTTCAGTTTTTCCCCGAGAAGTTTGATCGGTTATTTACAAATAGACCTCTCGCTTTCCTCAGAAATGTGCCGCTTTATACTATGCGAGAATGTAATTTTCATCGACGTGACAACAAGGCTCGCGAAAAGAAAGACTCTTCGCGTCGCAGGTGTTCGGTACATGCATATGTATATACGTATATATACGCATTCATCGAACGTCTTTCATTTTTCGCGGTACAACAACCAGCCCTTTTTTCCTCTACGAACTGCACACATTTTCCCCTCCTTTCCTTCCCTCCCCCTTTTCACTCTCCGTTCCGAGAAAACTCTTCATCGTTAGGCACAGTTGAAATACAATAATCGTATCTCTCGTTTTCGGATAGTTCGTAATCTCTTAACCCGTTGAGCGAGAAGAAAGGACAAATTAAAGGACAAAGAAGAAACGAAGATCCTCTTCTTTTTCTCAGCAGCAACATCCATCGAGCCAACGGCTCCGAAATAAATAATACTGTGTAAGACGAGCCGCGGCTCAGCGACGGATCGTCCGACATTATCGAAAGAGTACGGTGGTTTTTCGGTGCTTCAATCGTAATCGTCGCGAACGAAAAGTATCTCGAATCGCAGTAGTGCCCGACGAAATGAGAAAATAAGGTTTGGTAGCGGATTCGTTTAAAAAATCGATCTACCGTCCCCAAGCAGAGAGCAAGTATCGTAGATTTAAGAACAGAGATCATCCGATCGAACAATTATTTAGATAAACTTTCACTTGGATGGAATAACGGATAGAAAGCTGTCCAACTTTTACGCGTTATTACACATTTTTATCTAGATAACGATTCCCTCCGTCCCTATTGCTCGGCTACCGAACTTCAAACCGGTGTTCGGTGTTTGCAGGAGTATCGACGCGACAAACGCTAATGCAAACAGCAGACTTTTATGTTTCTCCAGTGTTTGGCGTCATTTCCATCAAGAATTTGCAAAGTTTGTCAAGACCATTATCGCGTCAGACATAATTTTACAAACGTTACTCCAAACACTGTTTCCATGCATACAAAACGAGATATATATATAAAAATGTACAGCTTGCACCACCGCCTGTCGGTGTACCTGCAAACAGAAATACAAACTTTCTCGTTAACCAGGTGAGAGAAATGTTCTCATTTACCCGAGCACTACTGCACCGACAATCGGCGGCGGTTCGACGCCACGATTTGTTACGCGCGTGCGCGGTCGATCGGCAGGGATTCCCCTCTTTCCGTTCCCATCCTCGTTCTCCCCTTTTCTTCTCCGCATCGCGTACGCGGCACTCGCGCTCTCTCCTCCGACTCACCCCAAAAAACTTATGTCTTGTCTCTCGTCAGTTTTTCCAATTGTCTCGTTCTCGACAATTCCGACCTAGTTCCACAGTTTGGCACTCGGGAGAGTATTTTGAGTTTAATGTACGTGTTCAAAGCCCGACGGATCACAGGCGTTCCAGGCAGGCATTCTGTTGCGTTGCTTACGAGAGGAACGATTACGGGACTCGCGATCGATGAAATCAACGAGACCACGACTTCGTCGACCTTCGTTCCCCGTTGCTCTACTGGGACTGCTTTTAGGTGGTCAAACAAAGATCTCACGTGTGTTCGACTCGTGATCGGGATCAGGGGCGGGGCAATGATCGTGATCGGAATCGGAGTCCCAGAAGAAGGAGGAATCGAAATCGTCGCCGTCATCGTCGTCGTCGTCGTCGGCGTCGTCGTTGGTCGCGAGGAGTCCGTGCGATCGATCACGAGGGCGTTATGGGTTGGCGCGTGCGGCTAAGGAGCCAGTTGTCGGCAGTCACAGCTTCAGCTCGTTCGCTATCTTGCTGGCAATATTTTTGAAACCGATCGATGTGCCTGAGATGCGTTTGAAACGCACGCCGTTCAGAGAGAGTCGTGGCAGTTTACACACTTCGATCTCCCATTGTACCTGGCTGTCTGTCGCCGCGTCGCCGTGCGCGCACAACAGCAGAAACCTTTCGCGTTGTTCGTACTGACATTTATTGGCGTCCAGTACCTGAAGCGATCGACAAACCGGTTAGTAAACAGGTGGATTTTGGCGCTCGACTGGCGTCATTTTGATTTTTAATTCGATACGTAAAGCTATGGTCGAACACGTCACTCTGTACACCCTACTGGAATTTATTAATAAATTCATTATGATGTTACAGTGAATCCACACTGTACAACAAATTGTGAAGATTTTCTGCAGGATCAATTCCTTGCTCCAAAACGAATCAAAAAGTCCTGTATCATTTTGCGACCCGAGGTTCTGTTGTCGAGATATAAACAGTTAAAGTTCGCTTTGGATCAGCTGATCGCTGGTCTCGCCGCCATGACACTTGCAAAGACTTTAACAGTTTGTATCTCGGTAACGAAGAGTTATGACGCAAGTAATTGATCCTGCAGGTCACAAAAAGCACCAAGAGACGGCTACCAATCTAACGCTACAAATTAGGAAGAAAGCATCAATTCTTTCAAAGTTAACATTCCTACGTATCGTAATCTACTACAGAACAATTTTGAATACACTGTAACATTGCGATAAATTTGTTAAGAAATTCTAGGCGAGTGGACGCTTTATTGACCTAGTGTATGTCAGGATTGGCCGAAACAGAAACAGAAAGAGGTATCGAGAAACAGAATGACTCTGTATATCTAACAGCGACTGTATAATTATTAATTACATTGCTCGATCTACTTACTCGCTTTTGCAACAGAATCAACAATTATAGTGTCCCTTATGCACACAAAGATCATTCTACGTTACTCGATACCTTGCGAGTATTCACGCGATGGCGTTAATTTTTTTTTGTAAATTTCCCGATTAGGGGAAACGAATAGAAAGCTTTATGTGTTCCAGTGCAATACCTTTCGAATTTCGGACATGATTTCGTTTGGATCTCGACTACTGGTAGTTTTCATACTCCAAGTGAAACGTAGACTGCGTGGTTTAACCTGCTCATCGTTAGTGGTTGCTCCGCTGTAACAAAAGAATGTCTTAAATCTGCACGATCGAGCCACGCGCCAAACATGCGACAGACATTATTCTTTAAGTGGTAGGACTATGCATTGTGTCTGTCGTAGCATTTTTTCGTCGCGAAATTAAGCGACCTTTACCTTGTCGTTCAAGAGGTTCTGACACCCAATCGGGATACGTATAAGAACAATAAACGTGCACCGTAGATGTGAAAACGTCACATGCGTGCCATACATGCAATCCGTGGTCGCATACACATTGACAAAAATTTACAAAGGGACAAATGGTTTTGGAATGGTTTAGTAGTGTTCGCGTCGTCGCGACAATTGAAACACAGTCATCTTTTCTCTAGGTTTCGAATTGTCGCGATGACGTGTACGGATTGGTGCGCGAACGTTTGACAAACTGCAAACAGGGAGCTGAGCTTTTTGGAGCATGTCGTAAGCGGGTACGTAGCGATTCGTATGATTTTGCGATTAGGCAGCGAAAGCGACGAACTAGATTCGTGAATACATTGTTGAATCGAAATTTGAAAGGTTCCAGAGGCTGTAAGTGTAATGGTCTATCGCCTTATAAATTATACAACGTTGATATTATTGTTTGAATGACGTATACAGTCGTATTGTTGTTTCTGGAAGTTATAATGGGACGAGACACTAGCGCCGCCAGTGGCACCGTACCACCCTAGACAAAGAGGCGCGTGAATAATCTCCTTTACGAAGTCGATATATCTTTGTATTTTGATAACAATTATATTTATAGTTGTACAACTTATGGGACGATAAATCGTTACAGTCCATGGCCCCTTCGACATCTCGTGACTATATAGTCTCGTGCATTCGTGTTCTATCGAATAAGCGACGAGTGTATCGTTGCTTTTGCCACGGTACTGAGTGTCTTCGCGGGTCGAGGAAATTACGCGACCCCACTTCGTACCACCGTGTTAATAGGAGAATTCCAAGTAAACAAAAATATAAAGTATATAAACAAAAAATGAAAGAGTGAAAACATAAAGTTGGACAAGAAACAAACAAACAAACAGACAAAAAAAAAAGAGTAACAGAGAGAGAGATAGAGAGAGAGAAAAAGAACAGCGGAGCGTAAACGAAAGAAAATTAGAACGTATGGGCAGTGGTATTATGGTATGCAGCAACGTACCTCACTACTGGGTGCTTGGGGGGTACGGATGGGTCCATGGGGCTGAAATAACAAAACAAAGGCAGTTGCTAACAAACACTAAACATGATAAATCGTCAAATCAAATTTCAGCTTATATGTATAACCACCACCATTCTATCACCACTGCACACACCTAATGGTTTCTTTTTTTTTTTTTTTTTTTTGCGAAACAGTTACAACAGTTACGGTGCAAACGAGAGGTTGTAATAGCGGGGACGATTACAAGGACGAGATATGTAAACAGTTGTTGAAAAGAATACTTGTTAACATTAATCATCGTTGTTGTTGTTATTATTATTATTATTATTATTAATTGTTGGTTAGTGAATACGATCCTAGAGACGGAAAGACGAGGGGTTAAAGATACGGTTTACAAAGATAATTACACGAGAAACATTTTGGCAATCGTCGTACCTAACGCAATAGAAACTTGCGATTGAAAAGAAGAAATATCCATTTAAACGCAATCGATTATTTTGCTCGAAGACAAGCCAATTCGCACGTGAACACCTCTGTTCGAAGACGCATGCACAAAACGAACACATGGAACCGAGAGATTTATCTTTCTGCGCGAGCAAAAGAGATTTATTTTTTTTTTTTATTTTTTATTACATTAAGGATTCAGAAATAAATTGATACAACATATACAAGACAGTTTCAACATGTTTATTAATACGAAATTATTACTATTATTGCTTCTTAAAATTATTTTAAATAATATTTCTATCCTGTCTCTATGAGCCATTTACTGCCCTCCATTGTTTTTTGTTTTCGTTTCTGTTGTTGAAAAGATCTAAGACAGACGCTTCTACGATAGGTTCATCGATCGACTTCAAACAATAAAAGAACGAAAAGAAAATTAAAAAAAAGAAGAAAAAGAAGTACTGTATATACGTGTATATATATATATATATAAAAAAAAATAAGATCTTTCGGGACGTTTGGACGGGCAATAGAGTTTTGGAGTGCAGCAAAGAGCGTTTGTTTAAATCATTTACAGATGCGCTATGTTCAATTATACTTTTACGTATAAACGTTGCGTTGTAACCTCGGTACGTTTACACGTTTAATTATAATGTATAAAGGCGATCGAGTTGCTTCTTGTTATCTTCTCTAGGTTTTCTTTTTTTTTACCGCCGTGCACGATTTAATATTAATTTGTCGCGTGTGGCCAGGTCGGCCCTTTCACCTACAAGTACTCTACAATGATCTTCTTACGCATTCGATCTCTCGTCTGAGCGCGACAGAGGGACAATAATATAGACTGAGACGATGAGAAATCATTTTCGTTTTTTCCCTTCGGCGGGTATGGTCGTGAACGTGCGTTATCGAAAAGAAAAAAAAAAAAAAACGTAGCAGCGAGAACCGATTACAAAGAAAATTCGATCGACGATTATCGATGATAATAATACACAAGACAAGTCGAATGGAATTATGAAGGCGATCGCGATCGAATCCTCGTGTCGATCGAGCGACGATCGCTTCCGTAATCTCGACCGATGGGTAATTATCGGTTAAGAAACACTAATGTTTACATGTAAAGCATACTTGTATCACCATGCAGTTGAAATTAAATGTAAAAACGTAGGCACAAAACTTATATCCTGATCCGTGGAAGTGGAAAGAAAGAAAAAAGAACTTAAATAAGATCTTAGTCGTTAAAGTAACCCAAAGTAAGCTACTCAATTCTCGCTCGATCATTCACGCGCAAACGCTCATCTCTTTTGCTCGGTACCATTCATTCGTTGTCTCGGTTCTGCTAGAACACATTACAAACTTTTCCATTGCTTCGCTCTCTCTCTTACGTATTTTCTTCTATTGTTTCTTATAAATAATAGTGTGATAAATCGTTTCGTCGTCGTTTCGGCACGTACACGCTCTACCATCGGCGCTTCTCAACCCGGGCGTCGCGACCCAAACGAGTTTTATACGAAGAGGTTGTCGGAAATGTAAATTTAACGACTTCTTCTTAAAAGTTAACGAAAATTGTATCGTACAATTATACAGCTCGCAATGAGTTCGTAGAAAGAAAGACTGATTTGTTCAAGCTCCCTATCTTCATGAATACAAAAACTAAACTGATTCCTTTCCAACTAGTACAGCTACGAAATGTTCGCCATATTTTCACGAATAAAGAACTGATTGTTCCCTACTGAAACTGAGTAAATAAAAACAAACTTGAACCGACTATATACATTGAGCCGTGTTTCGAAAAGGTTGAGAAGCACCGCTCTACGCACAAACACTGACCAGATTACTCTACGCTAAACTCACGATGATTTCTTGAAAAACTAGTGCATCGGTTATTTTCTTTGTTCCTTCGTGTAGCAAAATACGCGCGCGTGTTACGTATGTATGTGTGTATGTGAAATGTACAATATAAAAAAGAGGAAGGCACGCAGTTTACGATAACAGGGTGGTATCCGGTCTACGCAAAGTTCAAGTTCGTTTTGTCGATTGATTGCGCCCATACAAGCCCAATACTCGCGCTTAGAACAGAATGATATCGAATTGATCGCGAACAGTCCCAACGTTTTATACGTCACGCGTCGCATTTCTATTTAGATTCGCGGATCAACTGATAAATATAAAATAAACGAAAAAATTTCCCCTCCCCTGATTATAACAATTACTAAGCGCGGTATTGTCTCGTTTAAGAAACACACTGGATAAACAAAGTAATTTCCCGTCGTCTTACGATGACTGCCAAAAAAAATATATATATGTCTCTCTCTCTCTCTATATATATATATATATTTCTATCGATTAATTAGTACAATAATGGATCGAGATACAGTAATCAATATACAAAGAAACGAGTAACCAATAATCGTTTATGGCCTATCCCTACCGATGAATCTCTCTTTGCACCTGTTCTCACACCTGTGCACAATCGACCCAACTTTTTGGCGAGTGTGTGTTAACATAATAAATTAAACAAAAAAAGAAAAGAAAAAAAAAGTAGAGATGAGAAAAAGACGAAAAAAGCGAATGTAACATCGATGAATTTGCTAGCCACTGCGAACGATTAAGCACGCTCTTGATTCTTTTTATTTTATATTTATTTTGTTTAAATTCGTTAGTCATTTTGAGATCAGTCTCGGAGCAATGTCGTAATGTCTTATCGTACATGTTGATAAAAGAACCCTTTTTGTTCACCTTTTTCTTTTCGTTTAGCTTGCTTCGTGTAAAATGCTATATAACTTAAAAAAAAAAAAAAAAACGAGAGAAAATGCACATTTTAACGCGAGGTGTTCTTTTCTTTTTGTTTACACGCAACTTGAACGGTACGATAGAAACACCTCCGATGAAAGATGTAAATCACGTTTAAGGAGAGGGGAAAAAAAAAAACGCGTGGAATGCCTTATAGCCATATACATTTCAATGATTCCCGTGTAGCGATTCAACTTCGACAAATGAAAGTGTACGGTATCGTGTACCAATCAAATAGTATCAAATGAAAAAGAAAAATGAAAAAAGAAAAAATGTATGTGTAACTTGGAATATCGTTTTACATCGACTCGTTAAATGCCAGAGAGAAATCCGAGGAAACCGATATAAAAGGTCGCGTAGCATACGTTTAACGGTAAGGCGAGTTCTCCCCCCCCCCTCCCCGCCCCCGCCCTCCCCCAACATCGATTTCTCGAAAGTTCTATTCACCGATCGACTTTTAAGCGTCCCGCGAATTCTTTTAGGGTACGAAATATATAGTCTACCTTTCATGATCACGAAGCTGTACAAAATATAACTTCACGGGACGAGACATCCAGAACAACGTATTTACAGAAATTACAATGTATATCGCGATACACACACGCACGCGCATCGATTGGGCTAAATTCTGATTCGAATAAAAAGATTTGGAGCAGGTTATACGTTTCACAGATTGCTTGGCGGACGAAATTGAAGTTAATGAACACGAAATTGTATTTCACGCTGGATACAAATATTTTAAACATTCGAATCGTTGTTATTCGACGAAAATTTTGCCCATCGCTGCGCGTTCGTAAAGAGAAACGAACGAGAGAATCGATATGGGGAATCTTCCAGTGGGTGGTGGTTTTTCACGCGTCAAAAACCAAACGCAAATTTCACACTGCGAGGAACCTATGCTGGATATCAAAAGAAAAAATTCGGGGGAATCGCAGAGGAAGGCAGTCGGGGGAGTAAACGAGCTTCTCGAAGCTCGGGAAATGCAACTTTCTGGTCTCGAGGAACGAAAAGTGACGAACGACGTGAGAGTCGAACGGACATGGTGGACCAGATTAACTCGTTAATGCATAACTTTAATTTTCACTGTAGAAAGTATGCCATCGTATTGTTTATATTGGTATTAAACGCTGTACAGGTGGATCAGATCTATCCACTAACACGTATAGTTTCGTTGTATAAAAAAAAAAAGATTAATATCACTTGTTTTGATTCACAGTGTCATGCCTCGTTTTTGGGGACACTGTATGCATTAAAGGGTTAAACCGAACTGGAGGAAAATTATCGCGTCCGATGAAATGAAATTGTTATCCAACATATTTCCTCTGGATCGTAGGAATACGATGCGCAGAAATGCGGTATTACAAGGGCGGTAGTCTACAGTTTCATCATAATCCTACGTAATATCGCTAACAGAGAAAGAGACGATAATTAAAAACAAAAAAGAAACGAAAAACGAGAAAAGAATTAAAAGAATACGACTACGTAGGAAGTCACGCTTCGCCACTCGATCATACTTTTTAACTAGTTCATTTCTTTCTTTATTTTTTAGCGAGCAAAGTGGCTGCGTTGCTCGATTATTCGGCGTGCGGCTCGCTCTCATTTCGGCTCGAGGGAAACAAGGCGAGACTTCGACCCTCACTTAGAAAACCTGTCAATGCACGAATGAATAGTTTTTACATTTACGAAATCGATTTCGTTTTTGTCAGTACAATTAATACCACTTCGTCTAATTTCTACGCGACGCGAAAAGGTCGCGATCAGGTCGCGGAATAATTCACGAATTAACGCAGAGAACGAAAACGAGCGTCGAGTAGTCGCGAGGAACGATATTCGACGGAAGTTTGCATCTAACGGGGAACGCGGAATCGAGAGGGAACAAATTGCCGCGACAACGAGAAATTTATAGAGATAAACTTCCCCTTCGATGCTGAAGTTTGAACCGAGTTAGCACCGCGACGTGTGCGGGAAACTGATAAGCTCCCGCAGCACCGAAAGAGACGATGATCTATCTGGCTTCTAAATTCACGCGTGACGTTGGGCAGTGATTGCTGTTAACCCCTTGACGCGCCAAACACCAGGAACACGGTTGATGTCGAGTTTTGAGCTAGCAGCTAATAGAGGTATATGCTAAACCTAAAATATGTCAGTATCTTGAAACACACAATGGAAGAATCCATACAGTCGTGGTTCGGTTTTCGTAAGTTCGAGTCAGGGCCTCTAGCAGGACGCCAAGGGGTTAATCGTTGCTCGCAATTGTCGGATCAAATGGTAATTGTACGCTACATTCGTAATTCGCAATGGTGAATCGGTTGTTCGCGATCATTCAGAGTTGATCGTGTCCAATTTTACGTACGACCTATGATTCTATCAGTTTTCGCATTTTAGAAGACGAAACGCTCATCGTAGAACACGCATACCCGGAATGGATCGCAACGCGCGGCTCTAGGACTCTGTACGCGATTAAATGGTTCGCCTAACGCGGCGGGCTTCCTTTAGAAATTTGCTGGTGATTGTATCGTTAACGAATTGGATCATCGACAAACGGTCAACGCGCGCTCGTTCGTACTTTAGGGATAGGAAAGAAAGAAAACGAAGCCAAGAAGGTATACGTCGCGACGTACGAATACGTATAAAAATAGAAAGAAGATTGGGTATATGTATATCTTTAGATGAGCGGCAATACGAGTGCACGTTCGGTATAGTTGGCAGGCTGAGTTAGGAAAGGCACAAATTCGAGTGCTAACATCTAAGTGGATAAGGCGCCTTCCTGCATCGTCAGGAAGACATTCGTATTCTCGAATCGTTGCGATCGCACGATTAAGAGAGACAGACCTGTTCGGAATCGCCCGAATATTCCGAGACAGAGATGGGCAAAATTTTATTCGAATAGGTAAACGACATGCCTGAACGTTGCACAAACGAGCATAGGACCTTGTATTCATTCGATGTGAACCATGAAGTTGTTCGTGTACCGTTGGGGAATCTTGGGTACCTTCGTGGACTCGAGAGACTCCAATCGACGAAAAGAATTCGTGTTGAAACAATTCTCAGTGCAAAGGGGCTAATAAATTAATTCCGCGATTCAGTATATATACTGAACGAATCACAGATCAAATGTTCGTGTGAAATTATATATATAGATGGGAATTCTGCCCACCTCTGGCGTTCGTAAATCGCAGGAAGATCTCGCTGCGCGTGTCCTTTGACCTCTGACCAAAGAGATTACATAAATAGAGTAGGATAGCCGAGTGTAACGCGAATAGCAAGAGAAGAAAGATCGAGTGCACGTTTGTACCCTAACGATGGATGCACAGATACATTAAGAAACATTGGTAGAAGAACATACGAATTGAGGAGAAGTGCCACCCCAATAAACTCTTTGGTCAGCATCAAATGCCCCTTGATTCCTACAACCTCTCCCATCAAGTCTTAAGATTCTGGACACGCAAACTTAGAAACAGAGTAACGTCTCTTTCTTCCTCTTACAGAAGCTTCTACGAGTCCTGTGACTCCTCTGCTCTATCTAAATCACCTCTTTTCAGCGCCTTCGTGTCACTGTAGGGATGCACGTACGTCGTTGGGATATAGTTTCGTTCGTTCGCGAAACCAACAACGGTATTATCGGACCTTACACCTCGGCGACACGCCACAGAATAACGGAGCCAAAGGTCGTTTCTCTTATCTTTTTTCTCGTCTCCAAACGCACGTCCCGCGAACGATCCGGTTGAGCGTCGGAGGGCGGACATTTTCGACGCGCGATTCCTTCGACAAATGCGATTAGGCGTGCGTGTTGGGGAGCGCATTAGGTCCCGGCAGCATACATTTGGTCGCATGTTAAGTTTCGCGCGTCTCTATGGCCGTTTGCTTGTCGGAACCCGAGCGAAGCCAAGTTTTAATCGGTTCACGTCCTGTAGCATAGAATAACACACACAACCGGTATAAATTAATGTGAGATTGGAATTAAGCGATGCACCAATGGCTATGCTGTGTCTTTTTTTCGGGAGTTGACAGAGAGAGAGAGAGAGACAGAGACAGAGAGAGAGAGAGTGTGTGAGAGAAAGAGAGAGAGAAAAAAGATTTTTTTCTTTTCGGTTTAATCCGCCCTGTATCGACGATGAGTACAGTGACCATATCGTGAAAGTACACAACGTGTTTTTTTTTCCTTTTTCTTGTTTTTCTTTTTTGTTGCAATTGTGAACACGGGTTTACTCTCGTTATTCTGTGGCCTTGCGTCCTCGGTTCCCATTTATTTGTTTATCTTTCTTTTTTTTTTTTTTTTTTTCGTTACTTGTATACCGTTCCGCTTGTTCTCTCTACGCGTCCAACGCAATCACGCGTCTCGTCGCTTGTACGATTACCGTAATGCGGCAAGATCAAAGTCCCAATGTTAAAATAGATATACGTGTACGTATATAGAGTAGGTAATAAAAATCAAGGATATGCCTCGCTACAGTCAAGTCAAAAAAGGGATGCACAATGAGTATGCGAGGTGGCCCGAACTCAGCCAAGCAGTAATCACTTTCGTCGATGGATCCGTAGGGCTCTTATTGTTAACGATTAATTATCGAGCGTTTCAACGTTAAGAGATCATCGCACGACGGAGAACGTATGGGATTACGGAACGGAGATGGGCGAAATTATAGATGAATGTCTCGAGTGAAAGATTCAACGAGATGCAGTCTCTGTTGCAACCATTTCCGCTAGCCGAATAATTATATAATATATGTATGTTTGATATTGAGGCAAGAGGGGAAAAATAACTATTTTTCTGAGATATAAATGATAGAAAAGTAGAGCTTGGATACTTGTTCAATTAAATTGCTATGTCGAAACAATTACGATAGCATGAAAGCACGTGGGTAATTTTGTTAAATATCCAAAGTAGTGGTTATGGCATATTAGAGAATGGTATTCAGACACCACAACCTTCCCTTAGGACATTTAAAATACTAGCCACGTGGTTTCATCTTTCTGCCCCTTGGTTTCAATCAATTGCGTCAATTCTTGTATGTTAATCCTACATATACAACTGGTCCCTTAAGAGGACATTAAATGCTTCCAACAGACTATGCTTCTCTCTCGCATGGGATTTGCGATCCTACGAGCAATCATCTACGGAATAAAAGGCAAACTCTGGTCGAATAAAAATTAGGATTCCAATCGTGACACGTTACACCTCGCGTTGCGCGAACGAAAAGATTTACTCGAGTAAATAAACGAACGAATAAAAGCATCGTCGGTGAATCGCTGTTGCGATTTTATTCGTCGTTTCGAATGTAATTTTGCCCATCTCTGTGGAACATGAATGAGCGAAAATGTACGTTATTTTCTACGTCTTCTTCGACAACGAATCGTACTCCTGTAGGACAGAGACCATACAACGTTTCTTTTCCTTTTTATTTTATCTACGATGAAACGAACTAAAAGGGGTTTACAAGGCTAGGGGTGAGGGGGTTTGGGAGGCAATATGAAACCCTTCGAGCAAACGTTCGCTGGACAAACAAAGTACAGAAGAAGATGAAGTAAAAAAAAAAAAAAAAAAATAATGGCGTTACGCTTTGAGATGAAAAAATTCTGGGCGCATAAATAAATAAAAACTACGAAACTGTCATGGACAAGCTACGTGTATTCGTGGCTTTCACTGATAATGGTCGCTGCTGGCTCATCGGATTTTTATTCTTTTTTTTTTTTTCCTTTAAGTCTTTAGCCGATCATACTGTATCATATTAGTTTTCACAATATATGTATAATGTGTACAAAAAGAGACGTACATACGATATAGAGAAATTGTATATCGTATATCAGTATACGATTCTCAGAATTACATAGTCATTGTGCATCCTTAAAACAGAAATATCATATCGCATGCAAACGATAAGGTTCGACTCGTTTAAAAACTATCTCAGCATGAATATGTATATATATATGTATATATATGTATGTATATATGAATATATATGTAAAAAAAAAAAACAGTCCAAAATTCGTTCGTTTTGTCGGATCCATTAATATGCATGCATATATATATATGTATATATATATTATATAAGGGGGGGCCCACTGCAAAAGCTGCCGCGCGTCGTAATACATTTTTCTCATAATTTCTGTTCGTTTTTCTTTTTTTATTAATCTTAACTCAGTGTTATTTCGTACTGATCGATTTGTGCGTCCGAAAATCGTATGATCGAATTGGTTCGCTGCGCGACAAGCGTAAAACAATGACAAAATCTGTGGGTGATATATATATATATTTTTTTTTATTAATGGTATGCGGCTCTTCGACTCGTTTCGCGATTCTAAATTTAAAACTGGCTCTACGCGCGTCGCGATACTTTTTTCCTAATTGTCGATTGTCGGCCGATTGAATTTCGTTAAATAAAATAATCCAGATTCGCCGCAGGAGCGAACCCTCGAATTTGAGAAAAAATATGCTTGGCCGACGTTCGATCGTTTATTAGAGATATATTTGCGGACGAACAGTGGTATTTTACAGTGGTACATGTACTAGCATGCTGTCAAATATCGGAAAATGTCTAGTCGAATATACGTATATATATATATATATATATATGAAAGCGAGAAAGACTTACCGTTTGGAGAACCTCGAGGATAATTTTGAGAAAAAGGACGGTCTCGCTAGCGGGCTAATTGCATTCGTGTCCTGTGTGTGAGTGTGACCCTGAAAAAATATGAAAAACTATTGTATACGATAATTATGCGCATGAGCAAGGCCTGGAAAACAAATAATTTATCGTTAGCGTGCGGTATCGATCGATAAGATGCATCCAACGGAACGCTTATACGCTACGAGCCAATAACAATTGTTTCGTTCATAATTAACTTGAAAACAAAAAATCGTTCACGTTGTACGACCTCCGATTTAAGACACTGCAAGGTCAACGAATTCGTCTTTCTATCGACTGCATCGCGAAAAGGTAAAAATGAAAAGGTACGAACCTGAGTATGATTTCGTTGCGCTCTATTTTGGCCAGAGTGGAACGTGCTACGACTTGGAACATTTCGAGGAAATGCTGGTGTTGTAGGTGTTGCCAGTCTATTACTTGGAGATACACCCAAGCTAATTAGAAATAGTTATTAATATTATATTAACATTGCTCGATGTGATCGCTGCGTGGCATAGTAACTATGTGTAAATAATTTCTTTGTTCGTGTCGACTCTTTTTTTTCTTTTAATAGATATTCTGTGCGTTTAATGCAACAGATCTCTCTCTCTCTCTTTTTTTTTTTTTTTATAAATTTCGTTCGACTTTGTTACCGAAGAAGCAAGAGACAAGATGCAAAGAAAACAGAAAACAAAAAAGAAAAAAAAAAAGGTTATGTATAGTAGAACGTAAAGTAAAACATCGTCGTTACTCGCGCAAATCCTTTAGGAGGACGGTTATTATAATGCACAAGCGATGTTTTTTCTACGTTTTGCGAAACAAGCTTCGAGAGTTTTCTCAGCTAAGAAAGCAGAACTGTTAAAACAAATTAGTTTACGCTAACCAGAGAGTTACATGAATGATCGAGAGTACGATGTACTGAGAAACAATTGTTTGCAGCAGAGCTGGGTAACGTTTGAAGAAAAAATTTATTTTTAACGTAAGTGTATGTAAGTAACAGTAGTTGCGCAATATCACGAATAAACTGAAAATGAATTCAGATAAATAAAATATTTCAAAATAAAGCCTCGTTGTTTTCAGCGTCTTATTTAATTTAAAGGTAAAATAGATTCTTTACTAATTTAAAGAACATTTTACCCAGCCCTGGTTTGCAACATGCGCCTAGTAGAAAAACATATAATCGAAGTTAGTCTGTTTTAACGTCACGCGATCAGACACGTTTACAACGGGTCAGAAACAGTTAATTCAACGATAGATATGTATCGATACGTGCATGATGGTAGAGTATTCTTTATACCGACTGCTCTATGGAACTCTAATTTTCGCTGGCATATGAAGAAACCATGGAATCGTATGAAAATTTTCCGAGCGCCTACAGTACATGATATATTACAATTTTGTACATTAGTATATAAGGTCATATACTAATATACGCGCTATTTATACTTACTCTAAGTCTCTCACACTTTCGAAAAGATTCTCTACAACGTACATGCGAGTTACTCCGTTGATGGCAGAGTTGGGCAAACTTTTGTCCCGACGATAAATATTAAATGCCAAATGGTAACAAAATTTCAATTCCAAAGTATATAATTTGTATGAATTTGTATGAATGCTACATAAAAAGGTCGTTGCATTCGACATTTATTTAGTAATTCACTTGCTAATGTTAACGAATATATAAATACGCTCCTTGAGAGATCTATATTTCTCGTTCTTTGAATTTTAATGACACCCAACTTTGATCAACGGGTAAAATTAATTGAACTGTTCTACGTATACTGTTCTGCAGTTTAAAGTCGGCTAGTTCGACCAGAGAACGTGGGTCTGTGTTCAAATAACGCAGGAGGGTGGAGAAGTTCTAAGTCGAGAACGATGTAACGAGAAATGAGGTATTCAGAAATTATAAAAAAAAAAAATAAAAAAAAAAATAAATAAAAGAAGAGGCGACCAAAGCCGATGATCAGAGTAGAAAAAAATTAGCGATAGTAGTCGTGCAAGTTAGAAACAAAAGAGAAAGTAAAAAGAAGAGAATGGAGCTACGAGTAAATGACCAGAAACTGTCCTAGAGAACCTACGAGGACAATTTGTCGCGAAGAAGATGACTCGTCGCGCCGTTTTGTGTTTCGCGGTTTCGCAAACGGCTCGGTTAAGATTCTCAACGAACGCGTGAAGAAGTCCTAGTTACCCTAAGAGAGTTAGTGGCCCAAGAAACAGAAGTAAATAAATGAACGATTGAAAACAATATAGCCGAATATCTCTCGCTCGTACAGGGCGTTCCAATAGTCTAGCGTGGAATTTCAATTACTTTCATGGCTACGGAAGACTTTCTACGAAAGAAAGACCAGGCTAAGCACGAGTCGTATCTCCTTCCAGCATTGATCTCTCCTACGATAGCTAATCTGGATATTCATCCTTGCATTCTATACATAGGTCTTTAGAAAAAATATTCGTGAAACATCTTCATTCGTAGAAAGTCCTCGTAGAAAAAAGCGATCACTGTTAATACTGATTTTTCGTACGATCATTTTAAATTGCTAAATTTTGCATATTAGGTTACCGTAAAATTTCATCGTGAAACTCTGTAAACGTGTTAAGAGGGTTAATTCTTTGACGACAGCTCGAAGGTGGCTAAATGAAATCGACTAATCACGATCGCTAATCGACGATTACTAAATCCTCCATCGTACAAGTTTTGCTTTAGCTAAGAAAATAAACGGAGTTATAAGCGGCTAAGCATCTCATCCGAGTCACCAAGCAAAAGTCTCACAAAATTCCCCGCGTAAACTTCACCGGGACCATTTTCGCAGAGTTCCAAATCGACCACGATAAAGGTAGACGGATTGCACGCTAGACTTTTGGAACAACTAGCAGAGGAATCGTGTATATAGGTTGGCTGATAAGGCGTAGGGGGCCTGTACCTCTGTCTAAGAGGGTCAGCAGTGGCGAGTAAGGAGTTGTGGGCGTTGCGTGGTTGTGGGTCCAGTAGTGAATGGTCGCTGGGGGGTACGCCACTCGAGGAACGGTGACCTGCGCTGATGCTCGCAGACTTGGTGTGACCCCGCGTTGGTCTAGTGCCCTCGCCCAGGCTGTGCACAAAACTAATCAACAAAATGCCTTGCACGGCAACCGGCTCTACCAAATTCTACCGTTTACAGTATAGCACTGTTGCTCTCTCGCAGAGAGGCATTCTCTATATTCGCAGAGGAAAACGCGTTACTACTTTCTTCGACGTCGCAATCGGTGAACAACGTTTCTCTGTGAACCGATCGTTACAATTTTTGCGCGTCGAGAGAACAAAAAAAAAAAAAAAAAAAAAAAAAAAGAAACAAAAATGGCTGACCCAGCGTACACACCTAATCAACGAATACACGATTATCGTTTGATCCGTTCAACGATCTACGTGCGCTGGGGCTATTGATCTCTGCTGAGGAGAATATGAGACGTACGAAGCCCCTTGGTTTTCTGGACAAGCTTTTGGTTGCCGAATACTGCGTTTTAAGAATGGTAACAATTGGAAACTTGTCGAGAAGGGAAGTCTCTTATTCTTCTTGAACACGGATTACTGAAGGTCCACGAGTAATTCAGCAAAAAATGTACCGAGCGAAACACAATTTCTTTTCGCTGTAAACTGAGGGAGCCGGGATGATATCTGTGGGATGGAGGGACGGATGTAAATGAAAATACTGTCCTGTGCTACGTAATAACTTTGGCACGCGAGAAAAATTCTATGCCGAGAGGAACAGAATAACGACGCTAAAACATAAGAATGAAAAAACATGTATGATGAATGTTAATGGTTGGTTGTCTATATAACACACACGCTTTGTAGATCTAGATATACGTATTTGTAAAAGAAATGAAATAAAAAAACAATATATATATATATAATATATATATATATATATAAAAAAAAAAATCATAAGAACAAGTATAAAGTCATGTGAATGTAACTGTGGCTCGGTATAATTTATAGCAAGCATATCTGTATAATGTAAGTATTAAAAACACGTTCGATTAGGGTATTTGTTCGGTAAACATCTGTCAAGCCATAAAGAAAGTAGTGGTCTGCAATGAACGATTTGGCAGGCAGCAGCCAACATGCTAGAGCAACACAACAAACAAATAAACTCCCTTGGGGCTTAATGACAGAGTATTTTTTTTTCATTGTTTCCGGATCGTTTCGTCAAAGTTCTCGTTTCATACACGTGGTTGTTGTTTCTTTTTTAGTATACTTGACACACGAGCAATCGGTCGCCTATGTGGTTAGTTGGTAACAATAAAAGAAATAAAAAAAAGAAATCACTGTTTAGTCAACAAGAAACTGTAAAAAAAAAAAGAAAAAAAAAATTGTAACTAATTACGAATCGAAGTTTCGCTGTGCGCGTTAAGAAATTGTATACAGCTTAATCGCAATGCAGACACTGGATCACACTCACGATTATACTTGAGAGATACTCGCTGAGACGCACTGGCGAGCATTGGCTTTAACGACGATACGCGATAGGAAAAATTTCCTCGAACGTTGGTACGCTCGATGATCTCGTGGATCCAGTGTCTACGTATCGTTGGAAGAAAAGGTTTATGTATATATGTATATATAGTATATATAAATAAGTCTATAGTTCGTGCGACTTTCGTTCGCACGCGTATTAGTTTATAATTCAAACAATTCTTTAAATATTTTTCTTTGGTATATACGAAGATGAAAAAACAATTGGATATCACTATACCTGGGTGGATCGTTGGTTCTTTCGGTAGACGAGGAGGACGTTTTCGCTTGATCATAGGAGATGGTACTACGCCGACCAACAGAACCAGGGGCAGGTGAGGTGAGTGGCCTACCACCACCTACCCCTGTATTCATCGTGTTGCTCTTGCCTGCCCATGCCCTACCACCGGGACTTGTACCCACGCCTAGAATGAACATTGTCACTGCAAGCCTCATTAGATATAGTTCAACACAAAACAAAGCAGCGGTACTTTTAAATTATAACACAGGCATGGCAACAAGTGTCAACAAGGACTAGAAACAATTTGGTGTTGCGCGAACGTCTCATCTGCTTCTCTCTAAATTAACGAACTAAGATTCTACTTTCATAATAATAAGGATCTAACGAATCCTCTACGGAAGGACTCTCGAGAAGCAGTTGCGACGTTGAAATTATTTACAAGACAATAACAATTTTTTAACCCCAGACGAACGTCGTGGTATTGGGCGGTGGTTGCTTTGGTAATTTGAAATTATACCGGTACTTTGTAGTCGAAGCAAATAGTGTCTGGTTATTCGTGTTAATCGTTAACCAGAAACTACGGTTGGCGAACGGTATACTAAAAACTCTACATCACGACGGGGCACCTGGGGTTAACCACGTGTAGTAACTTGGAGTGTGGTGGGAACGCTTACGAATTAAGAGCACATAGAACGTATGACGTAACAAAAAGAAATTATGTAAATTACGAAATCATTAAAACTTGGAGATATTAGGGAACGAACCACTGCAACCTTATCCAAAGCATATGTATATAAATTTGCTAAAGCTTCGAAAGGGTAGAAACATCACAAAACGATTGGACAAGGACCGTGAGATTCGAGTGGAGGTTACGGTACAACAAAAAGAAGAACTCACTAGTGTCTAATTGCCCTGGACTGTTTTTCGGAGCCGATGGACGGCTCGCGGACACACGAGTACTGTTCTCCTTGATCGTAGCTGTGTCTGCGGTATTCTGTCGTTTTAAATTACTACCACCGCTTCCAGTCACAGTTCCACCAGTCGCTGCAGTCGCGTGATTATGATTCGTCGCGTTTCCTGGACTCGGTGCTCCCCCTAACGAGGTAAATGCGTTATAACACGAGACGAGAAACAAGCACACCACGTTTCAACGTCAGGTAGTAACATTAATTGATCGATCGTCTCCAGGAACAGTTAAACACGGATGGCAAAGTCTCACTCAACTGCAGACATTTTCAGAGAGAAGACCACGGATTAAAAAATGGATTGACTCGAATCAAATTTAGAAAAAAAGAAAAGAAAAGAAAAAAATAGAGGTGGACTCGAAGGGGATGTGATATCATTGAAAAGATAACTGGATCCAGGCCCCCGTTGGTCTCTGAAAGGCTTCCATTCCGGAATCTCAGCCGTCGGGCTTTCGATTCGCCCCATCGAATAGATTTCCTTGTACATCCCTTACCTAAATGTCTGCTTCTTTCTTTCGTTCACACTTTCACGTCAACTCACGTACGACAACGTTCAATCCAGATTTGCTAAGCTCGAAAACGTAAGTTTGAACGATAGCTTGGATGGAGAATAACGTTGGGAACTTACGAAACGAATCGATAACAGAGGAAACCCGCCTATTGGGTTTTGGATTGCTAGCGGAAATACTTCTGTGAACACCTCTGTGCGATGGACTCTGCACGGCGCCACCCGTGCCTCCTCCGCTTCCTCCTCCTCCACCTCCACCTGAACCAGCTTGCGGCGGAATGTTGCGCAATGACAATGAACTGCCTGACCGCGAACCGTCCGACTCAGGCTACGAAACGAATTGTTTTAAGTCACAGCTAGATGATTTCTCTAATAAGCTTAACCCCTTTTACTTACATCGGTGGTCTTTCTTCCTAGTAGTAAGTACGTGGCAAACACGTCATCGTACTTGGCTTGTTCTAAGGAATCTTCTATATCGCTTCTCGTGTACCCCATACTAGCCAGGGCCTCTAAAACAAACAGGCGTAGCGGCATAGTCACAACCACTAAGAGTACCAGCCAGAATGACACTATTAAAATTCAACAACGAGCAACGCCCGGTAATACCGTTTTCATACCGTGTTAACGTTTCTCTATCTATCGTCGCGCGATCGTTGATGCATCGCGAGGCAGGCAAACAAAGATTTCGAGAAGAAGCTCGGTGGTCGCTGTGCAGGAAAAATGCTTTCGTAGACACCTTTCACAGACTACGATTTTACCATAGTATGCACTAGAAATCCGCGAGAGGAAATCGTTGTTCTTCTTCGTATCGAACCATTTATCAAAGGACAGTGATGGAAACAAAGAGTTTTGGACTGCGCTGTTCACGTACAATTTTTACAGAACACACATCTACGACAGGAGGTTGGGAAACTACCATGTACGGCACACCGTCTATGACCTTTTCAATGAATTTGTCGATCTTAACCAAGCTCTATTATTTGCGCTAATTATTCTGTAATAATTATACTTGGAAATATACGCGACAACTAAACAAAGAGGCTTCGCGCGACACAGGACCGTAAGGGGTCAACGAGAAAAAATGGAAGCACAGGAAACACGTTTACGTTCAACTTAATTACACACGCGTGCTTTTTTCCTCTCGAATAATATAACTACATACGTCGTTACTCTATAGAGAGATAAACCAATGTAAATAAAACAAGTACTACACAACAGCTAAACAACGATAAACATACACCTTCGATAATATCTTACGGTAATTTTCATTTTTTCTTTGATTCTATTTTTTTTATAATAAGGAGCTTGGTCAAGATTAACTAAAATGCCATTTCTCATTCACGTATCTATAGATTTTAAGGAATCTGAAAAGAATAATTATTCACCGTTCGCTATAAAATCCATTAGTAGGTGAGTCACGTCGACTGCGACAGGTAAATAATTATGTTTTTCAGACTACTGAGAACCCGTAGAATACTTGTTCTGTAAAAATCTCATGTTGTCGGCAAGGTCCAAAATTGGCTATCTTCTACCATTGTCCTTGCTACGAAGTAAGAGGTATCCATGCATCTATGCAGTGTCTACGTCATCGCAACTCTAATTCTCGGAACTGGAGAATTGGTTTGATTACGACCACCTCCGAGTTAGCAGTTAACTAATACGGTCAATATACGCGTTCGTGAACGCATACATCATCTAAACGGGCATCGTTTTAATTGCATCGCGACGCGACATCTCGCAAATTGCTATTTTAATCGCCACATCACGGCGCGCACCGAGGTGATCGTAAACGATGCTACATATATATTATATTTAAAAACAATAAGTAGTAAGTGTTATGTACATACTGGCAGACTCACCTATCCTCTTGTGGTCTTTATAATCAGGCTCGGGTTCTAAGTACGGTTTTAGTTCGTCGTCGTCGTATCCCATGTTCATCCATTTGTCTTTCATTATAGTCTAGAGAAACACGGAGAGAACAAACGTTGAAACAGTGGCCGTAGGGAGTGCCGGCGTACAAGGACATACATGTTCAAGAACACGTGCGAACCTTGTCTCCACGTACCTCTAATGAGGCCCGTTTCGTCGGGTTGAGCACCAAAAACTTCTTCAAGAGGTTCTCGCAATCGGTGGACATGTAAAACGGAATTCGGTATTTTCCCCTCAACACCCTCTCCCTCAATTCCCTTAACGTCGAACCGTCGAAAGGCAGTGAGCCGGACACTAAAGTATACAATATTACCCCCAACGACCAGACGTCTACCTCGGGTCCGTCGTACTTTTTACCTGTCGGTGCATCAATAATTACGGTCAAAAATTTAGTAGCATTTATACGTAGAAAAAAACAATATCAAGTTTCATGGCTTTCTAATAGACTACTCCTGAGATACGAAGCAAAACAGCGGTCGACATACACGTGTCCAATCATCCACATACCATCTTCTCATCCATATTCTACTTTCGAATCGATTGCTTTGCACAGTCGCGATACTACAAAGAATCTAAGATAGAACGAGCAATTAAATTACGATACCCTGAAAGAGTTCGGGCGCCGCGTAGGGCGGCGATCCGCAGAAGGTGTCCAGCTTGCTGCCTGGCGTGAACTCGTTGCTGAAACCGAAGTCGGCGATCTTGATGTTCATCTCGCTATCGAGGAGCAGGTTCTCCGCCTTCAAGTCCCTGTGGATGATCTTCTTTTGATGGCAGTATTGCACGGCAGACACGATCTGCCTGAATTTCGCGCGGGCTTCCTTCTCCTTCATACGACCGTGCAGGACCAGGTAGTCGAACACCTCGCCGCCACTTGCGTACTCCATTACCAGGTACAGTGTCTTTTCAGTCTCGATCACTTGGAAAAGCTTCACTATGTTCGGATGGTCGAGCATCTTCATTATCCTCACTTCCCGGAACAACTGTAACGTGAAACCGTATATTTAGCAACGGACCTTTCCTACGCTTGGATTTCTAAGGGTTGTTCCATTTCAATAGATCCACGCGAATGTCCTTTTATTTTTATTCGAGACGACCTTGTTAATCCTTTCAGACTTTAATGTTGCGTATATGATATTGATTATTATATTAGTATTTAAACATTTTTATATTATTTTTGTCACAATGTACGGCTTGAAAATAAGAGTAGACAACCCAAGGAAATGAGCGAATATTATTTTCGTGTTACTTGTTTCGAGGATTACCGTGGTTCTATTTGAAAGGAACACCATTTGCTTTTGCGTACCTTTTGAAGGCTATTTTGATTCAGTTGAGTCTTGTCGATAATTTTGATAGCCACTTCCTTCCCGGTGGGCACATGCTTGGCAAGTTTTACCTTGGCGAAGTTGCCCTTGCCGATCGTTTTGAGTAATTTGTACTTGCCGATGTGAGGCTCCTCCGATGTCCGACTCCTCGAGGAGAGCCGACCACCGCTACTCGACACTCCCACGCCATCCCCTGTCTGCAATAAATAGAAACGAACTCTTAATGACATGGAATCAACAATGGACGTTTCGCGATCGATCCCATTATCGCCTACCAGAGATGGGCAAACATTTATTCGAACAACAGACGACTAAAAACGTAGTACCGTGCTATGTGACTCACCCGCGACGCTTGTTGAACAGCCACTTACGCAACTCATTAACCATTCAAATACCAAGCACAATTTCATTCTACAATTAGAATTACAATTTCTATTCAACGACGGCAACGGAAACTTGTTTTCCTTCTGATGCATTCTATTGGAATTTTATTAAGCGAGTATCAACGTTCTTTATCTTACAGATAAGCCCTTGAATTTGTATTTTTCTATTATATCGTTATAATATATATTATGTATGTTAAAGATGACCACAGTTTAACAGTCGAAACGTTTAAAATAAATGAACGCGAACGCAAGGTCGTGGTACTTGTTGTCTACGCGTCCAAGTCTATATCATTTGCATATGTTTATCTCTGAGTGAATTTTAAAACGAAACAAAAGTGCTTGAAATTAATAATAAAATACGATGTTCGAATTTCGCCCATCTCTGTAGCGTAATCACTGTCCAGCGCAACCGATTGCTGATCATCAGCTCGATCGCGCTCGATTCTGCGTATATCCAATCGATCGATCGATCGATCGATCGGTTGCTTAGAATTGCGAAATTTTACGACCACGCGTCGTTCAATTTATTCATGCACCGCGCGATCGCACTTGACATTTCCAGGGACAGACAGACGGATCGTCAATGGAATTAATTAAACCTTGTTAAAGCTGTACCAGATACAGATTGTTTTGAACGGAGTGCGACGGCGCTCTTTAATCGCGACAGACCGAGCACAGCGGAATCTCCTCGCGGTGATATTCGACGGAAATCGTCTTGGAAAGGTTAGCATAATTCATATTCGTAGACGGTCGTTGACTCGACCGCCAGATGCGAGGAAAATTTTACTCGAACAACCGACGATCGATCGAACCAACGCGTTGCAATTTATTCGTCTCTCTTCCATTTTTATTTATCTGCTTCGTGAAATATTCAAATTTCTATCGAAACCGGACATTTCGGAACGATACAAAATTCTGTTGGTTCGACGCTAAACCTACCACGATTTTCAAGAAAACTATAACGTTTATTTAACAAGAATTAGAAAGATACCTTTCGTATGATATTCGAGATTCGTATCTAGAGGATAATTTTGTTCATTTCTGGGTGAATCACTAAGTCCAAGTTGGGAGACGAAAAGATTAGACTCTGAAGGTGTCAGATATCCTAAGATTTGTGACGAACAATTACTTATTTCAACCTCTCCAAGCCGGCTGTACAATGTAATGCACGACTCTGAGCTTTAGCATTAGCTTTTAGTACGAAATGATTAATCAACAAACTACATAGGACTCGAACAGCTGTTTTCCCAAATACTCTGTACTACTGGCACTATTATATCTTCTCCATTTTGCACATAACCTTATGTTACTCCCAAGAACGCTACTATCGATTCCCCACCGAATCTTCGATACGCCCACTACATAAAAAAATAAACACACGCGTGTTTAATTCGTAAATTACCCGCGCGTGGCCACGAGTGACCATCTTGCAAGAGGTGGCCGCAGCAACTTTCGAGGCCGCCAGCTTGACTGATTGGCACGATCGATCCTTTCCCGATGTCCCGAGAGACAAGAAAAAAAGAAAAAAAAAAATCGGCGTCGAAATCGGGAACGGTGAATCGACGTCGACACACGTATATCACCGTTTCTCCAAAAACAGCGCCACTACTTCTTACTACCCAGAAACAGGTGTCTCGAGACTACGACGATCCGAAAAGGAGATCTCCCGTTTCTGTTTCGTCCATCGTGGCCATTTTCGTTCGTGTGCCGCGCTGGAAGCTTCGCCGGGCCTCGATGGCATGTCCAGTCGACGCTACAGGTATTTACAATCACCGATCGATAGCGGGGGAAATGAATTTTGGTCCTTCGTTAGGGGTCGGTTTGATCAGGTACACGGAGGTTCTATCGAGGTTTCGATCGTCGACTCGCGAATAATTATTGTTCGAGCCGGAATGGTTCCCTCAGACGACGAGGCGGCGACGTTGACTGCGAGCGAAAGTGGCAAGATAAGAGGATGCGGTGCAGCCCTACGACTGCTACCATTGCGAGGGAAATCCCCCTCCGGAGAGCTTCCCTTTGTCTCTTCGTGGCGGGTCCTTGGACGCCGAGAACGGAACCTGAGGATTATCGTTCGCCATGCACGATCGGCGTTTCAAAGGCAGTATAAGTTCCCAGAAAGCTTCTTCGTAATTGATCCTGCTCGGAAACGGAACTCGAGGACGCTATGGGTCACTGCGTGCAGCCGAGGCAGCTTCCGTTTAGGAAGAGGGCTTCTCTTCGCGGTCAAAGTATCTTCTGCAATGTCAGCCTAGTGAAAGCTGGCTTTTCTAGCTTCTTCGTTTATTGGCGGAGGATCTTCAGGGAGTTTCCTTTTAGGTACGAGGCTTCTCCCTTTCGCTAGGTCCACGCACATCAACAACACCCACAGTGAAATTATCTTTACCAAAGCAAGTAAAATCTTCTAGATTTCAAGCGGGGCTTCTTGTCTTTGTTTCTTGGTGACGAGTCCTGAGGTTCCGGAAAAAGGAATCAAAGGATTTCAGTAGTCGCTGTTCCAGGCAAAGTGCCCTTGGCTATCACTCGGGCAAAATGGAACGGCCTCTCCAGGTCCAAAGTGCTTCCCAAGGAGGTTCTTCCCTCGGTTTCTTCAGGAAGGGGCCTGAGGAGCAAAACCTGGGGACGGCAATCCACCCAAGGGCAGTAGAACCCTCGTCTAGAGTAACCCTCGCAACTCAAACATCTATGCAGTTCCCCCAGGTATCTTTTGCTGCCTCGTCACTGGTTCTGAGCCTCCGAGAGCAGAATTCAAAGAACTTTGTTACACTCAAAGCAAACTTTCTACCTGAACCAACGAAAGTACAACATGCCTTTCGGGAAGAGCAACATCCAATACTTTATCTAGCTTCCAAATGTTTCTCAAAGTTCTCCTCTTGTTCTTTCTCGATGAATTTCGAGACTCCTAGAGTCCAGAGTGCAAGGAACTCGATCCATCGCCACGAATGCCTCTGTTCCAAAGCAAGCCCAGTACTCGGAGCAGCTGAAGTGCCCTCGACCACGGTATCACAACATCCAACGCCCTGTCTAGAGCCTTCCGATTCGTTTTCCAAGAGCAACTCGCTACGCGCACCACCAACCACTGTCCCAACCCACAGGTAGCAACAGCACCGTCTACCGTGTCACTCGCGACTTCCACCAGCGTTTGGGGAGGCCAGCATCGCGACAGCTTGCGATTCACCGTCAACGTCACACAACGCAACGATCCTGAACGGTCGACGCGACCCGGCAGGCGCGGCACGCACTGAATCCTCCTTGATAGATTCGCAAGAAGTACAAAATATAAACTATTCAAATTCACGAGGAGGTTTCCCAAATTTAAGGTTCTACAGACAGGGCTTTGATAATTCACCGTGACAAGGATACTTTGTGTCATCCACTGTTCATGGAGAGTTCTCAGCGTCGAAGACTTGGACAAATTCACGGAGCCTTGTGAGGGTTGAAGAAGATCTCTCAGGTTCGCGATTCACGAGGACAAGCGTCGATGAGTGTCGCACACCAAGATCTCTTGAACTCGCGATTCACAGTTCAAAGCGTTGAACGATCGAACTTGCTAATTTCACAGTTACTCCTGAGCGTTGGGATTTCCTCGTTGGCTGGAGGAGAGTTCGAGTGGCTCGAAGAAATCGATGGACGATTGAAATCGAGGTTTCTTCGGAGGCGTGCCGCAGGTGCATCTGACGTCACCGATCACTTGCGGTCGTCGTCTGTGGGTTAGGTTGACCGAGGGCCGAGCGAGTCGCATCCTCGTCGTCGGTCGAGTCCAGAAACGAGTCTCGGTGGAGGAAGCCGCGGTGTCGTAGACGTATCGCGATAGATCCGGGTGATTCGATGCGATGGAGCACGCCCGTGGAGATTGGTCGTCGTCGCGGTCGTCCGACGACGACCGTGTGTCGCGACTACCTTTCCACCGTTGTCCTCGACGAGTCGAGCGAGTCGCGAGTCACCCAGAGGAGGAGTTCACAGCCGAGGGGATGCGAAAGGAGAATCAATACGCGGGTCCCACCACCCCCTGCTGCTGCTGGAAAGCGTGGAAACGAACCACCCTTGAAACCCGAGCGTTCCCCGAACCCTCCCTGCTCTAGCCACGAGTCCACCCGACGACGACGACGACGACGTCGGACGCAGGCGCATCGCGAGTAGAGCCGAGTGCCACCCGCCATCGCGACTTTCTTCGACCCACCCCCTCTGAGTCTCGGTGCGAGAGAACTAACCCCTACCGCGATCGAAACCGAGTTTTCACCCGGTCAGCTGATCGTCCACGAATCGAGAGGAAAACGAACGCTCCATCGAGCTTTATATTTTATTTTATCAGCGGCGATAGCAGTTAAACGCGGGGTAGATGGTTTCGATAGAAATCTTTTAGTTAGAGTTTGAAAACATTTTTTTTTTTATTTTTTTATTTTTTAGAGGGAGAGAATCTCCCCACGACTCCTGTGAAACTTTTCAGATCTGTAGGACGGTCATACCCGAGGGATGTATTTTGTTCGGCGGCGATGACTCAAGTTTAAGGGGTGAAACTACCCTCCGAAATTCCACCCTCTAATGCTATCTTGGAAACTGCGGGAGACACGAGGAAGTTCTTTCAACCAGTTGAGCGTGGCTTTGGACCGAAAATAACGACGCGAAAGGGTTGGGAATTTTATTAACTAGCAGACAAACTTAAATTTACGACAGTCGTTCGACTAACCCGCGGCATACGTCGGAGCTATCTTTGGATATTTTGCTAGACTGTGATTTATGCAACTCCATATTCAACGAGAAAAGAGATAAACACGAGAGCGCGACGACCAAAGTACAGCGGGGGCGAGAGACGGCGGTAGGGTGAATATAAAATCTGCTTTATGCCGTCGCCACCTTTCCAAGCCCTGACGCAGCACCGCCTGTGTTCTTTTCGTTCAAACGACGTCGAAACGAAACCGTGGCCCCTGAAAAGCGCCGACGCCTAACCTAACCGTACGAACGAGAGGCACTCGCGCATTGTCTACGGAATCGCGGATAACAAGAGTTCGGGGGATACCAAAAGCCTCCTACCCTCGTTTACAGATACTCCACGTAAAATAAGGGAGGGTTTAAGTCATCGCTTTGCTAGTTTTCAATTTTCTTCGACACTACAGGTTACTAAATTCATTCATCTCTGCTAAGTTGAGAAAAAACGGATCGACGCGTATGTATTTTTATTCCCTAAATCATCCATCCTATTGAGGTGCTATTTTTTTTTTATGTTCGCAAAGAGGGTTTGCCCTATCGGAATAAATTTACAAAAAGTCCGTTTTGCATTGCAAACGGTAAAAAAAAAAATTCCTCGTGACCGAGGTCCCTTGTATTTCACTTTTCGGGATCCTCGCACATCTAACTTCCCCCCGTTCTAAAAATTTAGGTGGACGGTGAATGTTGGACGTCGAAGAATCTCTTTAGCGACAGGTGTCTCGAATAATATTTCGCCTTGCATCGCGTGCAATCTGGCCGCATGAAAAAAAAGAGGGATATGCGTACAGTCCGAGGGGAGAGATGCGAGGTATAGCACACTCGTAGGCGGTTAATCGGCTTTGACGGGTCTCACGATCGTTAGGTGGCACGCATTCGCACAGTCGAACGGGCAGGGAAGCCATCCGCATTATTTTAGCTCCAACGGATGAGCCGTAGACTGCGCTCCGTACGTGACCTGGGCGCACAGATACGAGTTAACGTTGCACTCGGATTGCATTAGAGCAACGATTCCCAATCTCGTTCGGCCAGACTAAAATCTGCTTTGTGATCGGCTGATTCTTGAAATGAAAAACATTCGAACCGCGCTCGAGCTTGAATTTCGTTCAAAGTGGATCATAACGCGTTTAAATACTCTAAAGCGCATTTAACAATCAAATGCATCCAAGTGCATTCAGTTTCGAATGAGAGCTAATAATGTGCTCGAAACTAGTACTACATACTTGTCGAGTATTATGTATACAGGTCCAACGAGAGTCTTGGTATTAGTCTTACGATTAGTCTTCATTTCTTGGAATTAAATATCGAATATTGTCTATTTCGATATTTGTTTCTCGCGATTCTTCAAAGGTAAACACATGGACTTTCCTTTCGTCATCGCCGAATTTGCTCAAGTGAAACCTAGCTCTAGCGGTTAATTTCCCGTAGCGCATTACTCATCACCATTCTTGCTTTCTATTTTAAAGTCCACAATCAACGTCTTACTCATCCAGCAATTAGGAGCTAAGGTCACTCTCTAAGGCCCCCCCCCCTCCCACTAAACACTTGGGAAAATTATGCCTGAAGGATTCTCTACTCTCTACCATACTTGCCCTTACGGTTCCTACAAGTCTAACCACTCAGCGTCGATTGCTGCCTGTATTCGTATCCTCTAATAATACGTTATTCGCGGAATTGTTACTCAAATCTAATATTAAGACTGACTGATATTATTCGTGGGATATATTCAACAGGAACGATGCGTATTTTTACTATGCGGTCGTGAAAAAAAATCCCTAATTTACCGGTGTAAATTTAACCCCCTCTCCCTACTCTGAACTACAAATCGTGCATTATTTCTCTTGGAACTGTTTCCCCAAAGACTTCGCTTTTAAGAAATTTGAATGTCCTGTCTTGTTAATAAACTTCTGTATTAACTAAATTAACTCTTCCGAAATGTTCTATGCCCACGAATAAGATTATTCGACGAAGATCGTTCCTAACATTAATCTTATCGAAACAATTAGAAAATTAATGCTCCATCCACTCTTGTCTTAAGCTCGACACTTTCCTATTGATTTTGGAAAAAAAAGAACCCAGAAAGGGTTTACCTCGGTTTAGTGGTCATCGTTTATGCAAATATCTACCTCCTTCTCTTTCTGACCAGCCTTGTGCCCAACCTTCGACGTCCCCCTGGCATTGTTTAGGTGTCGGCCGAGCTCGTGCAGCTGCTGCACTCTGTTGTGCAGTACCTGACCTCGCCTCGTGTCCGAGGCGGTCCTCGACAGTTTCTTCGCGGGCTTCTTCGTCGTGATCCCCGTGTTTCCGGTCGAGTTCCTCGTCGCCTCTCCTCGTTGCAACGGGGAGGACCTTTTCGTTTCAATTCATCCTGGTCACTTTCTCGTACTTTGTTTTGTTTTTATAAACGAAAGGGGGACTCTATGGGACTTCTCATAGACGAACGCAGAGGTCGAGGCGCGGGGGAGGCAAATGCTAAGCTAGCACGCGATTTTTAGAGAATATTACAAGAGTTGGTTGGGGACTTTCGTATAGACAGAGAGATGCATTGTCGAATAAAAAGTGGCATAAGAATTTTTGTTTCAAAGGGATAGAATCGTTAGATTGCTTACTTTTAGTGTGGTCTCTTTTGGCTATCGATGCTAACTGAATTTAATCGCTAAGACTCCTTGGTGGTACCTTGATGCACATATAATCAAGATACTTTTCAGGAGTATTTTTCTTTCTGAACTCTATATTTTTTGTATTCATTGTAAGCTACTAATTTTCGCTTTAATTTCAAATCTGCTCTATCAAGTCTAATTATTTTATGTATTTTATGTATTCGGATACCAACCAGGAATAGGCTACCTTTCCCTATATATGTATATACTATCCTACTGTATTTATAATAAGAAGCAAGCAATCTCTAGGACTCATCTTCGACGTTTCCAAGGTCCATCTACATCGGGAAAAATTGAAAAAATCCGAGAACAATATGGAAGTAATAGGGTAGAAGGATCGAAGGCACGCGTAATGGCATCGATATGATCAGAGGAAAATGTTACCCCTCGGCCTCGTCGTCCGTCACGTTACGAAGCAGATCCTCGTGCTCTCTGTATCGGAGCTGGACTTCCGGCTCGAAATCCGAGCTGGCTTCCAGCGGGCGCGTGGTTCTGGCCGCGAGCGTGCCCATTTCGATGGCCTTGACCTGGAGCTCCAATCTTTGAAGCATGTCCGTGCTCTCGACGGCGGAGGCTTTCTGTTGGTTCAGTATCAGATCGAGGCTGACCGGGACGCCGGTGTCTCCGGGATCCATCGCGATCGGCTGGATGATCTTCGAGTCCTTGAACGCCTTCAGCTTCTCCTGTAGGCTGGGGTCGATGCGGAAGTTCGCTGGCGCCGTCTTCTTGGCCGTCGTGGGCGGTCCTAGGCTTTTGGGACTCGAGGACTGTTCCACGATGCTGGATCGGGGACTGACGGAGCCTTTTTTCTCCACCACGCGTAGGCCACGATCGCCTTCCACCAACTCCCACTGCTTCAGGTTCTCCAGCGCGGTCTGAGCCGGCTTGAACCTTGTCGTCGATCTAGGACTCGCTTCTTTGGTCTGTCGAGGCGTAACCTGGCGCTGGCCCTCCGTCGCGAAGCTCTTTCGACCGAATTGCGATCGAATCGAGCCTCTGCTCGGCTGGCTCCGAGAGAACGGACTCTCCCGATCCTCCATGACCGAGAGACACTTTCCCGTCGTGCACACGCTTTCGCCGCGCGAAAGAGGACTCTTTATGCTTCGACAATGATCAACCACGTCGTCGATTTTTGGTAAAACGTTCTCTGGGCAGCAGGCGACTCCTCAACATGGATTCATCGGTCTAGGTCGTCGGGGCTGGCTCGGTTTCTGTCGGAGAAAACATGCGTCCTCGATAAGGATACGCTCGTCGCACTCAACCGACGATCTTCTCGGTTATCACTCTCGGCACGGTTCACATTTAACCCCGACACCCGGGAACGAGACACCCCAAGGCAAGAGTGCGATCCTGTTTCGGCGGTACACTCACTTTCGTTCGTTGGCAAACAATCACATAGAAATTTTGGATAAGCAGAAAGCAGCGACGGAAACACAACTTGATGGGAGTAAGGAAGCGTTTTTCTCTGGGAACGATTTACGATTCAAGCTCTTGAAGCGATTTTATGTGTGTTGGGGAGTATTTTTAGGAGCCTATTTGTTTTACACGCGAGACTGAACACTTGTGAAGATTGCAATCTTTATCGAATAATAGTGGCTCGGTTATTCTTCTAACTATCTTTGGATTAATTCGATGACCTCGATTATATACATTTATGAACATTTGATTTTTATAAGAAGACTTGTGATTTTTGCTTGTTCAAAGTAAGTAAATAAATTGATGTATAGATCGTTACAGAGATCCTGTTATGTTTGAGTTATTTGTGGTAAAATGTATAAATAAGAACGAGTCTGTCCTACTTGGTTCGGAAACTATTAAAACGAGTGGTTTTCTACATCCGGAAAAGTGTGCTTGTCGACGAGTTCTCACGGATACCCAGTGTCCAATGAAAAAAACAGAAACCATGAAACGATATCGCGATGCGACCGCATACGTCGAGTCGAACGATAAAGACGCGTGCACGCATGCGTGCTTTCATCCGAATGGATCTTGTCCGTCTATCTACTGGGTGTTCCTGAAAGGTGGTTGAAAACTATACCTGTGAATTGAATAAAAAATGCCTTGCAAGGAAAATCAGAAATAGAAAAATAATTTAAAGGAAAATTGCATCATTTTTCCTTCAACCACCCTTCGAAAAACGTGGACGTGTATTTGAAAGTATCGTAACGAATTTTGATCGATGAAAAAATACTGTGCAGGTTAATAAACACAGGTTGATTTCCTCCACCATGACACTATCACGTTGATCGATAACCGAACAATAAATGTTTCTTTTACACTTTTCTTACAGCAATGCGTCACGTTAACCGAAGAGACGGGCAAGATTCTTATCTAGATAAAAGTTTCGAATAATGGAATAATAGATGAACTACTTTTAGAGAATACGATATTTTACTGATCGAAGCAGACGCGACGATTGAACAGTTCGATCGAATGCACGTCGTGTATGAACCGCCATATTGGATTTATACGTCGCCCATTGTTCCCTCACTTGGTGAGCTGATATCAAAACTCGAGTTTACGGAGATGAAATGCTACACAACGCAATTGTGCGATCGAATAAACGTCGCGAATAAATCGTCATACGGTGGTTTTATTCGTGGTCTACTGGTCAAATAAAATTTCGTCCATCTCGCCTCCTCGTCCAGCGAATAAAGAGGATTCCGGGCACGTGGAACCGGGGAGACCACGATCGATGTGGACTTCGACGAAGGAAAAGCCGCGCCAACGTGGACGAAGACAAAAACGAGTAGCGAAAGGTTGCTCGCGAACGACCACGAAGAACTAGGTCCATTTCCCCCGCGGCGATAAGCGCTCGACCGGCCAACTCGACTTCGTCGGCTCGTTATCAGCGGTAGATGCTGATAAGCGATAGCGCCTGCCTAACTCCGTGCTCTAGCGACCGCGGAAATCTTAATTCGGCCTTGGAGTAAATTTTTCCTCTCAATTTTCCGCGCAGAAGTGAACAAACACTTCCATAAAAATAACAGAAAAATTGGCGATTTTCGAAATTTTATTTGTTGGAAAGCGAATGGGGAGAAGTAGAAACAATTGTTGGTCTGTGTTGGAACATCATCGAGGATGATTAAACAAAATTTTAGTTGTCGATATCAGGTGTCGAAATTGATTCTGCGCCTTTATTTATTGTAGCCATTCTGTTACGTCGAAGTATCTCGTAGTAACGAAACCCTCGGATTAGTTTCAAGACTTTGTTATTTTAGAAAGCGCGATCGAGAAAAGATTAAATGCTGTGCGATACGAACGAATGGTAAGTTTACTTTAGAAATTTCCAGAATCAATTTCTGCGCCTAATATTGTCGAATGATATTTGGTTTCGATGATCCATTGTATGATACACGACCATTGGTTTCGATGATCCATTTTTGCACGCGAGTCGAGCAAAATTAGACATGCATCGCTTCGAAACTTCCCGCAAAACACGCGTCAGTTTGTTGGAGCTTGGCCAGGATTACGAAGAGGAGACTTTCGGCGCCAATACGCGGACGACGACTTCGAATCGTCCAGAGATGGGCAACGTTCTCGTTTAGATAAGAATTCCACGCGGATCGAAATTACAACGTGAATTACAAAATGAAATTTTTCTTTGAACAAATGAAAGCTTGAATGAAAATCACAACCGGAATAACTTTTCTTTTATGAAATTACCTAAGGCTTGTCTTGCAATTACAACGAGTTTCCATAGCGTACATTGCGAATAAATAGTTTGGCCACGTGCTCGCGGACGTCGAAGTAAAATAAAGCCGCGACGAACCGATGGGAATTTATTGTTCCCTGGAAATCGATCGTTCCACGTAAAGCTGTATCAGCTTTGAAAATTTGTTTCTGTACTGACGAAAAAACAATCTTTACGACCGCGCCGTAATCGTTGATAGGATAAGATACGTCGTTATCGGGGCATGTACGTACAAGTGCTTGCGTTCTGTCGAGGAATCGGAGAGAGAACAGAAACGTCGCGAGAAAACAGAGGTGGGCAGAATTCGCGTTTAGATAAGAAATTTCTAGATTAGAGGAGAACAAAAGATACAAACAAAAATGTACAACAGCTTGTGGATAGCTTATAATTCGCGTGGCAGGTGTACGAAAGAACCTAATGTTTATTTGTTACACGAATAAATTAAACACAGTTAATTTTGTGCAGCAATTGCTGTATTTAACTCGTTCGTGCGACCAACAAGTGAGTGAAAGATAAACTTGGTAAATTACTCAACCAATAAAAATTACAATCGGGTTTATATAACCGTAGTATGTCTCACGTTGAACTAATAAAAGCTTATCTGGAGAACTGTTTAATCGAATAAGCGCTGCGAATAAATCGCCATGAAGAGTTTTCATTAATCACCTATTATTGTATTAAAATTCTATCTGTCTTTGCTTCGAAGCTTTTACGTGAATTTATAATTTCACCGGCCTCTATACTTTATAACACGTGTTTGCTCCGATAAACTGGGCTACGAAGAGCTATAAATGTGCAGCAAACTTATTTTTTATTTTTATTTTTTCATCTTCTTTCGGGATTCACTTCAAGGGTGGAACTTGGGGCGCATTCGTCGCGGTTTCTCCACTTTGAGGGGATCGTGCGACGATTCTAGCAATTCTTTTAGCTCGCGTGAGACTAATCGAGCGACACTTAGCGTCTTTCCGTGAAGATGGTCTGGGACAAATAGCGCGCGAAAGCCATTCGAGCGAGAGACCGATTAACGGAGACGCGACAATTAAACCGTGGCTGCAGACGTTTCATCCAAAGGAGCAACGAAAGCGGAAGGTCGCTGGAACTTCTCGAAACGTTCCAAAGGAACAATATTCATACAATGGCTAACGACGAATAATAAACTATTCTATACAGCCATTTAATCGCAGCTACTTCTAAAGATTGTAAATGTTATCGTCATCGAACAAATATAATGGCTTCGATAGTTGCTCCCTTATCTTTCTAATTATCTCCAGTTTAATTTAATGACCTCAATTATATTTGTCTGTGTACATTTTATTTTTACGAAAAGGTTCGTAATTTAGTTTTATTTACTCCGCTGGACTAACGTTGCACCTCATCGGTCGAAAGCAATTGGAATTACTACTTCGGTACAATTGTTTATCTTTCGTTCTGTGTTTGAGATTCGTACCTGGGCGCGAATTGGAATAGAACGTGAAACGTGGTAAGCTAGTCGTTTCGATTAAATACTCCGCGTTAGTCTTTTTAGACTGCTGAAGAATAATAGCCCCGTCGGATGCACGGTTCGATTCGAGTTTCCTCGCTGAATTTGTAATTACGCTCACCCTTGATACGTACACTAGGATCCCGGTGCTCCATAAACCATCGTTCATTTTTATTACTCCATTAAGAGAGCTGCCTAGTTTGGAGTCATCGTAAACTGGCCGATATTTAGCATTTCATTTCTCGTGGAAACTAAAGCACGTTCAACTTTCGATCTTCTCGAGCTAATTGAAAAGCAGCAATATCTTTCAAACAAAAATCAAGCCTATAGATTGACGGTGTAGCCTAACCTGAAATTGCTCGCAAGGGACAGCGAACCGTCGAAACGTTAATTACGAATCCTCCCTAAATAATCAAAATTCCTAGCAAACCTCTCTCATGCCTCGAGAAGCGAGTCAAAGCCATTACACGTTCGCTGGGTACTCCCCTTCAATCTCGCCCCAAACGAAATCGACGATTTAATCGCTGATCGTTCGATCCAAGGCGGTCCCGCGCGTGTAATTTCTAATTGATACGGTGACGGTAGACTGCTGAGAGAGTGTACGACCTTAACGTATTCCTCCAGATATCAATTTGCGATAATCGATCGTATCGGGACGATTGCGAATAACTAATTTACCTTGCTGCCGATATTATCGCGGCCGTCGACTCTGTTACCTCCCTACACGTTCTATCTCTCGTTGCTGAATATAACAATTTAATAATACAAGCTCGGGGAAACGAGTTTCTGCGTAGTAAATCGTCTGACGAGAATGTTTGTTTGGCTCGCTAATCAGGATGATATTTCTAGATCGATGCCGTTATGAAATGGTCTGAAATTTTTGGTCTGTTATCTGGACAACTAAGATCTAGACTTGGTGTCGAGGTTCCGGAACGGCGTTGCCAAGTTTTTCTGTTTGCGGAACGATCTCGCGGATTTATTCGAGCAAACAGTCAACAGTTCCGCGGAATTGAATTAACCTACACAATGACTACGGCCACGAAGCGTACTAATTAGCCGTGCGCCATTCTCGGCTGGAGTCGTAACCGTGGAATTACGCGTAGCTTACATAAACCGTTAACTCGTGTTTTCCTTCCCGACCGTTTTATTCCGTCGCATCGGCCCGTCCCCACCGCGATCTTTCTTTCGTCAAACAGCGAAGTCGGAACGACACACCGATTCTCTTTAACCAAGCGTCACCGTCCTTCGATTCCCCGATCGCCGCGCGCCTTATCTCTTCTTCCTCGGATAAGCGAAACGTCCAAGGATACCCGCGCAACCGACCATTTTTCAACCTCTGCGCGAGGCGTATGCGCGCGAGTCCGCTTTTCCGACGAGCTACGGAACTTAGGGCTTGGCGACTACCGGAATCGTTGAATAATCGGTATTGGACAGAATCTCACTTGAATGGAAAGTAACAACTGACAAATTCCAAGTAGAATTTTTATTTGAAGGGACGGTGAAATTTTTGTAAGAATTCAATTTTTTTTTTTTTCATTTGCCGAATATAGTTCCGCAGGTTTTATTTCTACGCCCAATTCCGACTATATACTCCATATTCGAATATTCTATAGATCTCAGATGATCAATTATCTAGATCCATGTAAGCCACTGTCGGGCGAAATGTAAATGTAATCGTTGATTACCAATTACATATGCTTGGTTAATTACAAGTCTGGTTTTGTTATCGCTAACCGCTGTTGACAAGTCATTTAAATAGTAATTACGAAATACAATTGCAGCACTATTACGATTTTGTATTTGAGGTGGTAATTGCAGCTGATCAATTTCCGTACGCTTGTTGCAAGGATAATTTTTCTAAGTTTGTTAGAAACGTGTACGAAGGTGAAAAAATAAGCGAGTAATAACCTGTTGTTACTCTACCACAATTAAGAGTACAACCACCATTACATAATTACACACGACCTACGATTACGATTGTATGTTGAACAACACCTAGTATTTAAACAACTGAAGTATTCGAATGTTTGTAAAATGTAACAAGTCCTTGCTCTTTATAAAAAAGAAAAAAAGAACTCGTACAATGGCGTCGATTTCACACGGCATCCGAAGCGCATCCGATCAGATAGACAAAGGGTTCACGCAACACGGTGATTCTTAACCACCGTGGCGTAAAACCGGCAACACAATCCCACGAACATAGGTTACGAGAGCTGAAGGGACTTTTTACTCCTTGTAATATTAAAAATTCGATTTTAAAAAAATTGGGAATATTCCAGCCTGTTGAAATGTATGTAATTTCTATAATATATATATATATATATATGTATGTATGCAAGTGTTGCGATGGTGCGCACGCAGTGTGTATGGTGAGATTGGCCGGTGCTGAAATGAACATCGAGTCGTTCGTTCGTTATCTTTTTCTATTGGGTTGTCTGGAAAGTCCATGCCGATTTTTAGTCTGAATATATCGAGATGGTTGAAAACAAATAACATGCGGACATCCCTTAAAAGGTGGACAAATTGTGGAACAAAATGGTACTTACATAATTCAATAAATATATATATATATATATATATATATATATATATATATATATATATAAAAATTCAAATATACCTTTGAATTTTTCTTAAAAATTGACACGAACTTTCTGGACAATCCAATATATATATATGTAAAATATAATATATTTAGATTGTAAGTTCAAAGTAAAATAGTTTAGTTGATTCATTAATCCACGCCCTCAATTCTTAACGCAGCCAACGGCAAATCAAGAACTAATCGAGTGTCGTGATTACGAGTCTCGAGCACCACCTGTCGTGGCGTTCCAATTTCCTGCATTAATTATTATATAGAATGTAAATGTCTTTATCCATGGCAATTACTACGTCGTAGTTCGCATGGATATGAAGATTTCTTATAGAATGTTTCGAGTGTCAAAATTGGTATGGCAATTGATTCGCCATCGTTTTCCTAAAGCTAAGCACGTTGACCGCTATGAGTCAATTGTCATTGGACGCCACCTACGAGTGAGTAATGTTGACATACATAGTTGACATTCCGAAGAGCAACGTTATTAACTCGACGAATATTTTCTTTAAAATTTTAGCTTGTTCCTACCTAGTCATTTCGTCACCTAACCTTATACTAATTATTGTGGAGTGCGTTACCAAGGAAGGTCTCAACCATAGATATCTATAGTATACCTAGATCGCTAAGATTTTAAGATCGTAAGATTTAAATGGTCAAGTCACGTGTACCTGTATAATATAGATAACCGCGAGACTAGACTTTGAATAAACCTGAAATTTGCCTACACGTTTATCTCGTTTCCTCTTTCGAACATTTCCGAAGCGTAAGGTTTATCAACCCTTGCCATTCGACTACATACATTAACACTATAATTATGTTACCGTAGTAAATATTTTTGATGTACAGACGCCATATACCGACGCTTCGTTAGCGATCTAGATATAGTATAAATACCTGTGGTCCCAAACATCAGTGTCACAAACGTTACAGCGAATCTTAACCAAGCACCGATTCCTTCGACAAACGAAGCTTCCAAAACGCACTAGGACACCCTAACACTTGCATATACTGTATGCCTTCGACAAGGGTTGCGCCGAGAATCATACTGCTCCAAGACACACCGCGAAACAACGAGGTGTAGGTTAAGAACCACTGGCGCAGCGTGCCGACGGTGGCGACGTCGTTCGTTTCCCGTCGGTCCAATCCCGAAGCACTCGCACTTCACTGTTGTAACACTGTTTCGAACGCGCGTTACACCGACGTAAAACGCGTGACTAACGAGGGAAAGAGTACGGCGGGTATCGTTCGACAGGGTGTCGCGTTTCACGCTAGTTCTAGCACGAGGAACTGGTTCGCGTGCGAGCACGCGCGCTCCGCCACTGAAACGATTCCTGCGTCGTGCCGTCTGCGCGGTCCGATCTCGCCGAGATCGCATCCGGTCGACGGTGAGCGCCGCGTCGCAGCGTGCCAGGGCCGTGTCGAACGACGCTTTTTTCGGGGGGAAATCCGCTCGAGAGACCGGTGCCACCCGACTGCGATCAACCGCGATCAACTACGAACGAAAGCCATGTTCGTGACTCACGGGCCTCCGAGCGACTAACCGCGGTCTCGCCTTCGCCCCCACCCCAGCGCCTATCGTGGCGCGAGCTCAAAGTGCAAGTGCCGATAGCAGGCCCGTGCCACCTCCCTCGGGCACCCCCCGCTGTTTCTATTCTATCACGGGAAAACGATACTCGATTGGCGTACAAATTTATTTACGATGAAACGAGGGTACGTATGGTGATGGTGGGGACGTGGTTTTTGGAGAAGTGGACTCGAAAGTAGTCGAAATGAAAATTCGCACCCCCATTACGCAAATATCCTAATGTCCACGAACTAACTAACCAACTAACTCTAAATCAGGGCCGGCGCAAGGTAGGTTCAGCGCGTTCGCCGGAACCCGGTCCCGCGTTTTAAAAGGCCCCGCGGTCTACGAAAATGACTGAATTAAAAGGTACCGATTTTGATGAACTTTTTACAGACCGATGATACCGTTAACAAATGGAAGCAATTTCTGCTAAGATGCAAGACATTTTTTTAGTAACGTTGATTAAATCGAAAGGAGTAATAAAAATCATCATAGTATTATTATTTAATATTCATCTTATAAAAAATATATAGCATTTGTAAAGAAATAATTCCTCGTTGTAAAATTCAAGTGTAGGATTTGAATGTGAATTCAGGCCCCGCAAAAGGTCACGTCGGCCCTGCTCTAAATATGTTAATTACAAACCTATCAACGTTGGTGTAAAGTATTTTATGGTAACGCGCCTGTTTACTGAAACTATACAAATAGTATGGAATGTTCATAGTGTTGCAGACGTCGTATATATTAGAAAATCTTCTGTTTAAAGAACAAGTTCGACGACCTGCGATACGAAGTTACTTGAGGTCAACGACCTTTGATACTTCTATGAAATATACCTTCCAAGAAAAAGAGATCTCGTTTTAAGAAAAACAAGTTGACTTAAGGGATGACGACTCATTGGAATTTATGTTCGCGCTGTCATGTGTCGCTTCACCTCGAAATCGATGTCAAGTAGATGCTCAAATCGGAAAAATCACGACTTGCCTCGCTAATAGCATATCTCACGAGGTCTTCGCTATCTGTTATGCAAACATTAAACATAATGGATAAAAGAATTGCCGCATCACCGAACTCAACCTCAAAGTCCGGCAATCGATACGCGAGTAGGGATCGCTCAGAAATTATTTTATATATATTCCAGATTCCGTTAACTTGGTACGTTAACGTACCACGTTGAATTTCTTTGCATTTTTAATAATTAGAAGAATAATGTAATTTTGTTATAGCATGGAGATAACTTATCGTTTCCTTTAAAATAATTATAATTAAAAATAGCAACAAAACGCTTTCGTTGATGGTTTCTCGCGGAAAGTGATTCAAGAGACGATATTAGTCGGAGAAATCGAGGGAACGTCGGTCTGAGGCTTCGCAAACAGTCTCGACCTTCCGCCGAGTCCCACGTGACGGGCAGAAGAGATTAATCTCGATCTCATCGCGATCTCGACTTCCCCACCGTCGATCCGCCCGCGTTTCCGATTTCGCGGGTTTCTCCTTAGTCAGGGAAAATATTTTTCACCTTTCGACGAGTCCCACGATCGAAACGCACGCGTTCCTCCAATTTCCTCGACGTTCTTGCGAAGTACATCACACGAAGCTTCTAAATTTCCACGCTGGTGATTGCATTCGACGATCCTCCAGATTTTCTAACAAGCCTCCATTCTCGATTAAATAATTTTGCAATATTTCCGATTAGTACACTACTAAAGTTTCCATTTCTGGTAACAACGAACACAAAAATCCAAGAATCCTCAAAAAATAACAAATTTGAAGAAAACAATCACCAGCCCGCACCACTATCTTGCACGCCATGCGAGCATCGCGCGATCCTGGCTCATTTTCCGCGTGGAAATCGACACGTCTCGAGGAAAACTTGAGCGCGAATCCCCCGCGATCCTACGGCCAGGTGCGTCGGGAGCGTACTGCGTGCCACGCGCTTAGAAAGTGTCTAACCTTCCGCGCATAATGTATCGGCGCGCATGAGAAACACGCTTCGCCGCCCACGTTTAATCGTCGGATAAAAATGAAAGTCGGTAAAGCGCGCCGACCGCAGGGGACGCTTTGAAACGCTCGCGTCGATGGCCAACCACGGGGATCTTGACTGATCCGGTGGATAGAATCGTCAGCCAGCCGCGTTAGGCTAGGTCAAGGCTCTACGGTTCCTCGAAAGCATTCATTCTTCTAATTTCAATTTTTATTAAAAAGGGACGTCTAATTGAAAGATCGTTAGGCTCGTGACGCACTTGTTTGAAAGGACGAAAGAGAGGTGCTCTGCCGATACGGTATAACAATCTGTCGATGACGCAGTACACTCCGTCGGTAAGTCTGGGTAAGGTAGAACCCTGATTGATTGAAGGATTTATCGACAGGATTCTATCTTAACAGGGCGACTTGTCTACCGAGTGTTCTACATTACCAAGCAATGCGATAAAACAAGATGTGATTCAGGCTCTACATTGTTTTAAAAACAGACACAAGTATTCTTGTACTGAATATAAAACCAGACCTCAAATATATCTTGTACTAACCCAAGGCACTCGAAACTAAGTATCGTTATTTCCAGAATTGCATGCTCTATAATCACGCAGCTCATTTAGATATCGATGGAGGAGCCCCCTTGCGAGATCAACGCTCCCAACCTCTGTTGACGCGCAGATATCAAAGAGGACTCTCCGCGATGGATTTTCGTGGATCGGCGACGTCCTTGAACTCGATCTGGAAAACCGCGATTCAGAGGAGGCGAAGAGAACTCGTTCCGACCGCGGATCGCCCGCGGGTCTCAAGGTCCGTGTCTCGGGGAACACTGATCGGAGGTAGAAACTCAGGTTCGCGGGTAGACACGCTCCTATCTCGTGAGAGACCGCCGCGATCGCGACCTTCGTTCCTTCTTTCCAACACCGTTTGCTTTCACGCCGAACGCGACACGCGCTGAATATTTGGAGCAACCTGATAAAACGAACGTTCAACCCTGGCTTGTTTTGAAAGTCATAAATCAAATTATCAACTGCTCAGAAATTACAGAATTCGTCGCGTCTCGCGGAAAATAATACCGGAATGTGTGTGTTGATAATTTGACTGCGAATTTTATGCATTCATGGCGTACATCAAAATGGGAAAGACATACAAAGTATGCGTAATGCATATAGAACGTATTCTATTAATTAATACAATGATAACGGTTCCTTTTGCATAGGTGTGTATACCTTTTGGTTATGTTTAGCATATGTTTGCCACACTCGTTTGTTTTATAAACGCATCGAATCCGCAGTTATTGTTAATTCTAGTGTAACAATAAAATTTTAAATTGCACTACGTTATTTATTTGGTTTACTGTGCACCGTTTTAGGAGATGGGGTCAACGACGACTCTGAGAACAGTGATTGCGTCGTCGTGGAAGTCTTAACTCGGAGAACAGGTGGGCGGTAAACGAGTCGACCTACACCGGTTGCAGGTCTCTTTCCACGCGGAACGGGTCTTTCTTCTTCTGGCAGGAACGAGCTCGGCGTGGGCAGCTTTTGCAGCATGAAAAGTTTGCGGAGAATCGCGAGCAATGGGTACCTAAGCGACGCTCGTCTTTTAATGGGATTTTAAACGGCGATAACGCTTGAAATATGCAAGCCAATGATATATGATCTCGTAAATAGACGATTAACAGTTTGCCAGATTGCTAGGAACAGGTATTTATTATCGAACCTTTGCACAGCTGACGTAAGCACTGTTAGAGAATGGACAGACTGTATAGTTACTTCAAATTTAATTCAAACTGAATATTAAAAATTGAATATAAAATTAGATGTACTATTAAATTCAGTGGGTGGATTTTTCTGATAATTGAAATAGTAAGAACGGCAACAATATATCTTTCATTCTTTCTAACATTGCTTATTTCTTGCTTCGTGCACGATTATTGTGCAAAAGCGCATTAAACAGCGAGCGTCACAGTCGGGTATGTCTCATTGCGAAAGCAATCGTTCGCGTCGAAGATAGAAGAAACGGGAACGGCGATCGATCGTCGTTCTCGACGCGGCCGATCGAAAGGATGAAGAAAACTCCGGTGGAAATTTTTACGGTAAGCCGCGGCACTGAGAACTCGATCGTTCAACCGTGAACGGAGATCGAAGTCGATGAACCGATGCAGAACGGAAGGTAACAGTTACGGCGATCGCTATTGGTAGCCGTTTCCTTTTTGTTCGCGGGCGAATCGGGTCGAGCGCGATCGGTAGCCGTGTAACGGGCCTCTGTTGTTCGCGGCGGTGTTAAAGAGTGCGATTTTAAATAACGATTTCTCTTGTAAAAGACGAAATATTTCTGTCATATCTATATAAAGCTAACTTCAAATGTGTTGCATTCGGAGTTCTTTTAAAAATCGATAAGAACTGTCTAAACAATCCAACAGTTTCAGGAGACTTCTGATAGGAGCAATAATTAGATTGCGTTATTCCAATGCCGGTCCACCTTCAACTGTGACTCTATAAAGTGAAGTTAATTTAACGGTTGCAGATCTTCGTTAGCAAAAATTGTATAATTTAATTACTGCTTCATTCTGTTAATTTTCGATTCTATTTTTGGAAAATTACAGAATCTTCGTCGAGGCAGAAGCATAAGTTTCCTTCGATCGTTAGCAAACCTTACAACTGCATTTATTTGTCTTCTGCGGCAAGGTGAACGATGAGTCGCAATGAATCATCGCAGTCATCCAAGTGCATCGCAAGTACGTTCGAGACACGCGTCAGTGTAGCCGAAAACAATCGTTTCGATTCCTCGAAATCGAACACTAAATGGGTTAAATAAAAGAAGACTAAAACCTGTTACGCAGTTAAAATAAAGCCTCCGATTTCTACAAATCGTACAAATAAATTCCCGTTCGATTCAAATTAAACCTGAATTTCCACGTCGGCTCAATCGTGGATCAAAGAATGTCCGTCGAAGCATGGCGCGTGAAACACGATTCTTCTC